ATTCAAATTGAATTATAACTTATTGACGCTCAGAAGCACTGAAGGAAAATTCTGATACCAATATTAGATGGATATTATGTTGAATTATGAATTACTGAAAAATTGCAAATTCAAAAATCACCAGTCATTTTTACTGCAACTACTGCAAGCGTAAACAAAAACATGGAAATTATTTTTCTTTTCAGTTTGTACATTTCAAATTCCAACATCAACTTACAAATAAGTATAGGAATTAAAATTATAAATACCTACAATGTAAAATGAAAATAGAATGTCAATCATGCCAATCCGTATATTAAAAATTATGTCGGAATGGTTCGATACGGTGCACAGCGAGCGCACTGCAAACAACTGATACTGATAAGTACGATCGATACGTTGGACGGCCAGCAGAGCTTGGCCGCACCCAAGGTATGACGCGTATAAGCGAAAATTTAAACTTGAAGCGGGGAATTAGGCTAAGCATATTAGGAAAATAAAGGGGGTTCAGAGGAAAGTTTTGCTATAGTTTTGATTTTCTCTATACCCATGTTTTTTGGGTTGCTGATCATGAATTCGAAGTTTGCTGGCAAAATTTTGGCCCGGAACTTTGTTTTTTTGGCACTTTTTGCCAAAATTTTGACACTTTTTCCAGTTTTTGGCCAATATCTCAGAAAGGAAGCATTTTTTCGACAAGATCATTCTGTATAAAATGAAAGGAGATAAAATTTCCTGATTTTTCCATACGAAACATTTTTTTGTAAGACTAATTGTTCTGCCGCTAGAGAGCGCCAAAAAAGGCCATATTGCCATATCTAGTGAAATTCACAGATACTTTTGGTCATAAATGATTCAATGAACTCGTGTTTTGTATGTATAATGATCTAAACTTCTAAATTTTTTTTGTCCTACGATCTGGGTCCGTACTCCTTCTCCCTATTTGAAAATGGTTTAAGAAAGGGAACAAAGCAGTCGAACTCATAAAAAATAAGTCGTTCTGCGGAAAAGTGCAATATGTCATCGACGGTGGATTCTTACTACACAAAGTTTTTTGGCCCGAGAAGCAATCCTTTTCTGCAATATGTAACAGGTATGTTGACTACGTCGTTACACACAAACAGTAGTTGTATTCGATGGATATCCTGAAGGTTCGAAAGGTGGAACAAAAAGTGCTGAACGGTTGAAGAGGTCTATGAAATCGATTTTCGCAGACATTCTCTTCGATGAGAACATGATACCGACCATAAAGAAAGAAAAATTCGTATCCAATACGAACAACAAAAGAAGATTGATTTCCATGATCATAGGAAAGTTACATTCTCAATGGAGACAGGCCACAGAAGATGCCGATACCGTCATTGTCAACGAAGCCCTGTCTTTGGCTGAACGTACTGAGACTGAGGTGATGGTTGTTGGAAAGGACATCGACCTGTTGGTCGACCTGTCAACGAAGCCTTGTCTCTGGCTGAACGTACTGAGACTGAGGTGGTGGTTTTTGGAGAGGACATCGACCTGTTGGCCATCCTTACGGGTCTTTGTCTACGAGATAACGTATTCTTCCTAAAACCAGGGGAGGGAAATGCTCCTCCAACCACCTACTCTCCTATGCATGCTCTGACAAACAAAACCATAAGAGAATACATCATGTTTCTTCATGCAATGAGTGGTTGTGATACAACTTCAGCACCTTACAACCAAGGAAAATTAAATTTCGTGAAAACTGTCACCAAAAGCCCCAACCTTGCTGATGTTGTGAGTGTGTTCAAAAACCCTGAGGCAACTCCAGAAAGCATTGCAGCAGCAGGGGAGAGATTCCTGGTCAACCTGTACGGCTTCGGCTTCACAGGACGGACTGAGCCGCCGATAAACCGTCTGAGGTATATCAATTATGCGAAGGCAGCTTTCAAGACTCCATCAAAAATAGCTGCGCTACCACCATCAGCTGCTGCAGCCACACAGCACAGTTTTAGGGTATATCTCCAAGTGCAGCAATGGCTGGGAGTTGAGAAGAATTCCGAAGATTGGGGTTGGAAACGAGCAACAAATGGCCTGGAACCGATCAATTCCCTTCAAGCCCCCGCTCCTCTCGAACTACTACGTCTGAGTGTCATGTAGATGCATCAAGACGTGGGCAAAGAAATGTAGTTGCAAAAAAGTAGGCCTCGATTGCACAAATCTGTGCATCGACTGTGAGGGGTCCTGCAACAATGTGACAATCGAGGCAGATCTCAATATTCCCCTTGATGAGGGGCCATTCGACGTTGAAGTACAGGACGAACTGGGCTTCGCCTTCGCCCCGGTAGTTGAGACCATCGAAAAGAGTATGGACAAGGAGGATGAGGGTATGTAGCATTTATTTTCCTTCCTTATAAAATGACCATCACACTCTTGGAGCATAATATGTATGTACTAAGATGAATGTACCCATATACATATTCTGTTCATTACAGACCTCCACCACCTGGAAACATATGGAGAATAGATGAATAGACTGAAGAGAATGTGACATTTCCTTGAAAAATGAAGGTATGTACAACAGTATTCTCAGAAGTAAACGTGCAAAATAATACTCACCCCGTCTATAAAAAAATCCAAGAAATAATATATCCGTTTGTACCAGATGATTATGGCAGTCTAATTCAAGACAGAGGCGATATTAATAATTTTAATGATATGAGTACATGTTATAATACTTTCGACAGTACACTGTAGATAACTTCTTTAGTAAGTAATGACTGCATTTCATTCGTTCGTTCTATTATTTCAATTACTCTCCCTATATTCATTACTCATGTAGGTCTAGGTTCGGGAATATGTCTATTTTGGCGCGCTCTAGCGGTCGAATGGTTAGTCTTACAAAAAAAAGAAATCTACAAAAAATTTAGAAAATTTTGTCAACTCTAACTTTGAATATGACACGCTTTTCGAAAAAACGGTTTCTTTCTGAGATATAGGCCAAAAACTAAAAAAAGTGCCAAAATTTTTGCAAAAAGTGCCAAAAGAACAAAGTTCCGGGCCAAAATTTTGCCAGCAAACTTCAAATTCATGATCAGCGACCTAAAAAACATAGGGGGTGAGAAAATCAAAACTATAGCAAAACTTTCCTCTGAGAATCCTAATATGCTTAGCCTAAATCTGTAGGCGATGCCTGTGGCGATGCGTCGAGACAAGAAATCACCGATCGGCCGGCCGTCTGCATCAGTGTAATGAGCTACGCGAGCGTTTCAACTGAAAGCGGCGTTTTGACGATGGGATTACCAGATGTCGTAGGTCCTGAATTAGTTCGTGATTTTCGGTGTATATGCGGATGGCATACTCAAAGGTTCCATGAATGAAATTCAAATAATAGTGGCATAACAGTAGGATAATGAGCGATGAATTATGAAAAATTCGGAAAATAATTTTATTCATCAAATAGTTCAGTAATTTTCCCCAAATTATTTGGTACGGCCCGGCCGACCCTGCCGTCCCTGACGAGCCGTCACTGAATCTCATGCCTGTTCCTTTGTATTGCTAAAGTAGATTTTTTTTCCCATAGTTGTCCCTGTTCATGGCATGATGTAAACAAAGAAAGTCATAGAAAAAATCAAGCAGGTAGAGCAAGGACAAACGAACAGCCCTCTATGAACTTGCTCATGAGGTACATATATTATGTAGATATATTAGAGGCCTTGAATAAATTAGAAAAGATATTTGATTATGATCTCAATATTGATCTGGGAAAAAATTCAATTTCATTTCATATTGCAGAGAAACTGAAAATTACTTTTCTTTTGAATACTCAAGGAATATGCCTTTTCATTTAGATGACAAATGACTATCACTGTTCATGGAGCTGTTCCTTTAGAAACTACCTTCAGTGGCTCAAGTAATAGGTCTAGGTGAAAAGGTGAATCAATATTTTGGGAAAATTCAAGAGGTGAGATCTCTTTTTTGTTTTTATGATTTCAAAATATTGAATTGAATAACTTGTATAAGTACTTTGTTTATTACTGAAATGACTGAAATAAGCCTCAGCAGCTACTGTTAACTAGCAGCATAAATATAAAGAATTATGTGAAATACATCAAATGACTACTGATCATTTATTCTTACTAACATCCTATCTCAGAAAGAAGATTATGGTATAAATCTGTCACATACTTTTCCATTGTGAATGAGAAATTGTAACTATTCTGGAAAATTACTGACAAACAGAGGAAATTGCACTTTTGGTTTGGTGATTCCATTTGAAAAACTGAATAATCAATCCAACCTAAAATGTCACTATGGTGGAGATGAGAGGAGATATTGGTGAAACTAGCAAGTGAATCATTGCATTCCTTGTGTCTTATTTTGGTTATTTAGGAGTTTAAATTGATTATGGTATGTTTCATAAGTGCACTTACACTGAGAATTGAAAGGTTATTTTTCATCTTTTCCACCATAATTTGAGACCAAATACATATCTATGAAAAATTGAAAGTTTCCTTTTTATCTGAGTTTTTATATTATTCACCATTATTTCAAAAACAAATATTTATGCACAGATTTATATTCAGCCTCAGAAACAGAAACCCCTTCTATACCAGCTGACCTAGTATTTCTATTATCTCATGAGATACAATTCTAGGGTGTGCAATAGTAAAATAGGATTTTAATGTGGTGGAATAAAAATATAATCTGCATATCATTATAAGTTCTTAGCATTCTTTTGTGCCAATAACCAAACAGATATCCTATTATGTGATGAACATCATGCATATGGGTAAATTGATTAAAAACCTGAGTTTGTACTGCCTATTGCTTTGTTAGATTTACATGTCCAAATGTAGGTAGAGGTTGGAAAATTTGTAATATCACTAATAAACTGTAATCTCTAAGAAACCTCAAAATTTGACAAATAAGCAAAGTGATTTAACAATCTTCTCAATTGCTTTGGAAGATTTACCTATCCACATGAAGGTAGAGATTCAAATATATGTAATAACACCAAAATGTTATCCCAAGGAAACCTTTTAAAAAAAGGGGAGGATACTCACTCTCATTTTAACTTCATAATCTGTGAATCTTTTCTTGCCTACACCTATTGTTGTAACTGGATTAACAACATCGATTTCGAGAAAATTTGCAGGTGCTGCATAAGCATCGTCCAAGGTTTGTTTTTTAACATTCAATCTTCTAGTAGCTTCAACAGTCGTATCAGATTCTGCCATCATTGTGATGAGTAAAAATAATTTTACCTACAATTCAACATTATATTATACGATCTAATTTTACTTTGGAACAAACTACTAACGATTGTATCTCAATAGGAACCGAGTTTGAGAGAAGGTATAGAAATTCGGATAGGTAATAAAGTAATGAAATTCACTATTAAATACTAAAAACAGCTTTTTTAAGTTTTGTCTTTTGAGGAATATGAAATATCGAAATATGAAATAATCGTAATATAATTACATTGACAACCACTATGACAATGACAAGACAAGACAATTGGACCAACTGTCAGACTGACAATTGACAGAAAAATGACGTATAACAGCTGAGTTCTATTTCAGCATATATGTACTATTTCTATATATGGCGCATCGCCTATACGATATCTCATCCAAAATGTGACCAAAATGAGAGGTATTTTTTGAATCTAAAAAGCAGGGCTCACAACCAAACTTTTTACGTTTTGCTTTTTAAGTTTCGTATTGTGATTGGTAAAGCGAAATCTGAAATTAAACGTGATAAACTGAAGCAAATGTCATTCTCAACAAAAAAACGTTAACGTGAGTTTTTACGGTTTTTCTCAGTTGCCTCGGCTTTGTCACTTGTGCTTCATCATGAAATGAAATGAAATAATCACAACAACAATATGGTGCTGGCAGAGATGTAAATTGCTCCTTAAAGAGAAAAATCAATCCTAAAAAGGCAAATATTGGGTGAGACTATCATTGAGGTATGGTGTGGAAATAGGTTGAGTATTGAGTATTTGTCTATTTTTCCATTCTCCTACATCGTGCCATTTTCACACATAGTGGCATCTTGCAACGCAAAAAGCTGGAAATATTCAGCTTTTTGCGTCATGTCCATTCCAGATTTTGTTTCACCAATCAGAATACGAAACGTTAAAAGCAAAACGTAAAAAGTTTGGTTGTGAACGCCATCCAAGGACGGAAAGTGGTGGATGGAAACAGTCATATAGGTTTGACAAGTTTTGTATTATTTTTTCACTACGTCGGCATGGACATCGCTTCATATATGAGTATTAAATATATGATTTCTTGTATTTCGTATTTCGTGCGTTTTATCTACTTTCTTGTTCTGTGGTTTGAATTTGAAGTTGAAAAAGATTTGATTTAACGACCATTCATCAATGTGCCGTAGATCTGTTTTGGTTTTGTATTTGACGACGACGAATGGTTATTTTTTACTTATATATTTTTTGCTAATTCATCTGACATTCTGAAATTTTCATAAGGAGTGATTTGGTATAAGTACTATTTTACTTATACCTTAGAATACCCTGTACTTGTACAAAACTTTTTATTGGAGTATTTGAAAATTGTATTTATTGTTTTTAATATGTCTCAATTCAAGTTTTGGAACGACGTGAATAGTCTATTGACAATGGATGGACCCGTAGCTGGTCCAGCACCTAGATGGCAAAAGAAGAAAGAATCTAGTTCATCAAATAATAGTTCCATTAACTCCTCAAAGCTGAGATCCTTGTCATCTTCAGCTCTAAATTTGACAAAAACTCCAGTGAAGAGTGGAGATAATGATTTTCAGAAGAATAAAACACCTTCAAAAACTCCCAAAAGGTCTTCAAAGACTCCAACACCTAACAAATCTTCAAGAACACCAGGGGGAGATCGTTTTATACCATCAAGAAGTACCACCAATTTTGACTTAGCTCATTATAAACTGACACAAGATGAGAATAATCAAATTGATAGCCCATCACATAAAGAATTCAAAAGAGTTATGTCCGAGAATTTACATGGTGTTGATATTACTAATCAGCATATTCTTTCATATAAGAATAAAGCTCCATCAGCACCTGAAGGGTTTCAGAACCCTATGAGGGTAATTTACACCCAAACTAAGACACCTGCTTCAGTAAAAAGCAGTAGATATATTCCTCAAGCCCCAGATAGAATTTTGGATGCTCCTGACATTGTGGATGACTATTACTTGAATTTGATTGACTGGAGTTCTACTAATATATTAGCTGCAGCCTTGGGAGCACATGTATATTTATGGAATGCAGGTAATTAGCTCCATTGATGCAACACCAATTATTAATGATCATTGTTTTATATTGATATTGATGAATTGAGAAACATTAGTTCCCAGACTTATTCTGAATTTCAATCTCCCATTTGTTTTCATTCACCCACATATAGCAGGTATTGCTTGAACTCAACCAATTCATGATACCTTTATATAGGTGTAAAATCTGAACTTGAGTATTGTTTTATATGGATTATTTTTCTGCTCATATACTCAATCTTTATAATTTTTACATAAGTAGTTCCAAGAGTTCTAATTTAGATGACCAATGGAAATATCCTTCAAACTATTTAGAATGAATAAACTCTAATCTAGTTCTAATGTTGAAAAAATAATGTCATAACTGGTTTTTGAATGATTATAATTATTGTATTCTGAAATATTTATAAACATGGTGATTCAAAATCCTATGTAAATATTTCAAGGAAATATTGTTTGAATCAAAATAAGACTGTTTCTCATATGAACATGTGTCCTAATAAAAGGGAGGACCCCCCTCCAACTCCTTCAAAACTGGGTTACATAATATTTTGAAGCAAGAAGGAAATAAAGTGTCCAAAAGGATAGGGGCATGCCAATTTTTGGGAAGATTTGATCTGTCATTTTAGTCACAATTCCAGATGATCTTTTTTCTTTACCTGACTTGGCTGTGTAGCTCAGAGGGGGTGAATTTTAGGGCACATGTTTATGTAAAGAAAAAGTATTTAATCCCAACAATATGTCCACCAAATATTTACATCCACATTTGAATCACCCTGTATGTGGTGTTGGAAGTCCTAACTTTTATAGGCTACCCACTTAGCTCCTTCAGCCTATTTTAAAAAGTGTTTCTGAACAATGGTGGTAAAAGTTATTTTGAATACACAATGAGATCAATGTTTGATCAAATTTTCCTATGCAGTATTCAATATGGAAAACCCAACTTGATAATAATATTAAATAATAATAGTATTATCAATTACCATGTGCAGTTATAACAGAATCAGGCCACAGAATAACAATATGGGTGTATGAAAGATTTGTTGGCAATCCCAAAATGACACTAGCTCTAATAGATATTACCAAGATATATTACTTAATGAATCATGCAGTTATTGTTTTACTTTTATTATGAATCATGATATCACAAAGATAATTCAAAAAACCATTTCATTATAAAAAAAGACAGAAACACTGCAATGTTTATTGAGAAAAATATCTTAGGAAAAACTTTTGGGTAAAAAGGTTGCAGTGATTCCATTTCATCTAATTTTGTAGGATCTCCTTCACCCCTTCTGCACCCCTGCAATAAGAAAATATCAAAACATTGCTATTTCAGGAGGAAAAATACATATCTCTCCCTCTAGAATGTTTTTAGTCAAAAAATACAACATATAGAATAACCATTGGAATAATTTATGATGTCTACTGATTTTGCCACATTTTTTCTTCTTTTCAGGACAAAATCGGTAACACCTGTAATGTTTAGGAAAGTAATATCTTGCTATGGTTTTATGTTATCAAAAATTTCAGGAAGTTTTGAATGAATTCATTATGTAATCCTAATTTTGTTGCATTTATTTCTTCCTTTTTTATAAAAATATTGGGAATCTGTCATTTTGAGTCAAAGAAAATATATTGTCAAAGATTTCATCAAGTAATACCTATACCTACCTACCCACTCACTTGCTTTGACTTGTTATTCTTTACTGGATATCCCTTTTCATGGGAACCAGAACATAAAAAAAGTCGCGTTTTTTGATGATTCTCTGGTGCAGGAATTGTGTAGGAACAAATAAAACTGTAAATAATTGATAATAAAAAGAAATTAAAATACTTCATAATTAGATTAGATTACAAGGTTCATTCATGTTCAGGAAATATGATGCTGATCCAGGAGGAAGTCTTGAATATTATAGTAGGCTTTATCTATGAGATAGGTTTTTAGTTTCATTTTCAGGTTTTTAATGGTCAAATTTCTGATGTTTGCAGGTAGGACATTCTATACTTGTTTTAAATGACATGGAGCATTTCTCTGTATAAAACTGAGCCTAGTTAAGTCTGTTGTGAGATCCTCTTTATTTCTTGTGTTGTATTCATACTCAGGAATGGAGTTTCCAAAAAATTCAAAATTATTTTTTACAAATATCAATTCTAAAATATACAGGGTGATTCAGGTTTTGAGACACAAACTGTAATTGGAGATAGACCTCATCATTTCAATCGGATAAGTTCATTGTAAACATTAGTCCGATCTCGTCCAGAAGCGGAGCTACAGGGGGTCAAAGTTCAATAATTTTGTTCTATTAATTGAAATATCTCGCTTACTTCTTGAGATTTCATTTTGAAATTTGGTGTGGTATACTTCCTAGATCATCATTTCAAGCTATTTGAAGATTTTCAAAATCTACAGGGTGATAGGTTTTTGTGGGTAGACGCTTCTTTATCCCCCCCAAACTTTTTCGTCGTACGCCTCTGGCACCTTTCACTGATCAAATTGTGTGGATCGTTCAATTTAGAGGCTTTTTTGCTTCCTGATTCTTTTCGAGAAAATGAACCGTTTTTGAGATAAATGAGCATATACGTTCTAAGACATGTTAATTTTGCCTATGTTTCGCTTAAATTTAATTCTTTGACAAAATTCGTTGAGAATACAATGAAATGTACTCACTAAAATTGCAATTACTAGTCCAATCTGGATCAGTTACGGGAATACGGAGGGTAGAAAGTCGAGTTTTTTTTCAGTTAAATGAAATTTAAGCGAAACATAGGCAAAATTAACATGTTTCAGAACGTATATGCTCAATTATCTCAAAAACAGTTCGTTTCTCGAGAAGAATTGAAGGACAAAAAAGCCTCTAAATTGAACGAATCACACGATTTGATCACAAGAAGATGCCAGAGTGGTACTCCAAAAAATTTTGGGTGGGATAAAGAAGCCTCTACCCCCAAAACCGTATCACCCTGTAGATTTTTAAAATCTCAAAATGGCTTGAAATGATGATATTTTAAATAGTTTCGACCACACCATATTTCAAAATGATATCTTGAGAAGTAAGCGAGATATTTCAATTAATAAAAAAGAATAATTACACTTTAACTCCCTGTAGCTCCGCTACTAAACGAGATCGAACTGATGTATATATGAACTTTTCTGATTAAAATTATGAGATCTACCTCCCATTTCAGTTTGTGCTTTAAAACCTGAATCACCCTGTATATGCACGTTATCGTCAAGATTTTATTTTGAATAAATATTGGTTTGCAACTTTCTCTATATTTAGTTTGAAAAACTCAATTCTTTATTATTCATTTGACTTCTTGATCGGTTGATATGTTACTTGCAAATTTAGTTGCTGAAATATCATCTTTTAACAAAGGTTCATAAATTACTGTAGGATGTAGGAATATTTATGGTTATATTCCACTTCTTTACAGGAACAGGAAATATAGAACAATTGTTGGAATTGGAAGGTAATGATTATGTTTGTTCCCTTGCTTGGATTCAAGATGGTAACTGTTTGGCTGTTGGTACAACAAATGGTAAGAAACTTTGGAAGTTTAAATTTGATAGAGTTTACAAAAGTATGGCTTTTAATCATTCATTCACATCAAGGGAAAAAGCTGTATGAATACATACTTATTTTTGTTATTAAGCAAAATTTGATATTCAAAGAGATTTTGCATGAATTTTTCTTGGCGGGCCACTTTCAGAATCCTATCTCAATAATTATGGAATATAAGGATATGCTGCGATATTAGGTTGAGTCCATTTTCAACATATCATTCCTGCTAATTACATTTTCCAGGAATGTATTTGACACTGGCGAGAAATGCATATCACTGAAATTATCCCCACTTGGCCATAGTGTTATCATTGGTGTCTCTTTGGCACTTGTAGATTCAAGGATCCTAAAGCGGCAAGACACTTAGCAATCTTTGCACAATATTCTGTACAGAAATCAATATAGCAACTTGAAGCAGGACAATCAGGACATTTTATTCGAAAATGGAAAAATAAATAAAATAATTTCATCCCTATTTAAAATGTGAAGTTAATATTGCCAACACAACTGATTAATATCCTTGAAAAATACTATCGCCTTCAATTTTCAAAAACAGGAAAGAAAAACGATACGTTCTTCACGTGAAATACCTTTTATGAATGAGGTTGAGCTATTTCTAAACTAACTTTTTGGACCATCTTTACAGTTTCTACTATATTTTTCGCTGATTCAACATTATGTCTCTCTCCCTTTGTATGGGAAAACACGATTTATATAATTTCACAATTCTCTTGTGTGTTTTCAGCTCTCGAAAATTATATTTTTTAAAATGGTGCACCATGTCGTTTTTCTTGAAGATGATAACATTTCAAAGAAACTGAACCAAAAACTATTTGGAACAATATCCACATGTTTTTCTATTACACTATTGACCCTCAAGATATCATCTCCAATTTTTCTATCCAAATTGCAAATATTGCAGGGTAAGGCAGTCATGGTACACACCTCTTTCTTTTTTCATTTTTAAAATTATTGTCAACTTTCATACATTGAAATGACTCACTTCCGGTCTTCGACATGGGTATTTTATCGAATTTTTGAAACTGCACAGTCTTCTGATCAAGTACACCGCAAAAGTGACGATTTCAACCCATGCAGTATTATTTTTTACCGCTTTTGGAGCGCACGAAAGGTAATCGCTATAATATTCGAACATCGTGCGTACGTAACTATGGAGGATAGGAAGAAGAGGTAGGTATTAGTACACATAAGCAGCTAATTTGGACATTTCTTCAATAAGAATTTTGTTGCCTGAAATCTAATGTAATATAAAATATTGCTTTCGGAGTCTGTACCCCAATGAACTTAGCAGAAACACTTCAACATTCCAGATTTGCAATTTTGCTATAACTTGTTACTAATTTATTTATTTATTACCATATTCACAAATTTATTACCCTTCACAGAAAAAAAACCAACGACTCTGCTAGCTTTATGTCAACCTAGCACAACCATAGCTGGGTATTTATTATTTTGAAAACTTCAAATATACCATCATTTATCACTATTTTATTACTAACTTATAACTTCACGATTTTTTCACTCATCATTCGATAAAAAAATGCCGATTTGTCTATCTCGATCTCATTATAGCAGAACCAAAACTGATATCACATGTTTTTTTTTTAAATTCTATTGAATCATCAATAAGTTACTAATCTATTACTAATTTATTGCCACATTCGCGAATTTTTAACACTTCATGTAACAGAAAAATACAACGGCTCTTTATGTCAACCTAGCAGAACCATAGCTAAACATTTATTTTTTTGATAATCACGAATTTTTTGCTCATCATTCGATAGAAAAAAAAACGCTGATTTGTCTTATCTCGATCTTAACCCAGTACAACCAAAATTCGAATCACATGTTCTTTAAATTCCATCGAGTCCTCATTAAGTTACTAATCTATTACTTATTTATTGTCACATTCGCAAATGTGAAACCCATCATTAAACAGAAAAAACCAACGGCTCTGCTATCTTTATGTCAACCTAGCAGAACCATAGCTAAACATTTATTTTATTGAAAACTTCAAATATACCGTAATTTATAACCATTTAATTACTGTCCTATATCTATAATCACACGAATTTTTTATTCATCATTCAATAGTAAAAAGCGCCGATTTGTCTATCTCGATCTCAACATAGCAGAACCAAAACTCGAATGACATGGTTTTCGAAATTCTATAGAGTCCTCAATTAGTTAATAATTTATTACTAATTTATCATTACATACGCGAATTTATAATCCTTCTTCCAATAGAAAAAAACCAACTGCTCTGCTAGTAACTTATTGAGGACTCAATAGAATTTCAAAGAACATGTGATTTGAGTTTCTACTGTGTTGAGATCGAGATAGACAAATTGATTGACGTGAAGCTAGCAGAGTTGTTGTTTTTTTTTCTCTTAAATGAAGGGATAGAAATTTGCGAATGTGGCAATAAATTAGGTAACAATTAGTTACTTATTGATGACTCAATAGAGTTTCAAAAAACATGTGATTCGAATTTTGGATCTGCTTTAATGAGATCGAGATAGACAAATCGGCGTTTTTTTTATCCAATGATGAGTAAAAAAATCGTGATTACAGTTATAAGTAATGAAATAGTGATAAATTATATATTTAGAGTTCTCAAAATGATTAATTTTCAGCTATGGTTCTGCTAGGTTGACATAAAGGCCACCGACTATCTAGACTGCTAGTAGTCATATAGCAGCAATCAGAAAATGTAGGGTCAGTTGCTCGCCTGAAAACGATTCTGCTCAATACGCAGAAACCCCCAAACTGTCGTTCATGACTTTGACGTGGTATCGAAATCAACCTAGCATCCATTTTTTTCATTGGCGGCGGCAAGGGGGATGGCGTCGGCTTGAGTGTTTTATATATGTCATCGGGGGATAAGTGAATCATATCAAAATTGAGTAGAGATATTATTTTCTTCGTTTTATTTTCGCCAGTCCTAGGAAATATGAAGTGCTTTGTTCTTTGGTGTGAGAATTCCACGATTTGTAATACTAAATATCTTTATTTCCATCGAAGAGTTTGTGGGTAATGAATAATGTATTATTTTAATTTGCTTTCATCAGTTGAGCAAGTATTTGAATCAAATAAAATCATGCATGTTTTGTATATTCATTCAGCTGTGAAGAATTTGAGTTCAGGCGTGCCTGCTTATCTATTTTAGACGATTTTGGATTTAAAGTTTACTCATTTAATAATGATCCTAAAATTCCTAAGAATATGATAAATCAATGGTTTGAGGATATTAGGAGACTATTGAACCTTAGCCACTCTGGACGGATAATTATGTTCAGACCATTTTACGCCAGACAGCTTTCTGATGCTTCCAGGCAAATCCGGACAATGAAACCACATGCAAATTTGCTGTTTTTTGAAATAAAGTTATTTTTATATGCCTATGTTCCTCGGATTCATGAGTGTAACATGACAGATCCTAAATACGTATGAACCAGTTTCACCGGTTCGATCTCCTGAGTGGCTCACCTCTTTCCTTATAGAACTGGTCTAGATTAGTCTTTTAATGAAGAGTGATAAATTTTCGAATGTAGTAATGAAATAGTACTAAATTAGTAACAAATTATAGCACTATTGCAAATCTGAAATGTTGAGGTGGTTCTGCTAAGTTTTTTTTTGGGGTCGAGTCTGTTGGACGAGTAATTTTTCCGAAAGTTTTTTTAGTGTAATTCGGTGAAACAATTTAATTAATTCGTAAATCACATTGTTGTGTCTCAATAGACAAATTTCAAACATCAATTTTTAACCCGGTATTTTCAATGAGATTTTTCATTATCTAAATTCAATACGATCCATATGAACGAGACTGTTGAAAATAGTTATCACGCCTGAAAAGCAATACTGTGTTTGTATACTTCTTCATATCTTGACTAAGAAACATTTGAATCATTAGTTCACAATTTGTAGTCGCAGCTCATTTATCGTATAATCCGTTCCTAGTGGATGAGACGCTAGGCAATAGCCAAACATAAAAAACGACTTCTCTGAACATGTAGATGAAGGAAGATACGATATTTTAAGTTGAAAACATTTACATGACCTTGTTCTGCTAAACGCAAATGATCGGCTTCAAAATAATTAGTGGTTATGTCTGCCTGTCACTGCTTGTCTAGTGTCCTTCTCTAACGGTTTTCGCAGCGCTGAGCATGAATAGTACATTAGCGAATTTCCCGAATGCACCCTAAATATTCGAAAAAGTCGAATCCTTTTATAATAATGGCATTATTGGTATACTGATTGACAAAAAAACAAATTGGTTTTTAACCGGCTTTTAGGTACAACTGAACTTTGGGATTGTAGCCGATCTAAAAAACTCCGTATCATGGAGGGACATTCTGCTAGGGTTGGTTCCCTGGCATGGAATTCCTATGTGTTGTCTAGTGGTTGTCGCAGTGGTCAAATTATTCATCATGATGTCCGTCAGAGGGATCACATTGTTACTACACTTTCTAATCATACACAAGAAGTTTGCGGGCTGAAATGGTCGACTGATGGTAAATACTTGGCCAGTGGCGGGAATGACAATGTGCTAAATATTTGGGAAACTGTAAGTAAATCACGTGATACTTTGTTGCATATCAATTCAGGTTAGATAATCAAAATCAATATATGGTTTACTCAAACTATTGACCATATCCTTGGAACCAGTTTCATGAATATGTGACATCTAAGTAAAAGATGAAAAACTGGTAGATTGTGAATTATTGAAAATTTCATTTCTGAAGTAACTATAATTGACATTGACAAGCGACAATACATTCGACAGATGACATGAATGTAACAGTAATTGCTGCCAACACGATAAAACAAAATACCTCATTCTCTTGAGCAAAACATAGACAATTAGTTTTGTGTCCATCAGAATATTTACTTACTCATTTTATTTTGATATCATTATCTTAATTCAGTGTTGGTTTGCAACTAGGAAGTTCTAACCATTAATCAATATTGAATTGAAACTATTTAAGTAACATAACCCAAGTAACATATGCTTCATACAAACTCATTGTTAGGGAAAAAACAAAAGAAAAAACAGAAAAGTTCAATTTCAAATCCGCTCTCATTTTTGAATAATCTATTTTCCATGCAAAATTCTTTAAAAAAATAGGTTGATATCATGTTGAGGTCATGATATCCAGTTGATCCTAGAACACTTATTCAGTTGTTATATAAAGTTATCATATAAAGAATATTTGTCAGTTGTATGATGAATTGATCTTCATCATTGATGTTCATCATGTAGGCTGTAGAAACATTTGAGAATATTCCTTTCCATAAAGGATGTTGTTTGCACAAGGGAATGATTACTTATAAAGTTCAGTTATTAGAAAATACATGGATTGCATTTTGATAAACAAGAAGTCTTCAGGTATAAAAATCATGAAACAAATGAATTTTTTCAAAACTAATTTTTCAGACTTAAAACAATTTCAACACCCATGAATCAGTTTCATGTACAAACAACATTCTGTATATAACTACAGAAGAATGACTGAGTAAGTCAGTGTTTGGGATCACACGTTAAAAGGTAAGGCCCCCGTCATTCCTTGCTCGCACAAGACTCTCGAAGACTTCTGAGGGTTGCTCGTAAGGGGGCAACCGAATGACGGATAGAACAATTTTAGAACAACAATTTTTAAAAAAATGTTCATTTTTCACTCGACCCATAATGCTGTGGAGGGCATTATGAATCATAACGCCCGCTAATTGTTTTTTTCTGTAGTTCATAAAATTACATACCATTCTTGAGAGTACAATAATCCTTGTTGTATACAGGGTGATCCACGGTGGATGGCCTATTAGAAGTATCTGGAGTACGAGAAGACAGAACATTCTGAAAATTGGGATGCTTTGATAATTGAACATTCTCTATCCGTCTAAAATATTTTCATCGATACAGTGTTGCCACTTCTATCAGAAACAACTAGCAACTTCGTTATTTTAAATGGAGCACCCTGTATTTTATTGCATTTTTAGATTCTTCGTGAAGAGCTGATTTCATCAATGTATCACACTTGGGGTCTAGCAGGAATGATTACAGAGATATAGGGTGTTCAAAATCGAGATTTTTCAGTTGTAGGATTTTTTTGTGTCGAAACTATTCATTATCGATCAAAACGGCTTACATGTCCCTATCTCAAATTTCTATTCACTATCTACTGACATTTAATTGGAACTGATACAGGGTGAGAATTCTGAATCATTAAGCACCCTGTATTTTTTCCAATTAAATTCCTGTAGATAATGAATCAGAAGTTAAGATAGGGACATGTAAGCCGTTTTAACACAAAACAATCCTAAAATTGAAAAATCTCGATTTTTGAACACCCTATATCTCTGTAATCATTCCTGTTAGATCCTAAGTGTGATACAAAATAAAACATTGAAGTGTATTTTCAATTTAAATTTTCTCGAACCAACCATGAATTTATACAAACCTAGAGATTTATTAGATCTAACATCACTATATAAACTTAAAATATGTTGTTTTATTCAATTTGTCCTATATAAATTGAAAAATTCGAATTTAAATTTCAATGAAATCAATTCGTTACATAATCATGGAACAAGACAATCAAATTTACTAATAGCAAATACGTTCAAGTCAAATATCGGCAAACAATCAATTTTTCACACAGGAATCGTTCTATACAACTCATTACCAAGTCAATTGAGGAATATACAGGAAGCAACTAGATTCAAAATTAACTTGAAAAAATATCTGCTTCAGAGACTTTGATAATTCCATTTCTTATTTGAATACCTAAGACTAGGATATTGCATGATTATTTGCATTTTTTTTTTACTTGTTATATCTTATTATAATTTGATAATTATTGTATGTATAACATTATGTATATTGTTATGTATCCCTATTATAAACAACTATGTTTCTTGGGGTAATAAAGACAATCAATCAACATTGATGAAATCAGCTCTTCAGGAAGGATCTAAAAATTCAATAAAATACAGGGTGTTCCATTTGAAATAAAAAAGTTGCTAGTTGTTTCTGATAGAAGTGGCAACACTGTAGCGATGAAAATATTTTAGAGGGATAGAGAATGTTCAATTATCAAAGCATCCCAATTTTCAGAATGTTCTGTCTATTCGTTCTCTAGATACTTTTGATAGGCCATCCACCGTGGATCACCCTGTATACATGAGTCTGGATTTCTCTGACAATTAATTAATCCAAGCCTTGTCTGCATTTTATGATATTATTGGATAAATTTGTATTCATTTCACATCAAATCTGTTTGGAACATCATGTCTCAGAGATTTTTCAACATGCTAATGATATTATTAGTTTTTTGCTAAACAATAACTGATATGACAAACTGATTTTATTTATATATTTTCTTGGCCATGAACTGAAAAAAAGAGAATTGTACTCAAGAACTTTAGATCAAATTGAGTTGTGAAAAACAAAATTTTGAATTGCTCAAGAAATAAGAACATACAATGATGTGAAGGATGGTGTGTGACACACTGTATGTTACACACTGTTTATAGTGTTTCAGGGCATTCTGTCTTGAAGTTGTCAAAATATTTTTGTTATTTGTAGGTATAGGGATTTGGAATAATTTTACCAGATATTCATTAGAAAAATATAAGCATGTGAATGTATTCAGTTTGTGGAGTTGATACAGGCAGTGAATAGGCTAGGAAAATAATACATTTTATCTTTACAATTTTGCAAATCGATCCAGGCTAATCCTTGGTTGACCATATGCTCTAGTGCTTTCTCTCCTCTTTCTTTTTCCCATTTCAACACTTGCTCCAAATAAGAAACTGACAAACAAGAATTATTTTTCTCTGCTTGCTGCAAAATCACTGAATGGTCCATGCTCAATTCCCCAGGAACTGATTGAACCATGTATTTGTCCTTTCCCATTGGTATAACATTGAAGCCACTCCCAAAAATTTTCAGTTTCTTTGCTGCTCGAATGAGATCATCCTTGGATATTTCTTGGTGTGATTTATTTTTACCTCTGGCTCGAATTAATCTCGTTCTTAATTCGTCCAAACTGATGAGGCCCCCATTTTTTGCATTAGTTGCTAGACATACTTCCACTATCTGTACTGCTAGTTCATAGTAAAAGTCACCAATTCCTAAAACCGACCAGAATCCTTTTCCAGATGATAAAGGGTCTACACCTATACTGGCACACATTTCTTGGAACTGTTTCCTGAATTCTGAGTTTTTTCTTATTTCATTTTTGTGTTTTGTTGCAAATTCTTCCAAGTTTACCTTGAAAACTTCTAATTGTTTTGTCATTTGTTCAAATTGATTTTCTTGAATCTCATTGCCTTTATCTTTATATTTTTCTTGTTCATATTTATTTTTTTTAATTGCTCCTAGTCCAATCCCTCTTCGCATATTTTCAGTTTTCTAATTTCTTCACAATCAAAACAAAAACAAAGGTTAGGTTAAGTCTTCTTCTTTATCTTATCTGCACTGCAGATATAAGTCTTCATCTCTTTTTATTAGGTTAATAGGTATGATAGAATCTTGTTATTTCAGGTAAAGATTCTTTTTCTACACTTCATCGTGAATTTTGAGATATTTTCCAGATATATATTGAATAATAAATACATTTTTCTTCCTCGATTTTGTCGATCGACGTAATCGAATTTTTTTGGCATTGATGGATATGTAGGGAATAATTATGAATATTTAAAAATATACAGAGTGATGTTTGAAAAACATCAGTTATTGGTATCATTTCCGGTTGAACCAGAAATAGAAATCATCATGCGAATATGTCTCAAAGTGTTATTTTTCATATACAGTAAGTTCCCTGAACAAACAAACATAGTTCAAGGGGGTTACCTCTATAGTAGCTGCTGCTCCACATTTTTGAGCTATTTACAGGACTTAAGTGAGAGCTTGTCAAATTCCGGTAGTAAACTTGACTTGATTCATCTAATGGAACATATAAAATTTTTTCAAAGTTGCATCTTAGCATATTTCATTTATTTTTCAATCTTAATTTGGCAATATTCCTAACTTGGTTATTATTGAAGCTACAATATATCAATTAAATGGGCTAACTAGTAGTATTTTTTTCGCTGATTGAGATGATTATCAAGGATATTGAATACTGGGTGTGCCATTTAAAGAAATGTATCTTTTTGACATAACTGGAGCTTTTTGTTTTGTTTTCATCAGCGGAACAATACTACCTAATAGTTTGTTCATTTGACTGACTTTGTAGCTCCAATAATATTCAAGTTAGCAATAGTGTTGAGAGTTTGGAAACACTGTGTGTCCCGAAATTAGAAAGATTCTAACTGAAGATTCAAAAGGCCTGTTCGTTTGTATTGCTAAACTTGATAAAGTTGATTCTTTTCCCATAGTTGTCTCTGTTCATGGCATGATGTAAACAAAGAAAGTCATAGAAAAAAATCAAGTTCAGCAGGTGGAGCAAGGACAAACGAACAAGCCTTATGACAAAAATAGTTGAAAAAGTTTATACACATGGGTCCGAAAATGACCCTTTAGGGGTTACCTAAAGGCGAGCCCGAGGTCAGGTTTGTTTGGAAATATTTTTGAACCCTTTTGTGATGAAGTAACCAACTTTTGTACATGTCCCTAACTTTTTACGGCCAATTTGAAGATGTTGAGAACATTTTCATCAGTGGCGTGAGATATATATATATAAAAAAAGGGTTTTCGAGATGAATTGATTTTAAAATTCTGCTGCCTAATAAAAATAGTACATTCTCCTTAAATTTATTATAATTATTTTCCAATTCATTTCATTGTACCCCCGATTATTATATATCAAAACATCGGAGGCAGATGTTGAAAGAAAGGGTATTTTCCAACAAACTTTTTCAAAAAGCACAATTTTATTATGAAGCAGAATTTTAAATTTTAATTATCTCGAAAATTATATTTCCATATTTTATGGTCAAACTGCCGAAAATTTCATGAACAAAAACGTTGGAGAAAGAAGTACCAGTTGCCCCTCCCCTTATTTCTCATGTTCCTGATCAAAATTTCGAAATGTTTTCAACATTTTCGAATTGGGCATAGATTGTTAGGTTAATATACACATTTTGGTTATATAATCACAAAGAATTTCGAAAATATTTATAAAAAACCATTATCTTGGGCTCGCCTTCAGATGGCCGGCTAAGGGTCGATTTCTGGACCAATCTTTATATGTACTTTTTTACTATTTTTGGTGAATCTGTAGTTAAAATCTGTGATTTCAACACACTTTGTATAGGTATTTTTGATCATTTTTACGACTTCCGATCTCTTGAAGAAAATTCCTCACCCTGTTAATGTTGTGGAGAAAACTTTCCATCTCGGCATGAGTGTGTTTGAAAAGACAACCTGTATTCAAATATGTAATAATATACAGAGTGATCTGTATGAAAAATCGAGTTTACATCTGGTTGAACCGAAAGTTGAGTAGTGTTTACATTCGCCTCAATGGATAGTGCAGAAAGTTTAATTTCTTTTGATACCTAATGAGGGCTAACATTTTCAGTCCCGCCAGTGGGCTTTACAAAAACGCGAAGTCAATGTCAAAGTAAAAAATCCCAACATTTTTCGGGATAGCCCTAAAGGCTGTGGCCTGTTTGATCAAAAATATTGGAGAAAAATGATCTTGAATATTTCAACAAATAGAAGACCTCATAAGTTATGGAAATACTTGAGCAGGCTTACGTTTTTTTACGGAGAAGAAGAAATCGCAGGAAGAGGCCAAATGACACGAAAAGAAGAAGTATATTTCTCAGTTCTACCAACTCTGACCTAAAGCTTTAGTGGCGCGATCAGGTGGACAATAAATAATGTTAGTCCCCATTAGGGTCCCTTGATGGAAATTGACGTTAAAGTCATCTTAACAGGGTACGGACAGATCATAGCTGCATTCTTTTCTAATGATCTAGAGATTTTAGTTTTGTCTACTGGCATCCCTGACATTGCTGTCACGTCACATCCATGGGCGCTCCAAAAAATCATTCAAAATTTTAATAACAGGTATGTACAGGGTATTTACTTGTTGAAGAAGATTATATGGCGAACGAGTTTTGTAAATATGATCCGATTCTATTCAAAATTGGATGGTATGTGGGGTTTTCCGGGGTTGGAGATGATGATTGTTTCGTCAAACTTGGAAAATTCAAGATGACGGATCCAATATATAGCAATAATTTCTAATTATGATCTGATTCTATTTAAGATTGGTTTCCGTGGTCGAACTTTATGATTCTTTGTCAATATTGGGAAATGCAAGATAGCGGATCTGATATGGCGAACGAAACTTGGAATTATGATCCGATTATATTCAAAAAATCAAAATTGGTATCTGGGGATTTCCGGGGTTGGAGATTATAATTATTTTGTCAAAATTGGGATATTCAAGATGGCGGATCCAATATGGTGGACGAGTTTTGTAATGAAGATCCGATTTTATTCAAAATTGGTATCTAGGGGTTTTCGGGGTAGGAGATAATGATTGTTTCGTCAAAATTGAAAAATTCAAGATGACTGATCCAATATGGCGAAAGTCATTAGTTCATTTAATTATTACTCTACCACAAATAGAAAATATGTAGGACGCAAGGGTGAAAATAACGTGCCTATAAGTTATACTGCGTATACTTAGCGTATACCTACTTCTTTGTTACTTTCATCAATAAATTATTCGAAAATGACTTTTTATTTAAAAGAGACGGAAAAATCATATGTATAACATGGGGGTGAAGTATATTCTATTCTTTATTTTCCTGCACATTTTACGTATTAATTTTTATCAGTCGACTTCCCGTCCTAGACGAAGTTTTATACATAGTGTGATATTAGTAACTCCATAAAGTCTTCTCCGAGTTGGATTTCTGTAAATATATTTAGCACACATGACATGAGCACAGTAGTCTAGATACCCACATCAAGGTTTCCACCATTTCTCAATCATAAGGCTAAGCACATTCAGCTCATAGATAAACTACTGCTCAGCTTGAAATCAGAATTCATTAAGTAAATTCAGTCAACCCTGGTATACAGTCTAAGAACAGTCTCTTTTGGTGAAATATATTAAGCTTTCAGTACAATTTATATGTTCCCCAAATCGCAAAGATTATGCTGGAGTAGTAAACTCTAAAACTAGAGGAGTGTTCATCTATATCTTGGTATAGTTGAATCAGGAATTCCATATGGAAATTACGTATGAAACGCCAGTGACCTCAATATAACCTAAAGAACAACGAATATCAAAAATCTAGTGTTTATCCCCAGAATTGAATAAGGATGGAACTATATAACTGTTTCACAAACACTTTAGAGTGAGAGGAGACGAGGATCTGTCCGTACCCTGTTGAGATGACTTTAACGTCAATTTCCATCAAGGGACCCTAGTCCCCATTATTGTAATTGACACTCAAGACTGCCGGATGAATTGTTTGAATAAAGATTTTCCTAGGTAACCGGTGGATATCATTCCCAAACTACCCCCTTGCACTCTTTCACTGCCCACCAAGCTGCTGTTAAGGCACTAGCGTGGTGCCCCTGGCAACCGCATATGCTTGCTAGCGGTGGAGGAACGGCAGACAGACACATCAGGTTTTGGAATTGCAATACTGGAGCTTGTGTCAACGCCATTGACACAAAGTCGCAGGTAAGGTGAAATATAGATGTTCTAACAGTGCATGCAGTTTGAAGAGACATTTTTAATTCATGGTGAAAATATTCCACACAGGGAGGGATTGAGATCACTTGGCGCCCGGAACACAATATATTTTTTCTATGGCTGTAACACAAAATTGCTCTGGTTTAACTGTGTTTGATACATCAATGAGGTACTTTGTGTAAGTCATCAATATTATTACCGTATCTGATATCACAATGACTATTGTGTTATAATTTCAAAAAAAATCTCATCGCCCATGGAATGTCAAATTTCAAGCAATGACAGCTCTGTCTAATAGATGAGGATTAATTACTTGAGAGAAAATCAGATGGCTACAAGACGAATAAATCAAAAATGTTGCTGCTATCTGTTACAGCCGTAGAAAAATTATAGTGTATAACTCGCACGGAATGCTGATTTCCCACTCGAATGATTGCAGCATTCGCCTACGGCTCATACTGCAAACTTCATTCTCCTGGAAAATCACGATCATTCCGTGCTCGTTAAACAATGTACTATTTTCGCTGCCATATCACAAAAATAAAACGCAATTTCCATATCTTCAGAATGACATTGTTTGATTCAAAAAGTAATAGCCAACAAAAATTATGAATAATAATAAGATATAGTATAAACAGGAAAGAATTAGGTAGGTACTGATGAATTTACGACAATTTTTGAATACATAGGGACATATAAATAATTGGTCAGTTGTAAAAAAAATTAATAAACCACTACACTTTTTTCAATTGTAATTGAAAGCGTCAATTGTATTTCAGAATAGTCACTTATATTTCAGATAGCATCAATAATATTCAATTTCAGAAAGCCTCCATTGTATTTCAGAATAGTCAATTGAATTTCAGAAAGTATCAATAGTATTTCAGAAAATATCAATTGAAATTCAAATGACAATTCCTGAAATACAAATGACGCTTTCTGAAATTGAATTGACTATACTGAAATACAATTAACGCTTTCTGAAATTGAATTGACAATTCTGAAATACAATTGACGCTTCCTGAAATTCTATTGACTATTCTGAAATACAATTGATGATTTCTGAAATAAAATTGATGGTTTCTGAGATACAATTGATGATTTCTGAAATACAACTGGAGAAGGTGTAGATCAATAAAAACAAGAATCCATACGTAAAGGGTAAAAATAACACATAATAAACAGGTGTAATCTTCACTGAGTCAGTTAGGACTTCAGCAGCAAAAAAATCGCCACGCCCCGCCGGCCGCTTTGAAGTTCAGAGGGACCGGAGGCGCGCGGCAGATGTCTCTTCATGAAACTCTCCCAACTGACTGTGTGAATACTATACTTACTCAGGAAAAAATAAAAATTTTATTAAAATTGATAAGAAACCGGCCTCCTCTATTCTTAGATATTAGTCATGTGATTCTTACCAAATATGATCTGGTATGAATAACCATCAATATGAACAGAGACAAACATCATTGTGGTCAGTGCCGTGCGTTTTTTTTTAAATAAAAATGGGTCGATTTTTCATGACATAAACTGGGCGTCAATTGAAACGTTAATAGTGAAATTTGGCATCAAGTTTGACTTCTCGTAATTTCTAAAATATTTAACGAATTTTGAATTGCCGCCCAGATTCTGAATGCCTTTTTCATCGTCTTTCGAACCGTTCCTTACAGCTTCTTCTAAATTGATCAGGACCCATGATACAGGGTGAAACAAAGTTTCGTGCATTTTGAGGAAAAATCCCCCCCCCCCCATTTTGTCGGAAGACCACGATGCTCATATTTTATTCGGGCATTTCATAAATAGCAACCATACCTCGGAACATTTTCGAGTTTTTGCCAAAAACTACTGTGGTTTCCGAAAAAACATTTTTTTTTGCACTTTTTTTAAATGGACTAATTTTAGAGGAGTTCCATAAATGGATACTTTTATGCATTTCAGGAAAGCGTTGAAGCAGATATATGTATACCAGGTTACTCAAAAATAATCAATAATTTATCACTTCGCCGTCTATGATAGAAGTTTTCTACCGTAGTGAGCAGTAAATCAACACATCTCATCAACAAACACAAACAACGATACATTATCAATATTTTGTTGGGCCTCCCCTGACCCTCAAGACTTCAGCCACTCGTCTCGGCATACTGTCCACTAAATTCTGGATATACAATTGGGGAATAGCTTCCCATTCACGCTAAATTGCATTTGCCAATTCATCAAAATTTTGAAATTGGTTCCCTTGCCTATTCAACCGTAGCTTTGACTCACTCCAAACGTGCTCGATTGGATTCATGTCAGGTGATCGTGCAGGCCACCCCATTCGTTCTATATTTTCCGCTCGAAGAAATTCGACGATGGGGACGTGCATTGTCATCAACCAACATGAACCCACCTCCTTAATTCCTTGCAAAGGGAACAACAACATCTCTCAAACACCTATTACGATATCATTCAGCATTCATACTCTCGCCAAATAGCACTACCAATTCCGTTCTTCCATACCTCATTATTCCACCCCAAACAGTCACACCACCTCCTCCAAATGCCACTCTCGCCTCCATATGCTCTTTCCTATACCTTTCACCCGTTTCTCTCCACACTAAAATACGTCCATCCGAATTATGCTACTCCCCAATTACCATGAACTCTGGCCCAATTCCTTCTGGCGGCCCGATGTTGCGGCAACAGCTGTGGACAGGCAGCTCGTCTACGGGCTCGAAGGTTCCTTTCATGGAGACGCTGACGAATGGTTGAACAGGATATATTGATGTTCGTGATGTTCCTTAGTTGACTCGCATTCAAGGTTCTCCAACGATTAACTGTCAGAAGGACATGGTTATCATCCCGACGAATTGTTGCTCTATTACGTCCACCGCCATGACGGTATGCTATGACTGACTCATTGAAAATGGTACTTAAATGAGTTTGGCTATATCCTAATCATCGTAACCTGAAATAATACTTATCTGTACTGAATTATAGTTTATATCACTATAGTGATCTTACCTAATGATATTTTCCATTTCGACCCGATTTAAACGAGGCATCTTTAAATTTTTTAGGAGACGAATTACACTGTTTTCATGAAAATTGGCAATTGATATTTAACCTCTATGCATACCTACATTGTTTCCACAATACGTTGTTATAGAAACAAGGTATCGTTGTTTGTTTTTGTTGATGAGGTGTGTTGATTTACTGCTCACTAAGGTAGAAAATTTTCATCACTGACTGCGAAGTGATAAATTATTTATTGTTTTTGAGTAACCTGGTATACATATCTGCTACAACACTTTCCTGAAATGCAAAAAAGCATCCATTTATGGAACTCCTCTAAAGCTAGTCCATTAAAAAAAATGCGAAAAAATTTTTTTTTTCGGAAACCATAGTAGTTTTTGGTAAAAACTCGAAGACGCCCCGAGGTATGGTTGCTATTTATGAAATGCCCGAATTAAATATGAGCATCGTGGTCTTCCGACAAAATGGGGGGGCGGAGAATTTTTTTTTCAAAATGCACGAAACTTTGTTTCACCCTGTATCATGGGTCCTGACCAATTTAGAAGAAGCTGTAAGGAACGGTTTGAAAGAAGATGAAAAAGGCATTCAGAATCTGGACGGCAATTCAAAATTCGTTCAATATTTTAGAAATCAAGTCAAACTTGATGCCATATTTCACTATTATCGTTTCAATTGACGCCCAGTTTATTAGGATTTTTTTGCGGAAAAACTAACTTCATAGTTGTGTTCCTCATGCTACTGAACTTAGTAATTCGAAATATACACTGCAAACTTTTTAAAGTTCAGTAGCTCCAGTAGGTAGAACATTATGGTTTAACAGAAGAAACAAGATATACTTTTTTAGTTGAACTCACCGTTTCCGTAAATAATTAATTATGTTCGCAAAAATGCTGTTTAAAACCATGAAATTATGGAGTTAGTTTTTCTGTAAAAAAAATCCAAATATGATTTCATGAAAAATAGACCCCTTTTTATTTCGATAAAAACGCACGGCACTCTCCAAAATGATATTTGTTTCTGAAAAACTGATCAAATTGATAGTTATTCATATCCGTCCAAATTTGGCAATAATCGCACGACTAATAGCTGTGATATCGAGAGAAGGGGAGGAGGGTTTAAAGTGAGACGCCGTATGTAACAGGGATGAAAAATATTGATGAGCCCTCTTTCAGGTCTTGGATGATATAAATTTCTCAATATTGCATCGTTCACCAAGAGTATTCAGCAAATTACATTCGATGTTTAAGAGGGAAATGTCCCTGTGATAATGGGGAAGACCACTGATTTTTTAAAACGACATTATCGTGAACTCTATACTGAAAAACTACCAGTGAATTAATTTTGAATTTTTTCATTCATGCTAAGACGATGAAAAAAATAAATTAGTATATGTCCATTTCAAAACACACAATTCCTGCGCCATTTGAAATTTCATCAATTCATTGGTGTGACTGGTGCGACGTCTTAGTCCCAACACGCCTATTGTCCTTGAACTGACCAATTACACTGCAACACTGCAGAATGACGAGGTATCAGAGAGAGATAGCTACAGTTCGGGACTAATACGTCACGACTCCACCATCATATTTGGCTGTTTGAAATATCGAATGAAATATGCTGATTTCAAAACGATATAGATTCGATTCCCTTCAACTTCAACTCATAATATTGAGTGTACATACAATGTAAATCATGATTCGCCGATTGAAAGAGGTTTGCACGGATTTCTTCCCTCAGTGGTCTTCCCCATTGATATCAATTGAAACCTATATTTCTGATGGATTTCAGAATTATGTATTTTACTTCATTATATTTATTAATTATTATATTATGATACTTATGACTACATTTTCGCATCAAATTCTGAATTCGCCCGCTTCGCTCGTCCCGCAAAATCCCATCATTACACAAAATTTCGTTTTCTAGCTTGTTAGGTACATACTATCTCATCTAATTTTAGCGAAAAAAATGTTCCCACAATTTATCAGGTTGATAATTTCAATGAATTGTATTGGGAATTTTGCGGGTACAATATTTTCCTTGTCAGTTTGAAGTTTTCATAATATGACACAATATCGCGTTTGACAACGTTATATTCTAGGTTTGTGCTTTATTGTGGTCAACAAACTACAAAGAGCTGGTCTCAGGCCATGGCTTCGCAAACAACGAAATCATTATTTGGAAATACCCTGGTATGACCAAGGTGGCCGAACTCACTGGCCATACTGCGAGAGTCCTGCACGTCGCCATGTCCCCAGATGGCTCCACCATACTTTCCGCAGGCGCAGACGAGACGTTGAGGCTGTGGAAGTGTTTCGTGAAGAATCCAACCCAGAGCAAGGACGTCGAGAAAGTGAAAGCTAAGCCAAGCGCGTTCAAGCAATGCATTCGATGAATGAATTATTTTGACTGATTTTACTTTTATTATAACTGTTTTTAAGTTGTATTACTGTGAAATAAAATAACACTTACTAGTTTGAGTGCCAAGAATAATTCGAAACCCCAGTCAAAGGCAAAAATTATAAAACCTAAACTGAGAGATCCATCTCTCACAGAAGCAGATCGACTGATTTCGTTCACACTTCAGAACCTACACGAGAGGATCAATCTTGTGTTTTCAATCGGGTAGTTAACTACAGTGTTGCAGTGGCGGCTCCCCAGAGGAGGCAACGGAGGCTGAGCCTCAGAGATTCTCCTTAAACTGATATTATCTATACTTTCTCATTAAGAGGAAACCAAAATACATGGATTTCGATTTTATTTCCTGTTTTTAGGTAAATATTTTTGAATTGGCAACAGTGCTTGCCCACGCATCACACGTTGAAGTCTGCCAATCACGCGTAAAATATTCAACTTGGCAACATCTATAGAAGGCTAGACTCCTTCACAACGCGCAACCCACGCGCCCAATGCAAATGCCCGAATACGCCCGAATAGCACGTGTGCGGACAATCCAGCGCGAGTGCATTGTTTATGTTTATGTTAGGTTAATGGTTAGGGGCTCTATAAATTTCTGAAAAATGAGTGTTTTAAACGATTGCGATTTAGTGGAATACTTTTTGGTGAACCCATTCAGTGCTTTGTCTCATGAAGATAAATTGATTGTGAAAAACAAACGTCCGACACCGAAATTAAAAAATCTGATTGTAACAGGTAACAAACAAAATCGTTCGTTCAATTCTGATAATTATAAAAAATATATCTGTTTGACGGGATCTGAGGTAAGGAATAAGCTATTTTGTTGGTACTGCGTATTATTTTCAACCGATAAGTCATCATGTTGGGGGCGATTAGGATATAATGATTTGAAAAATTTGCCTCGCGGATTGGATGGACACTGCAAATCACAGGAACACATCTCTTCAAGTATTAAGTTCAGGTTAACTGGTAAACAGAATGTCATTAAAGCTATTGATTTGGGTGAGTTGTAGAGAGTTGTTTTTCACAATGAATCTCATATCATTCAGCCTCCTCTGTCATGAAAGTCACGAGCCGCCACTGCGATTGTCTATGATTGCTATAATCACTTGAGCTAAATTATCAGTAGTACCGCTAAATACCTGCTATAATCACTTGAGCTAAATTATCAGTAGTACCGCTAAGTACCTGCTATAATCACTTGAGCTAAATTATCAGTAGTGTCGCTAAGAACCGTAGCATGGGAATTCTTGGAACTGTGGGGTAAATTGGAACAAAACTTCATATTTTCAAATTACCCCCTGAAAACTACAGCTGATTTCATTTTGAAACATCGTATCGTCGTGCATAGTTGTTCAGTATGGTTATATACTAGTCGATTAAAAATAAGTGGCGTTTAAATATTGTTTTGAGAATGTTTTTCATCATATACTCATACTAGAACAAGACTTTTGTTTTCGTGTTCCAAGTTTTCAAGTCTGCGGGTAACTTGGAACATTGCTATTTTTTTCATATATCTTCCTAACGACTGAACCGGCATAGATGAATTTGTATAATTATAGTACATCAACTCATACATCTTTTGGGATAGGTCAAGATTCCCTACTATGAACAATAACTTTGCCACGTGTATTTGTATCTGAAAAATGCCAAGTATCCCCATTTTACGGTACTTCAAAATATTCGGGTTATAAATCGATAACTTGTTGCATAATTATTACAGAGTGTGAGTTTAACAGTTGAAATAATCCGACCGCGAAGCGGGACGATTATTCTGTTGAATTGACACAATTTGGAAGTTCGAATTGTATTTGATACGATTATTTTTTGACTAGTCTGAACGAACGTCAAAATTTGACGACGCGCTTCGTTTGTAACAATATGAATTAATTACTATATAAATACAAATATATTTGAAATTATACAAGGTAGCTTCTACCCTTGTGTCTTGTGTCCATAGTCCCCAAGAATTTGGTTTGCAGAGAGATGACTAATTCATGTCCGAGTATAAGATATTGAAAAAAGTTTTTTCTGTTCAAATTAAACTGAGAACAAATTATCTCGAGAGCTAAACATTTCAAAAGCCTCACGTTAGGACAAATTGTATCAGGATACAGTTTTTTTTTTCCTTCAAATTATGACAAAATTAACGGTGGATACATAAGATTGATTGCAATCTCCGCGTCTATATCTGGATGAATTAAATTACTAGGTCGTTTAGGAACAGCTTTTTGGTTCTGTATAGACTCTGTTGGATAATATTTCTATTATGAGGTGTACAATCTTAGTGGTTCATGCAATATTGGTTCTATCACTCCTCATCACATATACTGTTGGCTGTACAAGTACATTGAATTTTTGAACAGTATTTAGTTCTTCATGTGACTATTCTATCAATATCGATAATAACTGCGCCATGGAATGAGCCTCACTGTTGCCAAAGTCACGTCGATCGAGTTTTTTAATACCAAATTAACTCACAACAACATCTCAGGAGTGCTATAGAAAATCAGATCATCAATAAATGTATCTACGAATTTGTCACATTCATTTGGTCGATTACTTTTGAAACTATAGAAACATGTTTTTCCACAACTATTATGGTACGTTATGATGTTTTTAGAAAGATTTTGATTTCACAGAAGAAGTAGTATTTGCTGGTTTGCTATTGAAGACATGTAAAAATGTTTCGTCTCCAGCGATGACTAACATTAGTTGTAGTTTCAATTGTGTAAAAATATGAAAACTATTTCACTGGTTGAAAGTTGAAAAATTGGCACAATTTGGAATGCAATTAAATTTACCAGTTGCAGACCTGCTTTCCCTCGCCAGTACATATAAAGAATGATTATCTCGAAAATATTTATTTAGTAATATTTTACACATAACACAGAGATTCGAAAACATTCTCAAACGTATTTACACAAACAGTTTTTGCGCCAAAATCAGCAGAAATGGGCCTTTCCTGTATTGTTAAGTTTGACCGTTGCTGACCATAACGTCATGAAGGAAAGTCAAAAACCTTGCCCTGACCACAAATGCATCGGAAAACAGATGAATTAGTCAATATTGAAAATGTAATTCCAATACCTGCTATTTCAAACGCTACTAAGCTGTGACGTCAGTGTAGTCACAATCTGGTTGTTCAAAGTTTGTGATGACAAATCATAGCTTTGGTCTACATTGGCAACATTGTCAATTCCATTGTGCATTAGCACTCGTTCCAAAAGTCATATACATATATTTCATAATATATCGTTTCTGGAAATGACTGGATAGCCCAAGTGAATAAAGTGTCTTCACTTTCATCATCGAGTCTGATCGTCCATCTATCCTTACTTACATCATTGAATTATGCTATCGTCCTGCTCTTGCATACTAACATCATCCTTCAGCATACTATTTGTCATGTCAGCATCGTCTTCTTCCTCCTCTTCCGCTTCCATCTCAAACATCTTGATTTTTCTCTTATTCTCTGAAAGCACTATACTGACCCTTCTACTACCCGAGACAGCAAAGATCGAAGCCGCCATCTCGATATTCTTCAACAATTTTGGAGTTAAAACTGAACCATTACAATTCGGTAAACTAATTTTGCCAAGCTCCGCATTGATATCAATTTCTGTCAGCCTTTCCAATGCAGAAGATAACGGGAATTGAAGTAAAATCCCTGTTTTATAACCTATTGTTTCTTGTAACAGTATCGATATAATATTTGTGGAGTAAAATGACAAATCTAAAATTTGGGAGACATCACCAGTGTCTTCCCCCAACTGCGTGAAATGGAATTTACCACATCTTGCTAAGCACTTGTCTCCTCTTACACGAATTTGCAGCAAATATAGGTTACTCAAGGGCTGAAGAAAACTGAACAACATGATTTCTTTGTTAACATTAGTGGAAGACATTCGTAACGTTCTGTCACCGAAATTAAAACAATCAAAGCATTGCACGGGCTTAAACTGTTTGTCCAAAATATTTTTCGGAGTCTTGAAGATATCCATTATCTTCAAAGCTAGATCTTTGAATTGCTGTATGAGCGATGTGTTCGCATAGTGTTTAAGAATACTAGGATGGTTTTGCACACAGTCGTTTTCTTTCAAGAACGACGTCCAGTCATTACCGTTCATGACTGGGATTATGGTTAATGGAGCATCAACGAGATACTGGCCCAGTCGTTCCATGATGAAGCCTTTGGTATTTTGTCCATCTCTATTACCTGAAAATTCGAATATTAACAAACCATTATGAGGTGAATGGGTAAAATAATTCAGGAAGGCACCAAAAATTAACCTGCCAATGTTAAACAACGGTTTCTACGAGTAAAAGGAAAACTAGGATCGAAAAATTACTCTTAGCGGAACAACGAAGTGGGCTGTAGAAGATATTATTCTCCAGATATTTGAGAATCCTATGGCCAATATGCAATATGAAAATATTTTATTTGGCATATCCTAGGACGTATAAACAAAGATATACGTCCATGGCCATATCAAACAGGAGGATAACCACTTAGAATAGATAAGATTGCCTTAACTTTTTTGATAATTGGCTCTGAAATGAAAGTGATGCCATAATTATCGATTTCTCAGCAGCCGGTATGTTGATTATTGGGAGATTGTACTGGGTTTTTCGATTCCAAGAATTGACGAAATGGACTCAATATATTGTTTCAAATAGTAAAATAAATAAATAAAATTTGAATGAAGGAATTCCTATAAAAAATGTTAATTTTATCGATAAATATTGCATAAAAAATTAGAATTGGACAGACTAGAAAATACTTCTATTTGGGAAGAAAATCCTGCAATAATGCTTGAATTTTTGTTCTTTTTATACCATACGATTTTCTGAAATAACCTTTTGAAAAAAACCCAATTTGTGAGAATCTTGGGGATTTGCCCGAAACTAGTAATACAGATGGTATGGTGAACGCATCGCCATCATCGGTAGTTATTTATTCCAATACTTCATCAGTATACTATGGCCGTCATTAATTGGTATTCCTTTGATATGCAATGAATATAACTAATACTTATATTTTCTAACATGCATAATCTAATGAAACTGCTTCTCATTCTCAAAAGTTCTTGCACTGGACAAACATTTTGAAAAATAACATTAAAATTAACTCATACCAATGTTATCAAAATTCTGTAAAAACTCAGTGATGTAGGCCAAATCTTGCTGAGCCATTTTGTGAATTTCTGAAGGGATTGTTTCATCCATCAGGAATAAAATAGCACCATATAACCATCGAAAAAATGCTTTGTAATTTATAACAGAATGGTTAATGATCTGTTGCATTTCACCAGCTTTTATGAGGAAAGCTCCACTGGATTGTATTGCCTGCGTAATTTGTTCTTCAGAAAGACCAATCACCTGAAAAACCACAAGTACTAAACATACAATATAATTATTGCTTATTATAGCCTCACCCCATATCTGTTTTGTAACCTTGTCATACCTCTCAACTCAGCTAGGTGGTAGGTTAAATTTTGGCCAAATTTCGTGACATTTTTCAATAACAACTTCTGTATATTAGCATAACTCATTTCTATAGTCTGTCCAAATTTTTCGAGTCCTTTCTTAGTGAGTTCAATCATCAAGAACTCTTGTAATTCTGAAGAACATATTCCAAACATGAGCAAATCCAAAAAGTCTGCTGAAACACCTCCTTCTGGTACTTTGCTGGCATATTTAGATAGCTTATGATCAATTTCTAGTAGAAAGCTTTCCCATGTTTCTGTGATATTAGCGATAGTACTAGTCAAGTACGTTGTGAGATCAATAAGTTTTACGTATTTCATAGCGACTGCAAATAATTCCCTTGCATGTGTTTTGAACACTCCTGCATCGATTAATTGAATTTTGACATTGTGTTCAGAATCTTTCACAGTCACAAATATTTTACTCATATCTTCACTCATGTGAATCTGTTCTACAGAACAACTCTTGCCTAAATAAGAATTGATGTTCAATATGGCACAAGTAAAACAGCCAAAAATTCTTATGTGCACATAACCATCTTTGGTACCAACTAGAAGGAGGTTTAGTTCACTTTGTTCTTGTAAAAAGTTAGTTTCTTTCACGTCATCTGAATTTGTGGAATTGTCCAATGATGCATTCAGCATGGGGTCTTTTATATATAACTTTGAGAGATCCTAGAACAGATAGTTCATTAAATCCAACTATAATGTATTCTGGTAGACCACATTACAATATATTTCATATAATCCTTTTTTTCTTCATCTTTGAAGCTGAAATTATCTGTAATTTTTGTGTCTGTTTTTTCTTGAACCCAAACTATATGAGTTATTTCACCTGGAGCTTCTTTAACATTGAGAACTTTTTTGTTTTCAACATTTATTAACAATACTTCTCCTAAAATCAATACAAGAGTATGTATTTCAATAGGTGTCTCACTTCATGATATAAGATATAATTGAAATCATGAATTAGTTGTTTATGGGTGAATGAAAATTAAATAGGAACTGTTTTTCCGTATATAACGAGATCATTTTTATCTGTAATATCTGGTATGAGATTCACAATATCCTCGATCATTAAATAGATATATACTGGGCCAGTCTAAAGTACGTTTCCCCACTACTAATTGAGCCACCTGGTACATTACAACAAAATTTGGAAGGTTCAAATAGGAGATGAAAACCAATTTTTTTTTTCGAAAACGACAGCTCAAAGTTTTAAAATGTCTTGAATAATTTTTTTTAATGGAACACCCCATATACTATTCTATTTTCGAAATCTCATAATTTTTCACGGTTTTATCAAATATTCTCCACTCCTGAATTCAAAAGTTTCCGAAATATTAACGGTTGAAAAGTGACATTTTGGTCATTTCAAACTCAACCAAAATCTCAAACGTCGCTTTCAATCAAGTTTGTTTTGGAAAAAAATGTTTGTCGTGGTGACAACTTGAGTTTTCATTATTGTAGCTATCCTTGAAGTTAAGACTTCTTCCAAAAATATGTTGGTCGAAAAAGAGTCAAATTCGGAAAGATGCACTTAGTATGTTGAGAACTTTTTTAGAAAAAGTATAATAAGTTACACATTCTGTAATGCTATTTTCGTTGACTTACACTTTTTTTATTATAGAAATAGTTTACATAAGGAGATATAGTTGGAACAAATTCGGAAGCGTAGTATTGAATGCGATATTCATTCCTGAGTATTCAATGAGGGCTAACAGTCTAAGATACGGTATAAGAAATATATACTTTATCTGTCATATTACTGATGATAAAGAATAAATTTTAGATAATACATTTATTGATTCATTGCGGATAGGTTACCTCTAGCTTAGAAGTTTGATTTGTAACCAAGTGATAGTGGAGGACCGGTTAAAATTGATTGTCATAAAATCGATTTTGCAGTCCTCAATGGTCTACCTTTTGGAAATACCAACTGCATGTAGTTTCGAAACCCCACACAAACGAAGAAACCAGCATCACCGGCCAACCCTTGCTACTACCCGAAGTCAAGATACCGACTATCACAGATAACCACGTACATGAACTTGTGATAAACGACATACCCCTGGATCAAGTACAAAGACTGCACAGGATCAGCATAGAATGAAACATGTCTCGCTGAAAACAATGCCAAGTAACACAGCCCATTATTGGTCAATACCAATTTATATTGTATTGATCGTATTTTTCGATATTGGAATGGTTAGTCTATACAAGAGGTCCAGACGTTCCAATCCAGATGAATCCCCAGCACCTGAGGCAGCACCTAGATCTCATCCAACCCTATTCCTGAGGGCTGAAGACGACGAGTAACCAGATCCACCCCCTGTATGGATCTTTCTAAGGAAGGAGGAGTTACATCATAAATTCCACGGTATTCCTTAAGAAATAGGAATCTCGATAGAAGACCAGGAGAAGCCGAGTCAGCGTTCTCATGATTTCTATGCTTTCTTGCAATTTTGCATTTTTACATGTTTATTAGAATTAGTTTTATATTCAGTCTTGACTTTGAATCCATGCTGTAAACATCTCTCAGCTTTGTGACAAATAGTTGAATAAAAAATATTTTTTTATCCGACATCCTGAACGGACTTATAAAATTAGAGATGATTTCTTTAAAAATGTAACACTTTGTATAACAGAAAATATGTTGAAATATTTTCAGAATCACATCACATACCACCCAGATATACGTCGGTGAACCAAACACCCTGTATATATTTTTCCCCGTATAATTTCATTATCATCATTAGTCATAGACTCGGTCATAGATGAATCATGTGCTCGGAAATTAATCGGTTAGCTGCATGATTCAACTTATTAGTCATTCATTCGGGATCAGTGGTTAATCAAGACAGTCTCATATTAGATGTCATCACGTACAGTCAAATTTTGTGACAGGCATTGAAAAATATGCGAAAGGAATAATTAATAATCATTCCGAACAGTGTTCACTAAGAAATGAGTTATAGTATCGTGTTTTTGTGTTTAACATTCAAATCAATGATTACATAATCGCGATCGTGTGTTGTTCTGGTGTTTCCTACTGTGGAAAATAAAAAATTTCAAACAATGAAATAGCAGAAGTGGACTATTTTATTATACAAATTCATTTTGTTTTCACATTGGTGAGTGTTATTTTCATTTTTTTATTTTGAGTGATATACTGACACTGAGTCATGGTATAACCCAATTTCTCCTTTCTTTTTCTAGCTATATTCCTGAAATTTGAAAAATCGAATTTGCTCACTAGAGGGCACCTTATCACATTTTAGGAATTTTTTTCATCGTCCAGTTTCCCTGTTTTTACGATGAGCGTTATTTAGACGGATCTAAAAATTTGATTATATGTATGAATTTACGTGATCTACACGTCTGACACGTTTCGTTGCCGCTTCTACTAGAAAGTGGCAGCAACTTCGAATTTTAAAATGAAACACCCTGTATTGCATATTTTATATTCTCCATGAAGATCTGATTTCATCAATGCATCACTCTTGGGGTCTAGTGGGGATGATTACAGAGATATAGAGTGTTCAAAATCGATATTCCTCAATTTTAAGATTCTTTTGTGTCAAAACGGCTTCCATGTCCCTGTTTTAATTTTTTATTCACTATTTACTGACATTTAATTGAAACAGATACAGGGTGATCAGAATTCTGAATTTTCAACCACCCTGTATTTGTTCCAATTAAATGTCAGTGGATAGTGGATCAATAGTTATAAAAGGAACACGAAAGCCGTTTTGACCGATAATGAATAGTTTCGACACAAAAATATCCTAAAATTGAAAAATCTCTATTTTGAACACCCGATATCTTTGTATTCACCCCTGCTAGACTCCAAGTGCGATACATTGATGACATCTGATCTTCAGGAATAATCTGGGTGTTCCATTTGAAAAATCATAGTTGCTGCTACTTCCTAGTAGAAGCGGCAACGCAGCATCGATTGAAATATTGTATACGTTTAGATCATGCCAATGTATACATACCATCAAATTTTCATATTAATATTTTGCTTGGTTTGCCAGAAACGTCTGATTAACCCTCACCGTGAAAAACCCTGTATATATTTCTTCCCCGTATAATGTCATAGATGAATCGTTTGTTCGGAATTTATTCGGTTAGTAGCATGATTCAACCTATAAGTCATTCATTCGGGACCAGTGGTGAATCAAGACAGTCCCATATTAAATGTCATCATGTACGGTCGAATTTTGTGATTGGCATTGAAAAATACACGGAAGGAATTGATTATCCTCGTAATTGTCATTCCCAACGGATTGTTTACTCAGAAATGAGTATAAAGTGCTTTCGAAAAGTACTCAATAAATTGTTTTTCCGTCGACCTCTACAGAAAATCACATTTTACGTTCTAATTTTCGAACGAAAAACCGACTTTTTCCGAAGGCAAGTACTTTTCGTCCGCAGACCTAACTTTTCGTCCGCAAACACTATTTGTCCGCTGCAGGGTTGCCAGTTCTACTGAATTTTCAGTAAATTTCCTGATTTGCATATTGATCTACTGATCTACTGGAACATTTCATAACCTACTGCTAAATATTCTGACACTTATTTATTATTATAATTACCTATATAAACAGCTAAATTGGACAAATACTCAGAAAAACCCGAAAACGTAAATGAACAAGTATATTAAATAGCAAAAATAGGTACTACAGTTTATCACCCTCTGAACGCGTTGAGCATACTGACTCGCCTCTTATCATCCCAAATTCCATACCAGCTCATTCGCTCCAGCCGTTATTCCTTACATAACCCATAGTGAATCAACACCCAACGAACATGAAATACAGGGTCGTTCCTTCGGATCGCCTATATTATTATTAATTTTTAGAAATCACATATACTCATAAATTGCATGATATTTTGGCAGGCTCTGTTTAAATTAATTCTACAAAATAAGTAATAAATGTACATATAGGTACTTATGATAAATATGTATAAATCAGAAAAGAACAATACTTCATCTGATTCAGATCAAATTCAATTATTTATATACCTTTGTTATAACAGTTTGTTTCTTACGTTTATTTTTTCTATTTTTTTTGTATTCTTGTTTTTCATTTCCACTATACATTCCTATTTTTTATAAAGGTACTCAAAAGTTAATTTCAAGTACCTATGTAACTGTATTTTGTGATATTTGTTAGTATTTTTAAATTGAGAGTGATAATGGTTCTTTAGTTTGTTTCTATTTTGTTGGAAATGGGATTCTTTTCTGTATACTAAATGTACATGATGTTGTTACGTCATGTCATAGGTTTATTTCATTATCCTTGCTTGGAACTCGTATAGCATAAAATATACCTGAATTTTCTACAAGGTATTTACTGATGAAATAAAGATCGAACTGGCAACCCTCGTCAACGCATAGAGTGATTTGCCAACAACTGTCATTTGCTGTAGTCAAATTGATTATTCACGAAAAACTAAGTGTTTGAGATCGACGAAAGAATGTAATATGCACCTCGGCGAAAAACTGTCTATTGTCTCGCCTGATTACTGCAGATTCGACTATAATAGACAGTTTTTCGTCCTTAGTACATAAATAACTATTTAAGCCAAACTATCCATTTCTGAGGAATCTCCTGAAACAGGTCAATTTTTATTTTCAATTTGCCACATTCAGAACGGAAAATTGCATATACAGGGTGATCCACGTTTGAGTTAAGGCAACCACGACAATTTTTTCTAATGGATCACCCTACATTTCATTCGATTTTTGGAATCACCGTGATTTGATTCTTGATTTGATTCGATGTTGCAATCCAACTACGAACGTTGCAAAAAAATATTTAGGTTATGTTCTAATTCAACATCCATGTACCGCATCTAATGATAATCATTTTTGATTCATATGATTCGATATTTGATATGTGATGTTGAGTTGCAAATCCGAGAAGCACAGTGTTTGATACTTGAAACAAACTCCGAGAAAGCCATCCAGTCAAGCCGAACCGAAGGAACGATCCACAAAGAAAAATGACCAGAATATACTTCTTTAAATTCAGATCACCATGCTCGTACGAAAGGCGATATATTGATATTTTCTTCAGATTCTCAAGCTGTTTGCTTGCTCTATGGAAACACGACAGGTACACTTACGACGGGAGAGTGCCAACTTTGCGTTCATAAACCCTCTCTGCAAAGGAGGTAGACGCTAGATAGGTTAGGTATATACAGTGAGTTTCATCGCAGACAAATTTTTTGCTTATCTGCCTACCTCGTATTCATTGAGATAGTTGATAGTGAAGATTTTCAAATATTTTGTAAATCGAATGTAATAACTCTAATGCATTCACCTCCTTATCATCCTAGGTCGAATGGTCTAGCAGAGAAAAATGTTTGTACTGTAAAACAAAATCTATTAAAACAACTCTTTGAAAATTCTAGACAAAATGTAAATATGTCGATGCAGCACCGTTTGGACAATTTTCTTTTTAATCATCGGAATACCCCAAACGTTACAACCCGCAAGACTCCTACAGAAATAATGTTCAAACAACTGCCAAGAACGAAAATTGCTATGCTGAAACCATGCAATTTAGATAGGAAAACTGAAACAAATAACCAAGAAAGGGTAACAAATTCAGAGAATAGAACTAGGCGAGAAATAAGGTTTTATACAGAAGGAGAAACAGTTATCGTTTATCTGAATCAAGATTAAAAAATGGGTGAAAGGTACAATTATGAAGTGTTCGAGTAATTGTACATATTTGGTTTGGAGTGACGATAGAGTTAGATTCATACATGCAGACAAATTAAAACCTACAAATTTAGATCTTCCTCTTACCTTCAACAAAACATTAAGACCTACAGAAGTCGATCCGGAAATAACAAAGCAGCATGAAATAACTTTGTCCAGAAAAGTAGAAAGTGAGCAACCTGATAAAAACTCACTCCCTACTTCCGGTGTGAACACTTCGAAACCTAAGTCCTTTATAGATCAAGATCTTCAAGTACCTATTCGACGTTCTCCTAGAACGGTTAAACCACCTGATAGATTGAATTATGCATAAATAATAATGAACATATTAACTTTGAAAAATATGTTGCCTATATTTATATACCCTTCAATTTTACAGGGAAGAAATGTAGTATAAATACTTAGAGTAGTCTCAACGACGAAGTAGCTAGGTCGGCGGTGATAAAATATCAGTGAGTTGTCATGTCACGTTTGAACTGTATGTCTATTTATTTTTGATATCAGTTTGTAATAAAGCATAAATACCTAATAGTCTGGTAGTAGTCTATACAACAGTCTGTATAATACACAACAAGTTTTAGTTCCGAGCAGCAGTGTTTGGTAGTCCAGGTCTTGATTATAACCCTATTATAATCCTATTTGCTGATGATACCACATCATTGTTACGTTACCATCCCTCTGATCCGATTCTGCAGTGGACTCAAAGCAGTCAGGTCCGAATTGAGAACTGGTTTCTAGCCAATAGGCTTAGCCTCAATAACAGTAAAACTCAATTCATTAATTTCACATTACAAACTTCTCCACCGAACCTAGAAAGTGATGCATCTGTGAAGTTTCTGGGGGTTCACCTAGATCCTGGACTGTCCTGGGAAACACATATCACTCAGCTCAGCTCCAAACTGTCTAGAATCACCTTCTTGATAAGGAGTCTGTCAAGAAGTATCTCTATGAGCACATTATTGACGACATATCATGCTTACTTTAGCTCTACCATGACTTATGCAATTTTGAACTGGGGTCACTCCCCAAACTCTGCTCAAATTTTCAAGTTACAACGACGTTGTGTTAGAATTATTGCAGGTATCAAATACCGCGAATGCTGTAGAGATGGCTATGTTAGGCTGAGGCTGCTCACCCTTCCGTGCGTTTTCATTTTTCACTGTCTAGTATATGTGAAACAAAATCGGGAAAACTTCAGAACACACAGTGATTTTCATTCATATTCGACTAGGGGGGGAGGGAATCTGGTGCCCGGCTACCACAGGCTGCAACGTACTAGAAGGGGAACCGATTATTATGGCATCCAATTTTTCAATGCTCTACCGACAGATGTTAAGCAGCTAAATCTAAATAGCTTCAAATCTAGAGTCAAAAACTATCTCCTAAGAAACGCCTTCTATTCCCTCGAGGAGTACCTTGAGAGTGACTTAAGGACATTTTAGTTTTATATGTAAGACCTATTTTAATATGTAAAACCAATTTTAATATGTAAAATGTGTGTCGTTAAATTCACTTTTTAATTTTCAAGTATTTTCTTACTATATTATTATCATTCAAACAAGTTCTATACTTTATATACCCTATTGACCTGTAAAAGCACTATGTGTTATACTTTACCAATAAATAACCTAAAACTAAAACTAACCCACGTAATGTGGAATTGGAATGAAGCCTACTGAATAATCAGATGAAGCCTGGTGTTGAAAATACTGCCGCGGCTGATGGTTCATAGTCGAGCGTAGCGACGCTAGGAATTCAGTCAAGGCAGTCAATCTACATTTGCTGCCGTGTGAAACATAGATTTTTTTTCTCCAAGTGATATAAAACCAATTTTGTGTAATTTTTTTATTGAAAACTCCATTTTGTGTTCACTCAATGTCAGTGTCAATTTTGATTACCAATTTCATTAGAATTCCTTGGAACGTTGCATAGCAACAAACTTTTTCTGCCTAGGTAGTAAAAGTACACCTTTCCTCCCTGTTAAGCGGCAGGAAAAAGCCACTTTCCCTGCCGCATGGAGCAAAAGATCATTTCATAATGTAATTCAGTGGCGGCTGAATCTGGGGGTGGTGAAGGAGAAAATCACCCCAATTTTAGTTTGTGCATTTCTTTCTCAATTTGTAGTTCAAATTCTGATTTGTCATATTGTTGATCCGGTTCAATTCGAAAGCGTTGTAACGCATTGAAAAAATACAACAGAACTATTATATGCAGAAATCTATCTGTTCTCACATTTTGTACTCGAAAATGAAAAATTGAATGCACAAAAAAATTGGGGTGATTTTTTTCCTTCACCACCCCCAGATTCAGCCGCCACTGAATTACTTAATGAAATAATTTTTATTCCATCTTATAGAGCGTAAAAAGTTTAGTATCTGTTAGATATTTTGTTGATTTATCTCAGACCGTTTCGAACTTTTCATCAAAAAACAATATTTAGACTCGTTCAGACTCGTATTTTCAGCACCCTATATCTCGAAAACGACGCGTTTTAAAGTATTTCAATATCTCAACGAGTACAACACACTGTTGAATTTTTTGTATTACAAACCGGAATGCCCTGTATATACCTACCTACCTACCATAGGGAAAGGAACAAATTTTGAATCGATAAAAATATTGAATTGCTTATACTTGGTTTGTGAAGTCTGAAAGATTTCGAGAAGTTTAGGAAGTTCGATGAAGTTTGGGAAGTTTGATGAACTTTGGGAAGTTCGAGGAAGTTCAGGAAGTTCGAGGCATTTTAGGAAGTTCGTGGAAGTTTGAGTAAGTTCGGGGAAGTTCGAGGAAGTTTGGGTAGTTCGGGAAAGTTTGAGAAAATTCGGAAAAGTTTTTGTGGAAGTTCGGGGAAGTTTTAGGAAGTTCGAGGAAGATTGAGGAAGTTCGAGGAAGTTTGAGAAGTTTTGACCCATGGGAAGTTTGATGTACAATTTTTATCGCCGTGATTCACCCCTCGGCTAGAGGTATATGTCAATGTTGAAATTCCCTGTTTGTTTTGGATATTCCTGCTTTTCAGAGAATTATTAATAATGTAAATGATGTATAGGATTTTTTTGTAAACCGAGGGGAACACAATATGCTTAGATCGACTATCTGTGATTTCCATGCATGTATGAGCTATACAAGACTAGAGAACACAGCTGCCGTCACATATCAACATATATATCTTATGGTATGCATGCTTCCATAATGCGAGTCTGCTGGTTTACTCTCATCCCAGAAAGTTCCACAGGCCTATAGTACATGCCATGCAAGACCTCACATATGGTGGACAGTCATAAAATGTTAGCCCTCATTGGGAAATCTCAAGTTAGGAATAGATTCTTGTGAATTGATTGAGAAGATTGGGTTTGGACACTCTTTTGAAGACCATCTCATGATATTTAATATTTTCTCGGTTATTTTATAATTTTGTTTGTGTGGAATAATTAAAATATCTGCTGTTGTTTGCCAAATGCTCAAAGGCACCCTGTATAGATTGAAAAGATTTGAGCCTCAGTTTAGTAGGTAATTGTTTTGCATGAAAAGTGTAGCATATATGTATGTAATTTCAACAAAGAGTGGATTGAAATCAAGAATAAATACTTTCATGATGCAAAAAAAATTATGCTTTGCCTCCACAATTAATATATTTTTCATATCTGAATATTGTTGGTTTAAATGCATTGCAAATCAACTGACTTGTGATGTCATGTATATATATTATAAGAATTATAAGATTTCAAAACCTACTGTAAATCCAAAATAATTTAAGATATTGAACTGATTTGAAGTATCTATTTGAATAGGTTTCAGTTAATTCTCAGGTTTAAATTTATGTTATTTTGAAGACACTACATAAACTCAAGTTGAATGTATAGGAAACTAATGGGGATACTGATATGTTGAGCACTGAATATATATATTATAGTATATTTATAGTCATATGAACTTTCTTCTAGTGAATAACTTTAGCAATCATACTTTTTGCTTATTCCCTTCAGTCTTCCATACCTACACTAGATTGTCAGACCATAGTCCCTATCACCTACTAACTAGCTTTTCCATTGAGATTCACAATGGATGTCAGACATATCAGACACATCTCAATGTACTTTTTGAAATGTAACCAATTACATACCATTACTATAGCCCACTGCTAATACTTTTCCATCAGGTCTCCAGGCAATGGAATTTACTTGTAAATTTTCTTTAGGTGGACTGAGACTCCAGGCTCTTGTCCATGACAATCTATGGAGAGCTACCTCACCTATCAAAGGAATATTATTGAACACAACTAGGATATACATAATGATGAACCATATTGCAAAGTATTAATTTAGAACTCCTTAATTGTACTATCTCCACTGAGATATCCACCATGATCTAATCATACCTTTTACATTCGAAAATGCAAGAAGATCCATACGATCACTCCATACCATAACATTTATTTCATTAGCAACATTTTTCTCTTCCAGTTGCTTTATCGCATGAAATATCGACATTTTTCATGTATGTAAGAAAATTGTTTTCAAATAACGAACCAACCAACGATAAACGAACCTTTCAAAAGTTAACAAACCCATAACATAACCTAAAAAATTATAGAAGAATTGGTCTGATTGGTGCTTGGTGCATGGTGCATTACTGAAGATATATATAAATACCGAAACCAGTTATCTGGTTATTTTGTCGCATGAGTATGAACGTCGAATTCTGTTGGGGATTTCATATTTTGCGAATCGCATAAATTTTGCGGAATTCGTACAAGCATGAACATACCTTAACAAGAAAATTAGATTTGGCGACATCGTATGTCATATATCTGTTCGTCCTGGTTATATGACAAGAGGCCAGGAAGTGAAGAAGAAGAAGAAGACGAAAACATAACCTAATAAAAAATTTGATTTAAGATTTGACATATTAATGACAAAGTTGAAAAGTGTAGTAAATAAACTGCTATTCTTGATATTTTTTTATTCTGCTGTTAAAAAATCAACATGGGATCACACAAACATAAGAAAAAGTACACATCAGAACCCAGTTCTTCAGAGGACTCTTCATCTGAGGATGAACGGAAGAAAAAGAAAAAGCATTCCAAAAAACCTAGGCATTCAAGTCCAGTGGATAGTGATAGTGGCCAATCAAAGAGAGGAAAATCTCCTGGTGGTTCTGGTGATGAGAGATCAATAAGGTACATTTATTATTTGTTAGTTTATCATTATGATTTGATGATTATCCTCTGCTTCAATTTATTTGATGAAAACTGTCAAGTTTCAAATCTCACCACTTATTGTCAACCAAATTTCCCTGTGAAACATGTACAGATGTATTTTGAGTCATCATGATTTCATTAATCTCTTTGAGTTTGAGTGCATTTCACACTTGCTCAAAACTATGATGAAATAAAATACAATTACAATGGAATATTCCAGGCACTTTAAATTACACTAAGTGCCTGAAAATGAGGTGACCTAATGGAGAGACAATATTCACTCAACTCACTTTGAAAACTTGTTACAGGAAACATTTGAGGACTGACACAATGAAAGGTAAACATCATGAACAAAGGCAGAAAGTCCATCATGAAGAAAAAACAAGTAGCAAAGTGTCACTACACAAAACTGAGCATACTGAGAGGGGCAGAAGTAGATCTAGAAGTAGACAAAAGGATGAAAACAATAGCAGGAAAGATTATCATAGGCATGCAGAAAGGGATAGGGAGAAACTGGACAGGAATAGAAAAGGAGAAAGCCAAAGCCAAGATAGAAGAAATGATGACAGAGAGAAAAAAAGTTATGATAGGAGGAGGGATGGCAGTAGAGAAATAAATGAGAATAGAGAACAGAGAGATAGACATGATGATAGGGCAAGAGATCCATCTAGAGAAAATTATGATAGAAGGGAAAGGAATGACAGAGACAGAAGAAATGATAGGAGAAATAGGTGAGAGATGTTTTTCATTTTGTTATTCGTAATTTACTTACAATACTTGCAATTCTTTAGATACCTTGCAGTGAGAAAGGGCAAGGCATACTTCACTAGTTGGATTCTTCCTATCCATTCTTAGATTACATTTTTCTTTCTCTGTCATGATTACAAACACACATTGAAATGTGTTTTTCAAATGTTTCAAGAAAATATTTCAATACAAGGTATTGGTCAGATTCTTTTATTTTTTTTATCATCTATTTCATGAGTAGGTACCTATCTACTTATTGTATTTTATGCAAGGGGAGGCAATGATCTTCTGCTTGGGGGAGGAGGTAGGGTCAGATGGAAATAGACATGACAAAATGTAAAAATATTACTAATTCCAGAATGCACCACTGACAACATTTTTTCTGCAAGGTCAAACACCTCTGAATAGGGCAGTTCTGATGACATTGAGAGAGAAAAAGAATGTCTCCATCTATCCTTGTCTTCAATGTTCCTACATAGAATAATGAAAATTTTATGTTGGCAACACTGGAAATGAGAAGAAATGGAGAAGAAGACTATTCTAACCTTTTTATATTGAGATTATTATGATCTTCTCCATTTTTTCTCATTTCCAATGTTACCAATATAAAATTTCCATTGGAACACTGAAGACAAGGAAAGATAGGGAAGACTTTTTCAGTCTCTCAAAGATTGTTGAACTGAACTTGCAAAAATCAGTGATTAGGCATTTTATAAATTATATCTGGGTCAGGACAATCTGATTGGAAAATATGTTGCATGATTTGATAACTCTGAATTGAAATGTGATAACTTTCATCTTGATAAAAAGTAACAATTTATTTTCACTGAGTGGAATTCATTAGTTGACCTTCTGTTATATATTTTTTACATTTGTTCATGAATAAACAGATATGTTACTTGTGGTAATATAGACAATAAATCAATCAATCAATTAATCAAATAGCATCTACTTAAACATTAAAAGAACAAAACTATCATTAATAGGTGAATATTATACAGGGTGTCCCGTAAAGACCATGTCAAACCTAGGGAGAATGTAGATCAAAGGATTACCCACCTGCATATGATTAAATTCCCATTATAATAGTCTTACCGTTTTTGAGATTTTTTTTTGTTGAAAATATCCACCACCAAAGTTCAATAAAAATTATTTCTCACAGCTCCCCTTAAAAATGTTCAGAGAATGTTTTTAATGTATACGTTGAAATCATTCTTCAGCAATATTTACTGAAAAAATGAACCAAAAAGGTGTAAAATTGTACCAACCCTATACAGACAAGACTATTGAAAGAGGCAAAAATAATAATATCTCGAAAATGGTAAGACTTTTATGATGGGAATTTTGTCATAGCAGGTGGGTTATCCTCTGATCTACATTCTCCCTAGGTTTGTGTGGTCTTTACGGGACACCCTGTATATTAGATATTCACATTAAAATGTGAACACAATCAACAATATCTATAAAATACATCAGCATGTTGAGAAACGTCTGAACATAACACAAAATTGCTCTTGTTCTTCTGTTCTCCATAAATCAATGAGGTACATTGTATGTTTTCAATTTCATTCCCTTATCCGATAACACAATGCTTTCTGTCTAATAGAGCATGACTTAAGAGAAAATCAGATGGCTTCAAGCCCATGAAATAAATAAATTCACTATTCCACGTCAGACTGGGGGAAAACAAACTCAATCCTCACTCAATCCCATTAGTGTCATTAGCTTGTGTACTGTGTACTGATAAGATTGATGACACTTCATGTCATTGACAAGTTTGACAACTACAGCTACAGCAAGATGTATGCAATGTAGTCTATGCACTTTATCCATAGACAATAGTTTGTTTTCCCCCAGTTTGAGGTTCGTATTATGTAACCTAGATGTCGCCCACTTCGTGATTTTCGCGAATTATCTGTTACAACATTAGAAAAATGCTAATTTCCCATGGAATGCTAATTTCCCACTCCTTTCTTCTTCTTCCTTGTTTCTTTAACGTCGGCCTTTTTCTGCTACTGAGGCTAATCACCGACGCCGGTGAGCACACTACCCCCAACCGAAAATTTTGCCGAATCCTCCGGTGTTCCAACCAGAGGTAGGGATCTTTAATGAGTCCAACATCCATGGTCTCGGGACCGCCGGCTTAACGTCCCCTCCGAAGGACGGCATATCCGTACCATATCTTGTCCTCATTGATATGGTAGCTGTAGCTATGATATGCTATTCCGCTTCAGATGTACGGGCTTACGCGGCGTTTCCTCGAATGGTCACGCATCCAAGTACTAACCGCGCTCGACACTGCTTCACTTCAGATATTGAACGGCTAGTGCCTTACCTGAGAAGCTAGGGCGATTCCCACTCCTTTGATTTGCAGCATTCTCATGGGAAATGAATATCATTCCGTTCTCCTCCGCACTATTCAATGGGCTTATATCACAAACTAGCTCACCACCGCAAACCGTTTCTTGCTGTGAGCTCCCTACGTTTTATAAAAAATTATCGAAATCCCCGATTTTTCGGACCTCTGAAAACGAGGCGATGATGTGACGTCAAAACCCTAATACTGAAACAAGACTATTTCAGACAGAGATGTGATCAGTTGCCTCAGTCTCCGTCGGGCGTTTGGTTATATGGCGAGATGAGGTTTCTACGTCATAAGAGGGTCCGTTTTCAGAAGGTACTATTAGTTATGTCCAAAAATAAATCATTCCAGTTAATTTTTCGATCGAATTATGTTGTCCATCATTATTTAGGTATAAAAGGATCATCATAAACATGGTCTGAGTCAAAAGTTCTAATAACGTGTACACGCCCATTAACAGGATAATATCAAATATGAGACGATTTTTATTGAGAATAATCTATGTTTCATGCAAAAAATAGTTTCTATTCAGATACTCTGGGGGACAATTATTCAATAGTTTTTTTTAATCATATTCAGGGTGTTATTCATATAAGATGATATGCATTATTTGTGATGTTTCCGAACTTTTTACTCTTCTCATTATTATAACTCATTCCGTTTATATTCACTCAAATCAGTTTATTATTATTGAGGTTCTTATCTCACTGTGAAGTTTGTGAAATTTTAATGTACAAGGTTGTCCGGAAAGGTCATGCCGTAAATGACAGGGCTGATAAAATGAGCCAAAGTAATGTTAGTACTTCATATAAAAAAAGTGTCTCGCGCTTCGTTATGGAGTTATTGATCTCGAAAGTTGGAATGAAAAAAATAATTTTCATGTATAAATTTCAAACGGTTGCCATGGTATCAATGATATTTGGGCAGGTAAATTAACTCATACTAATGCTCCTTTCCATTTGTAAACGGCTTTTCAGTGAATACGTTTTATACAGGATGGAAAGTTTTTTTTTTTTCGTTTGATGAAGGCATTTTTGACAAAAGTGAAAAATTTCACATTCTGCTTCCACCGTTTGATTCCTTCTTTTATCTTTCATCTACAAAATTTGTATACCTTATTTCAATCCATATATTTTATCGTTCTAGAGAAAATCGAATTGGAAGAACATACATTCCAACAGTTTCAAAGGTAATGAATGCTCCATTTATTCAATGATATCAGTAAAAACAGAAAGATCATTGAAAATGGTTTTGAATATGTGAACCTTGAACTTCAACGCATTTTCTAAAGTTCAAAGAACATCGTGCGTTTCTAGGGAGGATAGGGATAGGAGTTTTATCACCTTCAAAACGGTTGGGATGTATGTTTTCTCTTGATCGGTTCAAGATATCGATTGAAATAAAGTATACCATTTTTGTAGGAAAAATATGAAGGGATATCAAACGGTGAAAGCAAAATGATTGTCAACTTTGTTACTTCTGTGAGAAATGCCTTCATTAAACGGAAACCATTCGTCCCATCCTGTATAAAACATATTTACTCAAAAGCCGTTTACCTACGGAAAGGCGATTTAGTTTGAGTTAGTTTAGCTGCCCGAATATCATTGATACCATGGCTACCGTTTGAAAGTCATACATGAAATTTCAAGGTCAATAACTTCATAACTAGCATGATAGACATTTTTTGTATATTATGCTCACACTATCAGCCCTAGCATTTATGTCATGACCTTTCCGGACACCCTGTATACGTCTTTTTTCCTCTATTCGTAAAATCAACTTTAACTTCAGAAAGAAATAAATGAAAAAGGAACTTGGCTCCTTCATCATTTCTATAACGTACTACCTAGAAAAGCCACATTCACACAGAGATGAAATACGATTCCCTTTGTCAATACGACGTTGCCGGCATCATGTCTAGAATTCCGGAAATTGTTCTTTGAATAAATTATAACAATATCATAACAGCAATGGGATATAATAGGTTTTTTATTCCTACTTCGCCGAGTATTATGAATAATTTTCATAAATCTCCTATTTGCTAGCAGCAGTTGATTGCTAATAAAGGTTCATCATGATATTTTGCAATAGTATCGATAATTTTTCACTTTCGTTGAATTACGAAATGATAATCATAACTTGTCAGTAATCATTTTGCAAATGAATTTGTTCCTTAATAAAACGGATCTATTTTCTAGGAAAGTTGCAGAATGAATCTTGCAACAGCGCATAATACTTTGAGCCCGTCCACACCACACAAAATACTAACAGGCACACCGACAGCTGACCTGATATTGTGGTTATGTGTGTTTTTTTTACCAGTTTTACCTGTGTCGATTTTTGATCTCCAGTTATTCGTTGGGCTAGGTAGGTTAGGCTATAGTTGTTTTTTTAGTAAGGTGATTATCGCTATTTTTTATGATATAAACATCAACAACGACACCAAGTGGTCTTCTTCTTCTATGTTTTTAATTCGTTTTTATCCATTACCTATTCGCTATATTCTCCATCATCAGCTAAATTCAGAATAGCTTCAGAATGTACGTCACAGTTTGCCGCACCTAAAATTGGAAATTGCTTTATTTTGAAAATAAAGAACGACTTGGACTTTATCAATCGCCATTCTGTTCAGCATGGACATGGAACTGAGGGGTTCCGAACTAATTTTATGAAAATTCATCTGCAGGAAACTGAATTTCCTTGAATGATTTTTGATGCGGACATTTCCTAAAAACATTATTTGATCAGTTGATAATGTTTCTAATCTTTCTAGTTACCAGTTTCATTTGGAATAACTAAATTGTAGTAAACTTACGAAACTTTCAGACATTCTCAAGAGAGCTACAAGAAAATATTTTTTTTATATTTTGGAGAGCACCAAGGGTATCCCTATCATGTCCGAGGAACATCGTATTGAAAAAACTTTCTTTAGCAAATAATTCCATAGCTTTTCCGTTCTGTTGTATATTTAGACACTTGTATAAAGGTGCAATATTTTTTCAAGGGGTAGAAGAAGTAGTTCATATGATCATGCCAATGCCAAATGGGGCAAATCGGATGACCCTGCAAAAACGAACAAAAATGAATCTGGACTGAAGGAAAAAGATAAACCAAACTTTGGCCTTTCTGGCAAACTGACTGAGGAGAGAAACACCTATAAGGGAGTTGTCATCAAATATAGTGAACCCCCAGAAGCCAGAAAACCTAGAAGGAGATGGAGGCTTTACCCCTTCAAGGGTGAAAAGGCCCTACAGACCTTGTACATACATAGAGAGAGTGCTTATTTGATAGGGAGAGAAAGAAAAGTTGTGGATCTTCCAGTCGATCATCCTTCTTGCTCTAAGCAACATGCAGCTCTTCAGTATAGGCTGGTGCCATTCACTAGAGATGATGGTAGTGCAGGTAAGATATATATTATTGGTCATTGAAAAGAGTATCAAACATTCTCTATTATAAAAATACGTAAATGTTAGTGCATATATAGTGTTTCTAAATGGAATTTTTATATATCGGGTATTTTTGAAATTGGAGCCATAAACAAAATGGGGTGTTTTACAGGGTTTCTATACAGTATAGATGATTAGATGATCATAACATTATAGTCTCCAATGAAATATGATTTCCCTGCTAATGTTTTATGATGCTATGATTATTTCGGACAGTTGAGTCCAGAATAGGATGTTCGCTTGTTCAAAATTGGCTTATCATTAATTTAAATAAATCGGAGCACGATTCACCTTGGCGTCTTACCTCGTAGATCTGGATGGTCGATATCGTTGAAGCTGGTTGAAGCAGTCTGGCAGGCTGGTAGGTACTTGCTGGTACTTGAAATTGTTGCTGAAGGGCGCCCTGGGATCACTGGATCAATCAGTGTTCCTTTTCACTCGTTTTATCGCGAATTATGTATTATTGTCGGAAAACTTTTACCGGTCAAAGTTACTATATCCTGCGGTGTTCGAGACCTCCCTTTTTCGACTCCGATGCGCATCCTTGACACAATAAATTGCAAGAAAAAAAAATCTGAATAAAAAAATTTGAAAAATGTACTTTTTTGCTCACCATATCATCTTCTAACTATAAATGAATGTCCGAGACAGCATTGTCCAAGAAATTGAAATTAAATTAATACTGGCCATTTATACCATTCCTTGGTAAGCTGACTAATGAAAATATTCTTTATCAAATACTCTCGGTCAGCGTGGCATGAACTGTATACTTGGTAAACTTACCAGTTTGGTTTGCTAAAATAGTATGACGACCAAGACAGTCTAAACACTTTGGTCTGCTTTGGGTTTGATTTGACTTGAGTAAAGCTCAAGTTTCGGTTGTTCTGTCACTGATCAATCAAAACTCCAGACTTATATCTTCCAATATATCAATTTTTTCATCAAATATGTATTCTTTAATTCCGTTTTGTTTATTTGTCTTTCAATACCTACTCCATCCATTACTCCATTTTCTGAAGCAGGAGAAGAAGGAGGTATTTTCTTGGCTCATTTTTGGAGTGAACGCCCATACAATTATGTGCTCTGACTGGTTCCATTCTCAAGATACAAGTTGTTGAAATATAAATTGATGCATTTTCCATTAATCACTAGTGGACTGCTTCCTGAGAAATATACCGTACTCTTCATCACAATAAAACAAAAGCACAAAGAATGATTTACAATTTTTATAACTATCAGTTTTCCAGAAAAAAGTCTCACATAAATGCTACGGAAATGCTCCCGCCTGTTGTACTGACGTCACTAGTCGAGTCAATAGTATTATACTTATCGTCGTGTGAAGCTTGATTTATAGACCATTTTACGCAGAATGTGGCCGTTTCATACATTCCTTCAATAGAGAATGATTGATATTTCCCTCGATATTCCTTTGGAAAATTTAATAAATGAAATCCATTCTCTTCAGAATGCTCACAATTCATCACACAGCAGGACATTTTCTTTTATGCTTTCATCTCAATAGTTTATGAAAGTATATTTCAATTCTGACGTTCATAAAACTCATTGTCTAATTCAAACAATTTTGAATGGAAAAGCGCGAGACTACTATGATGCTCTTGGCACAATGCAAGGTGTGTAATTTGATGAATCTAAGCATTCAAAAACACTAACAGTTGTCATTTTTAGAATGACTATAATAGTGACGACAATAGCTGTACACTTTTTGATTGGTCAGACCTTTAATACAGTCTTGTTTTCTCCATTCAATTCCACGCATTTTATTTCACTTCGTCAATGCTTTGTCTTTGTTTTTGCTCTTTGGACACAAACCATCCAACAATCACACATGAAACTCTATACGTCAGTACCTTGGATACTAACTATTACAATCCGTATTTTGGAACTCGTAAGTCTCAGAATATTTAGATGATGAAATGAAAATATTAAATATCTTAACCTAACATCAGGTGGGCCCTTCGAAGGCGCAAATTCATTATTGCATAGGAGATACCCTTCACAGTTTTAGCTATTCAGTCACTAGTCATTTCTGTGTCCGAATTCTTATCTAACTAATACCATCCAGTGAGTCTAATCTATCCTATCCACTTGAATTAGCTGGTATCAGGTCATTCCATTCACGCTTTTTCCACACAAAAATTCTATACAATCTTTCTGCTCCTAACCCTAAGATATTGCTGAAATTATTTCGAATGAATCTAGCTTCACATCTAGCACATATTTTCCTAATGTAATGTTTTTTTTTTCATCTAAAATCTTCACATTTTCGTAAATACATAGTTAATGTTGTCATTGAAAATCGTTAAGAGCTGTTATCATTTACAGAATAGCAAACATGAAAATTATAAACAAGGCCCTACTCCATTGTTTGATGAAATTCTTTCACCACTTTTTTAACAATAATTTCAGGCAAAAGAGTACGACCTTATATCATTGATCTCGAATCAGCCAATGGGACGTTCATCAACAATAAAAAGATCGATTCCAAAAAGTACATTGAATTATTTGAAAGAGACGTAATCAAATTTGGATTCAGTTCACGAGAGTATGTTTTATTGCATGAGAATAGTAAGGATGAAGCAATGGACGATGACGTGAAACAGGAACCGGAAGAAGATGTGAAGGTAAAGGTGGAGAATGAAACTTGAACTATCGATATAGGGTGTGAGTTATAATTTATAGTACCTTTCAAATAAATCAATAGAATGATGTAATTTATTTTGAGGCTTGAATTGGTCAATTGTCCTCATTTTGTCAAGATATATTGTTGTTTATTAAAAGAGGTGTATAAAACATTACACCTTAGGAATCATTAAAATTTTGATAATATACAAAAACAACTGATAATAGTGCTTAAATAAATTGTTATCAAAGTTGAAAAACGTTCATTTCGAATATTCAATTCATTAATTGCATCTTTCCAATTGAAGTGTTTTGAAGAAGCATTCATCAAAATTAATTGTATGTCTTCTTCCTTCATATTTTTAACTCATAAGATAAAGAATTGTATCAAATGATCATGAAATATTAATTCCTCAAGAAATTCAATTGTGTTGCTACGATGATGTATTTATTGACTTTGTTTAATTGATTATTCCAAAAATGAGGTAACTTCGAAATAGGGAAAGGTGTCAATAATATGGACAAGCTAATTCCATAAAATTTTATTGTTACAGCCTTATAAAATAAAATCACATAAATCTTGATATTTACAAACTATTTACAATAAATAACAATATTATTCTACTATGATACATCAAGAAGAAACCATACAGTATCCATGAATTATTTCTAAAATTCTGAATGTTTGGAAGCAGCAGAAACATTGATAATTTCATGAAACATGTTGTAGGAACTGTATACAATTCATTTTTGTAATTAAAAATACTGAACAAACTGCAAGAACAAAAACACAAACATGTTGGATATTCGTTTGTAGGAAGTTGAAACATTAATATTTCTTATTTAGTTATTAATCATATTACCATAAAGTCTGAGAATATAATCATTCAGAACAGATGTTAGATTTTGTGTCCTGAATTCTGAAATTGGATATCTATATTCCACAAGATAGATGTATATTACCTGGTGAAACAAATTTCGTTATAACTAAAAAATCTACTTGATGACAAGATATTGATTTAGCATTACATAAATCACATGGCATTTCATAGAATATGATTATTAAACTCACTCTTTCATTACATAAACCTTTAAAATAATGTCGCCACCTTGGGAGAAATCAGATACTTATTATTAAAACAAAAAACTATCACTCAGTGATTTACATTATTCTACCCACCTTGTTGGCAAGGTGGTAATAAATTCATATTGCAATAACAACAGTTTCGATTATATATTGGTTATTTAGTGGGCTGAATTGATTAATATTGATTTGGAACAAATACATATTTAATCATGTTCATCACTTGTTGGCATTCAACAATAACAATTCAACATTATTACCACATTCCTGGATGATAACAACCAATTCCTGAGAAAATAGAAACATTGATCAAGAAGATCTTGATCTTGTTTGTAGGGTGGAGTGTGGTATTGAAAAAGGGGTAGGATTTGCGCAAACAAGGTTGTTGGTTAGTTCCCCAGACAAAGCAGAGTTTTCCAATGTATAATAGAAGTTATAAATTCAAAATTTCGTAGCTTCTGCTGGAGATGGTCCCAGACGATTCATTATTGCGCTCAGATTAACAGGTCTACTCCAAAGGTGGCATATGGAGTTAGTTAAATTTTTTCTACATTCAGGCACAGAAAACTAAAAATTGGAAATAATTCGAGAAGTAGGTAAGTCACGAATGAGAATATTTGGCTTTAGTATTTTTACAATGACCTTGAACATTTTCCAGCTGTATTCATTCTAGTAGGAGCCGGCTGGAAATTTTGACAACAAAATGACATGTCATAACTCCTGATTTATAGATATTATAATGCATCTCTTAACGATAAAATATGGTTGGCATTCATAGATTTTCCTGAATTTGACACTCGCCAATCATGTCATATTAATTTGTATCATTATTTTTACTCCGACTACCATTTTTGGAATTATCATCATTTCAAAGCACAATGATCAATCTGTTCAAGGTATAACCTGGATTATGAATATTTGGCACTGCTAGGAGTTCTGTTATAATGTGCGGCAGCAATGGGAGCTTTCGCTAATTGGAAATGTCAGTTCAAGATGGGACCTCTGAATAGGCATTGAAAATCTAAATGTTTCTTTCAAGCTATAGGTACCTTTATGTTCATGAGAACAATCCCCAACAATTTTTCAAATATACTCCTATGGATTTGAATCTTTGCAACCATATGCTACAGCTATAATACCTAACACACATCAAAAAGTTACAACATGATGATCTTCCCAGATGATCAGTTTGCATCAATTAAGTTCTTCATCAATGAATGAATAACTCAAAGTTATCTACCAGATATATTCATAATCCGTACAATATCCGTGCAATCTTCTTCTTCCAACTGGTCTCCTTGATGGCCTTGTAATTTTTGTAATACCTGTTTAACTCATATAAAATGGAATAATATTCTCGGCGGCGGTAATTTGCGCTAAACTACGCGATTTGAAAACGAGATAAGAATTTTGCCATCCAATACCAACTGATTGGTAAAAATCAAAACCCCCCTTAATCTGAGTTGAACCCTTGGCACAGAGATCCTTTAGTTGCCGTTATTCCGGACATACTTCCTGAACGCGATAAAGTGTTGAAAGAACATGCAAATAAAAGGAGATAATGTCACGTTCGCGAATATCTAAACGGGCCACGATTCAAACTGACCTAAATTAGGCGCAGAGCATGATATTTCTCGCCCTTGTTGAAGATATTATCCAATGAACCATCGGTTCGATAATCTGGTTCATCTTTGAACAAGGGTAAATATTATTGGAATGATTGATGCTCTGCCACGAACTTGAATCAGTTTGAATCGCAACATGCTTGGATATTCGCGAAGGGGGACATCAGCCCCTTTCATTTGCATTTTGATTTGACTCGTTATCACGTGACCGAAGTATGTCCAGAATGACTGTAAAAATGGTGCCAAGGATTTGACTCAACTCAAGGGAAGGCAAAGGCAGGGGTTTTGAGATCTACCATTTAATTGGTATCGGATGGCATAATCTTCATCTCGTTATCAAATTGCGAAATTTTGTGCAAATTACCGCCCAGGAATGTGCCATTAAGGATGGTCAGAATGGTATTTGGCACAGGTGGCGTTCGCTATAATTCAATGTCAGTATATGCCTTCGGGAGAAAATGTCATTTCGTTATCAGATTACTGTCGAAATTTGCTGCCTATTAGACTATTTATATTGTGACACTTATACCATTGTATCTATTAGATGAAACTGAATTATGAACTCAATAAATTGTTGCAGATCTTTTTTGTAAGTAAGATCAGCGCCAGTTTCCTCTAATATTTCATAATATACCTACCTACTCTTCTGTTCTCCACAATGTGAATTTGCGCAGATAATTTTTGGATATAGTTTGCCAATATTATTAGTAGATTATAGATTATCACTGACAGGAGTGTGATATGGATGACATGTATAGACAAAAGACAAACATTACTTAACATATGCGTCACTTATAAAATAAACATACCTAATATTTGTACATGGTCATGATATGCTTTTCTTGGTCCCAAAACTAAATATTAGATTGAACACTTTGACAAACATGTTTTAATCTTCATTGCTCAGTCTTTAAAGCTGCTTGAAGTGTATTAAAACTGAGATTTGCGATGCAATGCGATGTGATACATAATCGATAAATTACTGAAAGAGTAATAAATCAAATTTCTATTTCACATCAGGTAACACACCACTATTTGGTATATTACAGGTACTATTCCCTTCAAGTTTCTCGATCATCTGATTTGGAATCTCGTATCCGTCATTCTCTAAAACAGGTCGAGGCTCGTAGATCAATTCCAGATATTTGGGAATTTCTTTCTCAACTTTATTCTCTTCCTTATCCAAAAACGGAGTCTTCTCCTTAGTTGCTTCATCTTCATTGTCACTCTTCCACGAATTTCCTGGGTAAACAATGAACTTCATTGACTTTCTCGCTAACAAACTCTTTTACATATGACAAGATATTAGTGATATAATGAGTGGGATGCATTCGGTTTACCTGAGCTGTTATGATTTTCGTCTCGAAAATAAGCTTCATTCGACACACCGGCGATCACTGCAAAGCATTCCATGAAAACAAACCAAAATTAGTGAACATGCCGATATCATGCATATTATTGATTTTTAATATGATGACGATTTCATTAGTATCATGAGATTATGAGGAATAAGTTCCTTGACAAGACAAAAATCAAATCCACTGTCAATCAATCCACAACTTTTTACCCCTGATTGAGGATTAAGAATTTTAATTTCTTTTATTTTGCTCCTATCTCATAGACATTCACAAATTGAAATTATTTTATAATCCTCAAAGTTCGTTTGGTTGGACATTATCTATTTATTTACATCATTTTGAAGAAGAAAAATGTCTCTTGGAAAAGTGCATTCATGGTTACACAAGCTGTCATCCAAACGAGGACTTTGACCGATTTGGCGAGGTTGTCAATGAGATGATATTTTATTGACAAATATGTCAAATCAGCATTTAAAAAGCTATATTAGGCGATTTTGACATACAATATATTTCTGAAATTATGAGACATCAAATAAAATAACATCAGATATAAGTAGGCAAATAAGATTGATAATACTAACGAATCGAAAGTTTCCTTTGTCCCACAATTTTATGATGCAACATATATATATGAATCATGTATAGACAGTTTATTCCACCTTTGTGAATTCGATGATGGGATATTATTATCATGACACAAATGATACATGCATGTGAAAAATATGTTTCATTAGTAATTGATGAGATTAGAAGAATACTCACTTTCTGGGACAGTGCTAATATATTGTCCTTCATGTGCAGCAGTGGTAGGATTTCTCAAGGTTTTCCTGTGAACATTCTCGAGTTCTTCGAAGCAGTATTTGAAAGTTGGTCTTTCTTCCTGGTCGAATGCCCAACATTTCAACATGAGGTTATGACTGAAATGGAAACAAATAGTCAGGTTAAACCATTACAAAATAACCTTAAAGTAAGACCATTTGGATTTACGCTTCCCTCAATGGACCGAGGTAAACTCAGAAAATTGGGTGTGTTTTATGCCATTTTGCAAACAACTGAATTTAAAATAACAATCTGCAAGATGGTGTACTTTTCAAAAATAATTTTTCTTTTAGTCCTAGAGCACGTGGCCCCGAGATTTAACTGATTTTCTGAAGTACGAAATGTGGGGCATCGAGTAGTGAATGTCAACATAGGAGCTTAGTTGGTTAAACGGCCAATTCACAGGTACCAGGGTAAAAAGGTTAAAAAATAGGGCTAGGCTAACTTTACTCAAATTCTAATTCTAATGATTGATTTTCTTCATATAATACGTTCCATAAGATATTAATACAAAATAATATTGAACACTGCCAGACATTTATTGTACAAGGGAAAAAGTTGTAGACTTTAGCGCCAGGTTGTGTTGTCTGCCGACGCGTAGTGAGCTAGAATCTGATATTTTTCCCGTGTATAATACACTATTTTTTTCTGTGACAGGAAAAAGGACGAATTAATATTGAGAAGATATTTCATTATATTAAAATCAGAAAATTATCGACGTGAAATTTGAAGTTTTCAACAGGAATGACACATGCGTTGTAGGCATCTTTTTGCAGGCACCTTTATCATTCTTTTGGAGTAATAAGATATCTGTCAGTCTAATTCTGTGATTCGATTCTGAAAAATTGCGAATTTAGTGTTTAGTAATTTACGTAACCGCGAAGTCGAATGGGAGATAAAAGGACTTGCAGTTCTTCCTCGGAGACGGTGTTAGCACAACAAAAGTCATCAACAGTGTAATATATATTCCCGTAGGAAAAAAGTAATTTATGAAAAGTACAGAGATGAAGTTTCAAACTTTTTTCCTGTCACAGAAAAAATATTGTAATCATCTCGAAACAATCGATAGAACTGTTAGAGAGAGAGATACCGTTCTAAGAACGTTCTAAAACAATAGAAAGGGAAATCAAGACAACCAATAATATACACTGTGTCCAAGACAAACGATCCTCATGATAGAACATACAGATAACATACAGAATCTGAATTTAAATCGAAAATATGAATTTCAATGAAGATCCTACTTTAACGGGTTAGCCATTCAAAGTTGCTGAACCGATTTTAACCACAGTTTTCATGAATTCGCGAACCAAGTTTTCTTTATTGCAGGAGAAATAAAAAATATAGTCGACGGAAATATTTCGTAACCAACTCATATATTAAAAGGCCATCAATAAACAGTCAGGATTTTGCCAAATTTTATATAATTTTTCTGAGTACTCACAGATCTTCAGGACAATCTGTTGGTTTTCCTAACCTCCCACCTCTCCTTACATAGTGTAGCACTTCTAAGTTAGCTCTGGCGGGGTACGGTTGTTGGCCTAAGGTCATTATTTCCCACAATAACACTCCGAATGCCCATACATCTGATTGACTAGTGAAGACACCGTCCACTAAAGACTCTGGAGCCATCCACCTTACTGGAAGCAGACCTTCTCCCTCCTAAAATAACAAATACAGGTGTATTACTTCTTTACCCGATTCAGAAAATGTGTATTTGACAGTTTCTTTCTTACCTTTCTGTAATAATCGTTTTTATAGATATCTCTGGCAAGTCCGAAATCTCCTATTTTGACAATTCTCGATTCACTGTCGTAGGACGAGACAAGACAGTTGCGACATGCCAAATCACGATGCACAAAATGCATCTCTTCTAGATATCGACACCCTTTCGATACATCCAAACACATTTTCAATAGTTCAATGAGAGTAAGTGGAGGTGTATTCGTCTGCAAATTATAAATCTCAGATATGCCATGTGAATTGATGATAAGTGAAGGATCTGATATTGTATTATGACTCTAAATAATATCGTGGCTTAAAAAGATGCGTTCATGAGCAGTCAATTAACCTTTCTTCCTTATATTGTTACTATATATATAGAAAGAATATCAAAGCATTTATGAGATGAGTATAAAATAAGGATTTCATGAATTTTAGTAAAAAGATAAGTAGTAAAATACATTTGTCCGAATTAAGACGACTATAGAAATTCTTGAAACAGTAAATACACTGATTATAAAACGAGCTGTTCAACACGTATTACATGAAAAATATTAAATTCGACTGATTTACAAGTAATTTTTCTAGGGTCATCTCCAAAAAGTAGTTGTACTTGTAAAAAATTACTAGTTTGAACTAGATTCATTTCTCACGAATCATAGAAAAATGAAGTTGTATATTTTGTATTTATCGTTGATTTTTATTTGAATGTAAAACACATTTTTTTATTTGCCGCATATTCTACATCTTGGTATCTAATTTTGAAATTGAATCTCACCGATACATTTCGTGAATCTCTCAAATAATTGAGTAGATCTCCTCCTTCCATAAGTTCCATAATGATGAAATGAGGATCATTGTCTAGACAAACTCCTAGCAGTTGAAGAATATGCTCATGCTTGAAATGGCTCATCAGCTGGGCTTCTTGAAGAAACTCGCTCTTTTCTTGATCTGAAGCACCTTTTTTGAGGGTCTGTAAGAAATAGTTAAATATTTTGGAGGAATATAACTTTTTTGTGTATTACCTTCACAGCAACTCTCGTGTCTATTTCACTACTACTAATTCCTTTGGCTTTGCCTTCGAAGACTTCTCCAAAAGCACCGCTGCCCAAAAATTTCGTCAAAGTTATTTGTTCCCTGAAATACACAAAATTAGGTATCTACATTATTTTTCCTTTTTCTTTTGATTATGTACCTTCTAATTTGCGGTAGGAATGTGAATTCCTCTGGAGAAGGTTGGGTAGAAACGTATAATAAATTCGTATTGTGGATGCCTCTTCTCGGTAGTTCTCTCAACGTTGCCAGTTCTACATCTGGTGCTCTAGGCACTGACAGTGCTACTTGCTGTAATTTCTTTTGTTTGCTTCGTTTTCCAGAACAAATTACTGAAATGTAGGAATACCAAGTGATTCAATTTTTATGTGATAGATCTAAGAAAATTAAGGGCATACACTAGTTGTAATCTTCGATAGTGAAGAGTTACAGGGCTATTCATGTGCATCAGGACGATATAGTTTTTCACGATATGTCAGTATTTGTCAAAAATTATCCCAATTTGAATCAAATCTTTATTCGCCGCGGTGGCGATGATTTGGCTGAAAAGTCATACCTCGGAGTGGGTTCGAGTCCCACAGCCTTCTTTGGAGTTAAAAAAAGATGACTGGGTGTAGTGTGAATGAGGCAGTGCTGTCCTATATACACACGTATAATTAGAGAAGTTGACAAGACTCGAAAAGGGTAGTGAGAAATCCAATAAACCCCAACAAAAAAAAACAACCAAAAAATGAATAAAAATCTTTATCTTAAATATATCTTATCTTAAATAATATGATTTCTGAGCAGCTCGGATTATGCAAATTCGAGAAAAAAACTGTTTAACTAACGCCACTGGGCAAAGTTTTGCAATTATAATTATTTTTAATCGAAAATAGCCAATGAAGAAAGATGAGTTGGAAGAAGAATAGATAATCTTAAGGACGTGGGCTGTTAACATTAACTTTTCAATTGTCATCTGAATATCGTTAAATCAAAATAACACTATGGGATTACGAGAATCACATTTCATACATGAACATGTACGGTTTTTAAGAATTGTACTTACAGTAAACGAAAATCAGCACAAAAATCGCACAAATCGAAATTGGTACCAAAGTTGCTATCAAAATCAATTTCATTGGACTCTGCTTTTCGGCCACTCTTGCTGCCATAGGGTCGAATTCGTTACTCTCTTCACTCGTATTGCTCCAACCATAGGAATTTAAAGCAGACACCCTGAACGCATATTTTTGTTTCTCGTCCAATCCGTTTATTATCCAAGAAGTATCTATGGAATGATGATACTTATATAGCATATATGGAAATAAAACATATTTTTTTTGTTTGTGACATGCCATCTCATTGAAAACTTATACCTCGAATAAACATTTTTACAATTTTGAAATGAATCTGCATGGTTGAAAACTGGCTGTTCTTTTTTACTCGGTATGGGATATTGAAATTTATTCCAGTATCCAGTAATTGGATATTGGAATTCATTCTAATATTTCATTACTCACTTGTTCCATTGTAGAACGTTTCCCATTTATCTGGGTCCTCCAATTCAATGGATGGGGCTGTATTGTAGAAAGGAACTGTTCGATTTGTGCTTCTTTTATTTCTGTAGAACCTCAGTATTTTTCCTTCCAGTTTGTACATTTCAATAGGTGCTCCATTGTCTTTGGAAGCTTCCCAAATAACTTTGTAAATGTTTGGTTTCACATACTGGATTATTGGAATACCAGGAGGACTTGGATTGTCACCTAAATTAAAACAAATAAGTTGAATTGTTTGATGTGAAGCCTCAGGATGTGTTTTTGGTCCCTGGGCAATAATGATATTCTTTACTACCTTGGTGTATAAATGAACTATTGCTTGAGGGAAAGTTTCAAGCCACTTTCAAATAATGACGTTTTATGTCAACCAGCATGTCCAAATATTTCTCATAACAAAATATCATGTAAATGTTGGAGACTTGGCAACATTGTGCTGAATGCTGCGAACTGACAAGACCACGCCCACAATTCGTGCGCCGTGTTGTCACGTTCACCAGTTCGAATGTCCTCTAGTGTAAATTAATATAATTATTATTTATTATTTATATATACCTTGATTATTTCTATTCAATTCGATTATTTCCATACTAAAAAAATATTTTTATACTAGTAATAATTTATCTCCTACACACACGTCACTAACCTATGTGAAAGAGATACAATTTGAAATATATATGTAACTAATATTTAATGAAAATCTGTACATGTTTTACTTGATTAATAAATAAATAAATTAAATATTTTACACAAATGTATTGAAAGCAATAAGCCACAACACATAAGGGAAAATTTTGAGACAATTGATTTTTTATTGCTAATTAGGAAAGTTAGAGTCCGACCACGTTAACTTTGGGACACCACGTGACGCAACTCTTATGCATATTCAATGCATTCGTGACCACTTGCTGTCCCAAAGTTAACGTGGTCGGACTCTACCTATACATAATTGAGAATTCATGAATAAGTGATCAACTAATATTTCTGAAGTTCCCATTCGTATTTCAACACATGGCAACTGCGCTATGGTCTGCCCCTACTTACGAAATCGTGACGTAAGTTTTACTCGCGGTAAATTCATAGCTGTTTCAAAATTACCGTGGCATTATTCATGATTTTAGCACCTTGATATCGACCGAAAAAATATAAAAAACAATGAATTTGAAAGGTATTCGGGTGATGATTCTATTTAAGAAATCGTGCTGTGACATAAAATTAACTAAACACAAAAATGAAGAACGACCTAGTTTCAGTCACGATATTACTTTATTTATTTCAAGGAACATATATAATCGGTCTCAAATGCACATAATGGATTCCTCCTCTCATGCCTCTAATTAATTTTGATTTTGATTTTGATAAATTGAATGAGTAGAAAAACAGTTGTACTTTACTTTGAGATACAATGGATCTATAGATTAATTCTATTTAATTCAGCAACTTCATAGTAGAGTCCTACTGATCGAACTTAGAAAATATAACAATTGATTTAATATGCAATAAGAATAATTTCATAATTTTCCATTGAATTTCATGTAATGACTGTGACTTCACTTTTCGGAAATTTCACATTATAAATATTATTGATTCATCAATTATTGAGCTCTGCTAGGTTGTGGAAAAAATTAATGCTGTCCCTTTTTTACGTTATTGCCTATTCATTTTTTATAGGTTCTGTTTCTTGGTAAGTATGCTTCATCACGAATCAACGCACTTGATAGTGTCAAGCGAGCAAGATATTCATTATTCATTCAAACTTACCTAAGGTCTCAAAAGAAAACCTAGAGTCCATAGGCCACACATACACCTCCTCATTGCCATCGTACCATAACCTCAACCTAAATTTATATTGTGTTTTAGGTCTCAGATTATCCACTTCAATAATAGCTGTCCTGTTTTTGAGTTGCACATTCTGAATGTTCACCCATTCATTTGTAGTGATCGTCGCAAATTCTATTTCATATTTCACAATGTGACTTGTTGGTTCCCAAGACAATTCCATTTTATAAGCTGTTCTGTTGTCCAGCACTAGAACTGACGGCTCTGGATACGTAGTGATATGAACCCTGTCACTGTCATTCGAAGTTTTATTCTTCTCCCCATATACTCTCACCCAAATCGTGTAAGTTTCGTTCGGCGACAACCTGTTTAGAAATGTGTATAGTACATCGGAGTCGTTTATGCTCAATTCCCCTTTTTGACGAACTCCAGATGGAGCGCTTTCAGTCTGCCAGTGAATTTCGTAGTTGACAATTACGCCATTTAGCTCTTCTGGAGGCTGCCAAGTTACGACAGCTAAGTTCGGACTAAGTACTTTTGCTGTGATATTTTGGGGTTTGGATGGTACTGAAATCGAAAAAGAAATAGGAATTTTGTTAATTTTTGGTCCACTTTCGGTTCCAACGCACAAATTATCATTATTGTTTTATTACGAATTCAACTATGATGGTGACAGAGAACTAGGTACACTCATCATACCTGGTATTGTTATGTATTCATAATAATTTTTATTCAAACATGGGATGGGCTGAAGTATAACAAGAAGTGAAGCAAAAATCACACATATTAAGAGTAGGAGCAAATTAATTCGTAAAAAAATATTTAACCGCTTGCAGAAAGAATGATATTGATGAAATATTTCAAAAATGGCTAAACAAACTCGAACACACTTTTTACGATAACATTTTGAGAGGAATTAAAGTTCGACTCGCCAAAGAAGACCTGGGACGAATGGAAGAGGATGTATGCGTTCAGTCCTCGGAGTCTGGGGTATCTAAACAATTCGGTTTTGCAGATAACGCCGCTTTCATCAGGTCATGAACGATATGACCATAGATTAAATCTATGATATGACTGACTGCACTTTTGAATTGATACCATCATTTCTAGCGCAATTGACAATGAGTTGATGACCGCAACATTTATATTGTGCTTTTGGCTCACATTCTTTGCTGAGGTGATATTTTAGAAGCCAGACGACATAAATGGAACCCGCTTGGGATTCCACGAATAAACCTTTGATGTTTTTGCTCAATTCATGTGAGAACTGCACACTTACCATGTTCGATGAATTGTATAGCTACCATAGCAACTAAACAAATTTCTGGAAATTTGTTCCTCCTCCTTGGGGGAAGAAGAATGAAATTACACTGGACATTTTTCAACGTTTATAGGTAAATTGACATTTACATCCAACTTCAGATTACGTCGATTTCATTCTATAAGTTGACAAGTTCCTTGTGAGAAAATATATATTTCTACCAACTTTAGCTAAATGAATTTGTAAATAACTGAGCGATTAAGCTACTATGTACTTATTTTTTATTATTGCATTTAACTAAAGTCTCTTAATCATATTTTCTCTAACCTAATTATATTACGTGAGTAAATTTCATTAATACTAAATAGTACTTCGAGTTTCCTGTGAGAAAATTTATTTCCGCCAACTTTAGTAAATAATTTGAAGAAAATTGAGAAATTGTGCTACTGTCGTCTTATTTTTTATTATTTTGTGGTACTGAAGTAAGTTGAATTTTGAATTGAATCGACCGTTACTTGATGGATATATCACCTGACGAAGCTACTGTGTTAGCGAAACATGTCGTGTGTTTAAGAATTTTGTGGAAATCTTCTCGTTTGTGAAGTTTTTACATTTAAAGTGACCTAATTGTGTTTTATTTAACCTTACATTGTTATGGGTATGAATTATATTGATACTACATACTGTCAAGTTCCTTGTAACAAAACACACCACCAACTTCAGTGGAAAAAAAAGTTAGTCAAGAATAATTGTTTGAAGTACCATCGCCTTATTAATATTTTGTATAACTGAAGTCTGTATTTTGTATTTTGTTTAGCGTAATCATATCCTAGTATTTTCCGGTGTCAACTTTTCTTACCGAATACGACTCTAGCTTCAATTAAAAACCGAAAATTCTTTCTCGTACACGAAAAATTTCCCGGTAATAATTGAATCTCTCGTGGTATTATAAGTGAAAATTATCTATAGATTATATTTTTTAAATGTGTCACAAAACATCAGCTTTTCCTACATTGACTTACCTCCTGGTGCTGTTTGTAATGTACTGGGAGGGCCAATAATCACATCTTCCACCTTACTGAAGTGGTTACGAACAGAAACACAAACCAGGTATTTCGTATAAGGCTTCAAACCTCCGATTTCTTGTGTCGAATTGGATGTAACCAATGTTTTGAAATTACTCTCCTCACAGCTTTCCAAACCTTCGGTGTATTCAGTATAGAAAATCGTGTATTTCATCGTGGCCATAGAGATGTTCGAACATTCTTGATCAATTATTGGCTTCGGCATTTCGAGTACTAAAGAATTTGCTGATTGTGAGGTCAAAGAGATAGAGTAGTTGTGTGATTTCACACTCAGACACTTTTCTGACGGGTAAGGTTGCATGTGTTGCCCGTATATAACCATATCGGATATTCCATTCTGCAATAAAACAAAGATAAAAGATCCACTAATCTTCAAAGATAATTTAATTGATAGTCATCAATACAGTACTATTTCGGTATACTAGGACCAGGCCTCATCAGTCACACTCGGTTTAAGGCGGGCCTTTCGCGACAGCTTTCCGACCGAATATAGCCTATATATATATACTAGTTCAACAACTATTTCTAGGTGTCAGTGTGATGTCGAAATCGGAATAAAATAATTAAATTACAGCTTTCACAGCTATTGTAGAGTTCTTCGATTTCGTCTGTTACAGCAGGTCACCAATAGGTGGCACACAATTGAATGCAATCGTAGGTAATTGTATTATGTACGGGCAGTGTTGCCAGAGCTACTGCTCCACGGGCCTGCTCAACATATGATTCCACTTTTCACTCCATTCAAGTCAAGCAAATACCTACCTATATCTCGCTACAATGAAAATTTATGTCATGAGTCATTTTTGAAACTGTCTTCACAAATAGTCTTTCGAATATTTCTTTTCCTTTTTAATTTCATTTCCTACTAATATAACTTATCATTATTGGCGTCGCCAGAAAAACTTCCAAGGATGGGGATCGAAATCATTGTTCAGGGCAAAATACTCAAAATAGTCTGTGTAATTCAGAAATAATGTGTGCAAGATTTTTTATCAAGTTCAGATGGCTATAAATAGAAATTTCGTGTTTTCTGTATAGGGTATATACGTAGACGATTGCCTAGTTTCAAATATCTTCATTCTTACGAATTCACACTGCTATTACTGATATAAGGGTTATATTGATATATACAGTGTGTAGAATGAAAGAAATCCTTGATTCAAATTTCATGTTCTCTAATTCAGACCTGCTTGCTGAAATACAAATTTCGATCACAATTGCACTTATGAAAAAAACAATATTTTCGAAGTGAGAACTTCTAGGCGCGATGAGCACTTTTTTGGGTGGAGAAAAACATTGGATTTCGCGTCATCGTCACGACCCGTTCCGTGTCCCGTTATCGCGAGGTCAATGAATAGCAATAAATTTGAAGGGTGCAGTATCGCATCTCATCTTATATTATGTAGTATTTTGTAATTATGATTAGATTCTATTCTAAATTGGTATATGGAGGTTTTCGGGGTCGGAGATTATGATTCTTTCGTGAAAATTAGGATATTGAAGATGGCTGACGAGTTTTATTTATAATAATTATGATCCCATTCTATTCAAAATTGGTGTCTGGGGGTTCTCGGCGTCTGAGATTATGATTCTTTCATCATGACTCCACCAATATGGCGCACGAGTTTCGTAATTATGATTCTATGCCATTTGAAATTTGTATCTGGGGTTTTTTGGGGTCGGAGATTATGAATCCCGAAATGAAAAAATTCAAGATGACGGATTCAATATGGCGGACGAGTTATGTGATGATGATTCTATCCTATTCAAAATTTATATATAAGGGTGTTTGGGGTCGGAGATTATGATTCTATCGTCAAAATTGGGAAATTCAGGATTGCAGATCCATTAAAGCGGACAAGTTTTCTAATTTTATTATCCGATTCTATTCAAAATTTTTACTGGTGTTTCAGGGGTCGGAGATTTTGAATCATTTGTCAGAATTAGGAGATTCAAGCGAACACCATCTCAAAAGTTTTTGTTAGTCTATCTTAGACAGCGAATGTTTTTAGGTAATAAAGTTTGTCGAGTTGATAAAAATTCTGTTTGATAGTGATAAAACAGTGTATAGTGTGAGTGTGATTATATCGTACCAAAGTTTCCAGGATTCCCTGGTTTCGGTCTTCAACATAACGGTGAGAAATTGATTTGCCATCATATGCTTTCTATATCTCACAATCCATTTTGTTTTAATGGTCAACTTTTTTTAAATCATTTAAAAATCGAATTATAATGAAAAAAATATAAGAAAATTATGTTCATGCTGATATAAAACTCACAAAGTTATTGTATGAGGAATTTTAAAATGAAATATTTTTCTTGAACAACCTGTTTCTCCAAAACTAACAACATTTTCTATGAGAGATGTGAGGCTGCATCTTGATATTCTGATGTTTACTATTTCTAGCTCACACATTGACCATTTTCATGCTGATTTAAAACTTACAAAGTTATTGTATGAGGAATTTCAAAATAAAATATTTTTCTTGTACACCCTGTTTCTCCAAAACTAACAACATTTTCTATGTGAGATGTGAGGCTGAATCTTGATATTCTGATGTTTACTATTTCTAGCTCACACATTGACCGTTTTGAATGAATAACCCTGTATATATTTCAAAGAAAATTTTAATATCACGGAATTCATTGAATTTCAAAAATCTTCCCCAAAGAAGATGTAAGTGGAATATGAAGTATCTACCTACGATAATTCTCTAAAACATGAACTGGATGTTCGATAACGTCTCCAAATGTCTCGAAAAAAAAGCGGCTGCTATATTTTCAAATATTTCGTATGTGGCTGACTTTCCTGTTGCCTCGCTTTTCTGCCCATTCTTATGAATTTTTGCGACATATCATTTGCAGCAGCTTGCAACACTGGCTTTTCAATTATTGATTATATGCCGGTTAGTTTGAAGTTCATCTGAAGTTCACGCAATTCAAAGGGCACGTGGCGGACTGCGGAAAGACGGGGAATCACCGCGCGACCAATGAATATCCCCCCGGTTCGCCGCGGGAGGGAGAGAGACATATAACGATTTCTCGCTCAGTTTTGTTTTGTTGCCGTGGCGGTATTATCCTTTGTGAATATCGCCATATCAATGGATCCAAAATCTGAGAACTGTACTCTGAGAGTTCTGAGACGAATATTTTTGCATGAGTTTTAGAGTGAAATAACCTGAACTTTTGACACAGATCAACAAAGCTTTTTGAAGTTTGTTCCACAACTGTGCTATTCCTATTATTTCCATCTATATGCTGACATAATTATCGATCTCATGAATAGAATTGAAGAAATTCTGCTGAATTTGTATGTTTAAATTTTCAGGTCTACTTATATAATTATAATTCAGTGACAAATTCTAGGCCGTTTCAAACTACTCTATTTATTTTCTAGTTCTTTTTAGTTCGGTTCTCTATACCTCTTCATTTTTTCAAACTACTCTTTATTTTCTACTCACTTCTTTTTAGTATGGCTATCTATAAAAAGGTGTTTCATTAGTTTTTCAAACTAATATTTATTACAATAGCTGATACCCGGCAAACGTTGTTCTGCTATATACAATTATTTCCAGAAAATATTTTTTTAGTTAAATATTTATCAACATACTTATATTCATTTGTTTTCTAATTCTTCTCCGACCCCGAAAACACCCAGATACAAATTTTGAATAGAATCGGATCATAACTACAAAACTCAGTTGCCATATCCTCCATCTTCAATTTCCTTATTTTGATGAACAATCATAATCTCCCATCCCAAAATCCCCCATATACAAATTTGGAATGGAATCGGATTAAGTTACAAAACTCGTCAGCCATATTGAATCTGCCATCTTGGATTTCCAAATTTTGATAAAAGGATCATTATTTTCGACTCCGAAAACCCCCCGATACCAATTTTACATAGAATCTGATCATAATAATTAAAAAACTCTTCCACCATATTGGATCCACCATTTTGAATTTCCCCATTTTGACAAATGATTCATAATTATCTACGACCTCTAAAACCTCCAGATACCAATTTTGAATAGAATCTGACCATAATTACAAAACTCGTCCGCCATATTGGATCCGCCATTTCGAATTTCCTAATTTTGATAAAAAATCATAATCCCTGACCTCGAAAATCACCAGATACCAATTTTGAATGATATCTGACCAATCTGTTCTGTTCAGTACCAAAACATACGCTGATGCTCTTAGATTCCATCCAGAGAAGAGCCATTCGCCTGGTGGGTGACGCCACACTCACTCACTCTTTGACATCATTGGAACACCGTAGAAAGGTCGGCGACCTTTCACTTTTCTATCGATACTTCCACGGGAAATGGCTATCATCCCTCCACTAGCAATACCAGACGAAGTAGACAAGCCCAGTCAGCACATCCTTTCGTTGTCAACCTCGAAAGATGTCGAACAGCACTTTATCAAAACTCCTTCATCCATAGAACGGCTAGGCTCTGGAATTCAGTGCCCGAGGAAGTATTCCCAACAACATATAATCTCCAGAAGTTCAAAAAAAAACTCCAATACCTACCTCCTGTCCCTATCCTCCCTAGGAACGCACGATGTTCTTTGAACATTATAGGGATTTCCTTTCGTGCGCTCCAAGCGATAAAAAAAATAATTACAAAACTCGTCCGCCATATTGGATCCACCATTTTGAATTTCCTTATTTCGATGAAGAAATCATAATCTCCGACCTCGAAAACCCCCAGATACCAATTTTGGATGGAATCTGACCATAATTACAAAGCTCGTCCGCCATATTGGATCCGCCATCTTGAATTTCCAAAATTTGACGAAATATTCATAATCTCCGACCCCGAAAACCCCTGAGTACCAATTTTGAATGAAATCGGATAACTATACTCGGTCGCCATATTGGATCCGCCATTTTGTATTTTCTATTTAAAAAATAGATTACGACCGATTCTCATACCTACCGAATACGCACAAAAAATTTCATACGAATCGGTCGAGCCGTTTCGGAGGAGTTCGACCACTATGACCGTGACCGTGACAGGAGAATTTTATATATTAGATTTGTTCGTCTTACAAACACTCGGAGAACCTCCCCTTGAAATATGCCCAGATAATTGAATAATACCCTCTGTATTATCACGTCGCCTAGATTTCATAATATGTCCGAGTAATATGTATAACATTGGCAACGGTGTAAACGGGTTTGAATTCATCATCTCTCCTAAGCGCCATCTGCTTGCAATACAATGCACCATTCCTCTCTGCCGCAGTCTGTCATTTCGAACACTGCCATCTATCAGGTAGTGCCTGAACTACCACATCCTAGTTTCCTGCATTACATTCTTTCAAGAAATGGAGTTTACCGAGATCAGCTGGGATGAATGGATATTTTGTTGACAGAATAATCGTTTTTGTTGCTTCCTGTCCGAATGGAAACATTTCAAGAGCTGATATTCCAGTGACACCTTGCCGAATTTCCAACAATTGTACTGAGATCGAAAATATTTCAATTTGAGACAAAAAAATTTCAATGTTTACGTTTTTCAAAAATCTGTATCTTCTATAAATAAATGAGTTTCGACTCCGTATGATAACCAGGCCCTAGTCCCAACCTTCTTCTTTACGATGATTTAATCAGTTTTGCAATTGAATCATTCATAAGCCCATATAGCAACATCTAGTGAAGGCCTGCATGTCGATTTGGTTGAATCTCTCCTCTTAATAACGAGTCTACGAAACCGGATGATGCCTGAGGTTTTTGTAATGTCATCGCTATCTAGTGAATTGAGATCAAAATTGGAATTCAGGATTACACATGAAGCATACCCGTTATCTATAGTCACATGTGTAAATTCTATGTCATACGCTACAGTTTTTAACTACAAGTTACTTTCTTTGAACTGGACCTCTCAAATATCAGGTCCCTTGGATGACATTATATCTATGAGTTTAAACTAAACTGAAGTGTAGAGTAGGGTTGCTACAGAACAATGCTCGAGGTCAAATACCTTAATTGAAATAAAATGACTATTATAGTTTAATAATAGTTATCTCAGCTCTAGCCATCCAAATCAATTGAAATAAAATGACTATTATAGTTTAATAATAGTTATCTCAGCTCTAGCCATCCAAATCTTGAAATCATTCGAATAACAAAACAACCTTTTCCTAAAAACATCTGAGCTTGATACTCATTGATACGTTCTTGACCAATTGACCAATACATAACAATAGGATTGACTAATAGAAGGAAGCTTTGTTTTCTATTCTTCTTCACTTCACTTAAGAACAACCAGGAACTTCTACCAAAGGTTATAATAAAAGGGGTATTCGTATTCCTAATTGTAAATCAACGAAAATGATGTTTAATATGTATCTAAACTAATCGATATTACGACGGATGAAATTATATATATGTGTGAAACTAGAGCATTGGGTGTTCTACTCCCTCGAGTCTACATTTCTTGTTTCTTACTGCGTATCCATTTAAACATGCAAAAGTACGACAAGATCTTAGTATAGCTTCCTGTTGCATACCTGTTTTGTAACATTCATATCAATACATTTTCCGTCCCGCTTGTGCAAAACATGAAGTCCATTTTTGTCCATCCAATAAATTGTGTCGACATCGACCTCAAGATCTTCAACCTTCACACTTCTTGTAACCTCGCTCGTACTGGCAACCACTCCACACATACATCCATTCTGGTCGGCCCAAGTAATATTCTGGGTGTTTCTATTAATGAAGGTAAGTTTTGGTCTCATGTTGACATCGGAATGATTGATGGTAAATGACGGACCAACATTTAGCACACTAGGACAATTACATGATGAGCTGTTGTGCTTGGTGAAGAATGGTCCAACGTTCAAGCCACTGGAATCACTTTTCATCAATTCAAATTTCGTATTATCAGTTGTTTCGATCCAATATACGCTTCTGGAGAATGGCGACATTTCAATATCTACTATGCTAGCGTTCCTTTCTAAAATCTTCTCGCTATTCAACGGTTCTAGATTGAGATTGATTTTGAATACAAACGACTTATTCTCCCCAACGTTTTGACTATAATACAAACTCCTTTCTATCCAATCGATCGTCATTCCCTTTGCCCCACTTGGCACTTCGAAAAATTTAACAGTAGTCATCTCCTGAATATCGCTTTCGAATAATTCTCCCTTCTTGTCAAGCCAAAACAGTTTCTTCTCTTTGAACAGATAGGTAACTTCCTTTGGTTCCGTTATGCTGTCTACCAATGAGACAGTAGCGTTCATGTCTATATCTTGCAGGTATATCGAGTTCTGATTGGCCACCAGGAGGGTGGGGACGGGTTGTTCCATGGCTATGCTGACATTGAGGCGGGTGGAAGACTGGCCTAGGCCGATTTTCGTGAAAGCTTGCAGCTGGAAGTAATAGTCGGTGAAGGTGTTCTCCATCATTTCATGTCTGTATTCGGTCTCGTTTCCGCTTACTATGACGTTATCGCACAACTCTTTCTCGACATCGTTGTCCTCGTACCAACAACGCACTTTGAACCCTTGGATGACCCCGTTGGGGTAGAGGGGCGGGTCCCATCTGACTATGATGGTGGCGAAGTAGTTGTCATGGGAGGAGAACGGTTTGTACTCCACGAAGGCTCGGAGGTTCATGGGAGCGGATGGCGTAGAAGACGGTGAGAATATTTTCGCTTGTATGCGGGATGAGGAAGCCCAGTACGTGAATGCTTTGATTGTTATATTCAGAGGGGTGAAGGGGGAAATTTCCCGCCAGTATTTGAGCGATGTGGTAGTGGTGATTATCTGAAAAATAGGTTCATCAAGATTGGCTTTAAACACATACAAAATATTTGATATGTGTATGAACATGACTATTTCACGCAGTTATCAAATGAATCAATCTGAAGTTTTAGTCAAGTTCGGATTATCGGGGGAAATATCATGAGTCCTCACAATACTATTGATAGTGATTCTGTCAGAAATCAACAAGATCCAATTACCTCAAGGCAATTTGATCGAGTTTAGGATTTATGACAGAATTTTTTATAGTATTGCGAGCACGATTATATTTATTGTGGCAATTTCACGACCTTATAAAAACTGTTATCTCCATGTCATACCAGCTGAAAGATTATGTTCTATTCAAATTCATGGTTGCCGTGACGACGTGAACTTACAGGCTCGAAAAGAAGAAAAAACGTACTATCGAGGCCCACCATTCTGATTGGTTCTTATATCGCAGGAAATGACAGTTTCATATACGTCGTAGAATGGGCGAGTGGACTGATCTTCCATTTCTACTCATGAAGCAAGGTTGTCAAGTCAACAATTATGTTATGTCTGAGTTCTGTCATTGAATAAAACATATTAGGAGAAACTCATGACATTATATCTGCCCCTAGTCTGCCCCTACTTACGAAATCGTGGCGTCAGTTTTTACTAGCGGTAAATTTCTAGCCGTTTGAAAATTACCGTGGCATTATTGATGATTTTGGAACCTAAGAATCGACCGAAAAATTCTTAAGAAATATGAAATTGAAAGGTTTTTAAGTGATAATTCCATTCAACAAATAAAGAAAAGTAGTCCACTCGCCTATTGTCGATAACATCAAACTTGATTTTTGACCCTGATTTGGCCTGTCAATTTCGGTTTCCTCAGATTTGTGTATGTGACAGTTGAACGTCAAATATAGGTAAAAACGCTGTGCACGCATTTGAAAATTAGCAGATTACATATAACTTAGTAAACACCATCACGAAAAACTTATTGCAAATGTGAGAAATGATAGCAATCAAGATACAAAAACTATTGCAAGTAATCAAGCTGAAAGAATTTGTTTTGTTTGTTCTAAAATTTGTTCTATATATATATTTTCATCAAAACTACTTGTCCGATCTGCACGTTTTTTGTTTTTGTTTTGAAGTTATCTCCTTCTGAACTTTGGTGTGCAAACTGTATTCGCATAAAAACCTATTTTCTATGAATACCGGGTGTGGCAATTATAGTGAATTTTTTCATAATATTTGTAACACCCTGTAGAATGTTACAATTAGATTATCAAGTTAGAATTGGAATTACACCTTACCCTTATTCTTCTCCAACATTTATTTTTTGAATTTAGATAGGATAACATGATTTTATTGAATATAATTAGCATTATAAGCAATTCAGTAGCATGGTCTGGGGAGGCAATTTTTTTACTGGTCGTGATCATAAATGGAAGCCTTACAGCTGAAAGATACAGTTGTGTGCATACAAAACTCATACAAGGTTTGTATGGTGTAAACTGGTGTAAACCCGACCATTATGTTCCCGATTTCATTAAAGAGTAGTAAACGTACACATTTGCGCCTTACTGACACAAATAGTTTGAATTTTGACACTACTTCTCAAAGTCGATAAGAAGATTAATCATGATTGACAAATCTGACTCACAACAGCCTATAACTGCTGTACTTGTTTGTTTATGCACACAACTGTACATGGTGGGGCAAATTGGACAATTAGGGAAAGTTTTATTAGCGTACTAGATAGATAAATATAGATAAACTGATGTTGGTGCCTGTTGATCAATTCACATGTCAAACTCAATGGTGTTAACTGCATATCGATATCTATCTTCGTTTCAGAGTTACAAGGTGTTTTTCCAAAATATTAATTTCCGAAAATATTAATTTCCGAAAAGTGGCTGAAACCAATTTCTTGTCAAAAACTCTTCGTTTCCATAAAAACATTTCCAAAGCATTGTGTTTTTCATGAAAGTTGATCCTCAGGAACTGAAATCAGTTTTTTTTTCAGAATACTGAATATATTGGTGAGTTATATTTTTATATTATAGTCATAAAATGTCGATTCTCATTTTCAGAGGATTTTGATTTTTCATGCTCTCTTTTTGGATCCGAAACGAAGCCAGATACCGATATGCCGTTTTCACCATTGAGTTTTGCATGAGAATCGACCCTCAGGCACCGACATCAGTTTTCTTCTATCTAGTTGGAGAATAGGACTTTCCCTTTGAAAGTGAACAATTTGGCCCACCCTGTACATATTGGAGATTTTAGAACCACATATATTGTGAGGATTATTGTTAGTGCAAGATAATGCCCGGCCATACGTCGCCCGAGTTGTGAGAAATTATCTAGAGAGACGTCGGCATATGGCATGGCCAGCTCGGAGACCGAACTTGAATCACATTAAGAATCTCTGGGACATTCTTGGGACGAGATCACAAGATAAATGAAACCTGAATACTTTGGGAGACGTACGGCAGAGACTGATTGAAATTTGGGAAGACCTGGATCTAAATGACAAAAGTTCTCTTATTTCAAGTATTGGGCCATCGTTGCCTAGAAGTTATTCGTGCCCGAGGCGAAAATACTTGTTATACTAACCATTTCGTTTAACTTGTAACTTCGCATTCTGTTTCGCTTTTCATAAAAAAAAAAAAAATTTTTTAAGAAATATAAGTCTAAAGTGTAATTAAAATTCTAACTTGATTATGTAACTATTACACTCTACAGGGTATTACAAATTTCATAAAGAAAACACGCTATAATTGCTACACCCGGTATGAATAAAAAAGAGGTTTTTATGGTTATCCAGTTCGCACACCAATGTTCAGAAGGAGATAACCTGTCATTCAATACAAAACACGTCCAAATTGGACAAGTGGTTTTGACAAAAATGTATCTCAAACTTTTGGCTACTTTTTGGTGGTACGTTAATTTATTGGGGAAGTGTAGTAACTGTATTATTTTTTAAATTAATCATCATTACGTTATGTTATTACTGATTTAATCAAATATGTATTTCACCTTATTCTGCCGAATTTCAGATTTTTTACCATTCACCTTGATTGTGAAAGAGTCTAATAAAATTCTACCGGTGATTGAATTTATCTCATGTCAAGTCTCTCTTTCATTTCTGTACTAAACTGTATTGCTTCGAGAAAACATCATGAATCTACAGACTCATCACGAAAATTCAATGACTTGTGGTATTACTACTGAAAATTTTATTTTACCGGTGGGTCACTCCATTCTGAGGGATCATCGATTTTTATCTCGTAGAATACATCGCCATAATTCACGTTCTTCACAGAATTCCAGGTGATATTGAACGATTTGGAGGAACCAACGACTTTAATCGAATCTTCATCTACCGGTTCGGGTCTCACGTTGACTTGCAGCCATGGATCAGTATCGTCTGAAATATTTCATTTTTAAATATCAAATGTTATGGAAAATTTGGATGTCATTCTATTTTTCATAGCTAATGGGTTTCAGTTGATATTCTTGAGAATATAGCAATCTGACAGAAGAAGAATGTGAATTTGATTTATATATGTTCTCAAACACAAACAGGAAAGTTTCAATATTGAATATTTCATTACCTGGTAGGGTGTATAAAGAGTTGTCCACTACATACACCATATTCAAGCCCTGGATGTGGTTTCCACTGATGGTAGCGATATTTTTGCCAGAAAGATCGCTGATGGCCGCGTGTTTATCGTCTTGCAGCCACAGCAATCGCTTGTGGAAGTAACACAAAGGACCTTGTATGTTGGGTTTCTGTAGGCTGGAAACAACCTCGACCTTAGGCATTTCGCCGTCCCAGTAACCTTGCATGCGAGCTTTGTATAAAATCGAGCCTTCGAATCCGCGGACGATCCAGTATATGTATTTTTGTTCCAGATCCAGTGTTAGACCCATAACTGTGTAAAATAATATTAATATTGTAAAAATGATACAAATATTTTCATTCATAGAAAGGAAGAGAGAAAATCCCAAATATTCAGAGAAATGTAAACTTTATTGTTTTTTATTATTGATTGTTGGCATATTGACCTCATATCTACATTAATAAAATTCACTTTGCTATAAATGGCATATACCATAAACAGCAACCCCTTATACTATACTATAGTAAAATAATAATGAACATATATACAGGGTGTATCTAAATAACGCCGAAAAAATTCAAGGGGTTTTGCCTTGTGATATTCTAGCAAATAAAGTTTATATAAACATGTGTCCTCTAACTTGCTCCGTTTTTGAGATACAGTATGTTGAAGTTGGAAGTATTAATTGTTTTTTTAACCCCTCTGTAAAAGCTTTCATGGTGCCAAATATGGCTGGAGACTGAAAAAGCCCCAAAATTTCAAAATGATTATAATTGGGGATATTGAGTAATCTCAATGGAAGTCTTGAAAACACCTACATTAAATTTGAAGTCAAATCGAATTTTCATTGTTTCCCCAAAAAATAAGCTAGATACAAAAATAACACAGAGGATAACAAAGTTGTTATTTCAATAGTTCAGTCTAATAAAAATATGAAAATCAGAAACACCGGTGGCGTACAATGACATTCACCATAAATATCGATAAATTTACCCATTGTGACGCCACTGGACATATAATTTCGAATCTAATTGTAACAGAAGAAGCTCCATAATACTATCAACAAAACCACAACGTTTCATCGAAATTGATGAAAAAACAATTGAGTAATGAATAAAAAAAACGATTTTTCATGGAAATATTAATACCCTGTATTTTGAAAACGAAGCAAGCTAGGACACATGTTCATATACATTTTGTTTCCTAAAATATCACAAGGAATCACCCCTTGAATTTTTTCGGTGTTATTTAGATACACCCTGTATATCTACTTTTCAATATTATTGCTGCCAATATGTCATGCGTTAAGGTGACTAGAAAGTTTTCAATTACCTATATCACACATGTCGTAGGATAAGTCCAAATTCAGTCATTTTATGAAGAGTCTAGTTGGTGTATGCTAGGTAGGTGAATAGTAAAATGTACAGTAAATTTAGAATTTTTATAATTCGACTGAAGATTTTAGACTATGAATGTCGAATAACTCTCAGACTCATTTTAAAATGACCTTCAGGTTTGTTCGTTTCAGAATGAATGCATGAAAAGCCAAGCATTTCATGAAATGAATGCTTCCTCAATTAATGATAAATAAGGATACGCTTTCGTGACATGCCAAGGCTTTTCATGATATTTTCAATATCACTAAGATACTCCGACATGCTACATCGTTATCATTCATTGAAACATACTTTCATACATATGCCCACTTAACCATACAACTATGAGAGCTTCTCAATGTTATATAAAACACCAATACATATCTTTCCTACCTATCCTCCAAAGGTACGCACGAAGTTCTTCGAACGTCATAGAGCCGTTTGTGCGCCCCAAGAGATAAATAACCCTAAAATTTGCAGTCAAATTGAAGAAATTCTAGATTTACTTTACATATCAGAATTCGCCTAGTCATTTGGGAAACGACAAGTTTTCTTTTAAGAAACGGCATAACTTCAATTAGACTACGACAATGTACAGTTGTATTCAATAAAAACGCGTAGATGTATTAAAAAGAGAAGATAACGTCATCCTACTTCTAGTTGTGTGAAACTGGCTCTGCCAATGCTTTGATTTTGACAATCTCTGACAACTGTCAACATTTGGTAAACAATCATTCCCGATATTCTGCGTTTTACTCAAATAGAATTACGTTAATTTCTCCCTCTAATACTTTACGCTTTATTTCAATACAACTGTATGTCATCACAAGAATAAAGAATTTTCGACAGAACTCAATTTAATTAAACTAAAGAAATTGACAAGAAAATATAATACCCTGTATGTATGGGTAATAATAATCATTATGAACTATTAATCGCATCTTGGCATCAATTCCTTCTATTTTTTTCCATGAACGTGGGGAAAGAACGATTTTCTGCTTTTATCGAACTAATAACTATCATTATTTATTATTCATTGATGAATTTCATTTTCCATTAATATGAATTTAACCATACTTCATGCTAACCTTGTTTTCCAGAAAATAACTGAACATCATGGTATTTGTATCGTTCGCTTCCATTTAACCGTGCACATTCAACTTTTATTCCAGTAGACCAATAGATGTACGCCTTCACAGAGTCTATATTCAGTTCTTTTGCTAGTTCTGATATCAGTGGTTCATCTTCTTTCCCATCAAGATTACCTCGAAAGATCTAGAATGTATGAGAGGAAGGAAGGTACACTTATAAGTCTTTCTAATTCAAATTCACATTAATAATCAATTTCCAGATGACCGAATTACACATTTCATATAAATCTCTTAAAAATACTAAACTTCGTATCATCAGGTCATCAAGTGGCAAAAGATAGAAATAGAGAGTTCATAAAATTTAACATAAGAATAAAATGGAGGTATTTTCCTTGAGTATTGAATTGTGTGTCATCAGAGAGATAATGATGCTGTGTGGCTTATATGAGGAACAAGGTAATAAAATTCTTGGAGAAAATTTCTGTTAGAATAACCAACAAGATAAATAACTAGAATATGGCTCCGAATACAACTCACCGATTGTAGCTTAGGATTCGTCCAATATAGCTTCATACCGATCCAGTCAACAGCAATGCTACCAACAGACTCCAAACCAACCAGACGGCTTTGAATTTTCGTGGTAGTATTGTACCAATAGACCTGAGATGTATTCGTAACCAAATAAATTTGATCTTTATACGCAGCGATGTCAGAAACAAGATAATCCTTCATTTTACTTTTATCTATGATAGTCTCTACGTTTTCCCCGGCAGCATTCGATTTGAGCAGTCCATCTGCAGCAGACCAAAGAAGGACTGGGCTTTTCGAAGCGTTCAACGTGATTCCTTGGAAATCGGTGGACCATGGACCTTTACCAGAGTTTGTATAAGCGGCTACTTTCAAAATATATTCGGTGTTCTCCTTCAGATTCGTTATAGTAAAAAATGTATTGGTGATATTTGTGTGAGTCGTTGTTTTGCCAGTGCTGACTTCTTTGATCAATATTTCGTATGACCAGTTTTGCCAGGCGCCCTTGCCTAAAAAAAGGATTGTTATCTGACAGATACAAATATTCATTGAGGGAGAATTTATATTTGTTTTTCGAGTGTATGCGCCTTAGTTCAGTAAAGTTAAACATGAAAAGGGGGTCGTGCTTGCAGAAGGTCCGGTCGTTCTGAATTTTTTATATGTTGTTAGGACCTAAACCAATATTAAAAAAACAGATTTGCAATTCCCAAACTGCTGTGCGAGCGGCGGTATACCCAAAAAACAATGAAATTTTCGGACTTTTTTCAGTTTTCGCTCAATATCTTAGAGAAGGAAGGGTTTGACCGGTATAGTCAACGTTTATACTTTTGAATTAAACCAAATTTGCTATAATTTGAGGCCAAGATGAGCCCCATACAGCTATTGGTTCCCAAGATACAGTTCTTTCAAAAAGAATATTCTGAGAATTTGTCAAATAGAATGTTCATAGAATATTGTTTGCAGAATGATAATATTCTATGATCATTCGGAGAACATTCTATTAGAATATTGTAAAATAGGTATATTTGAACGTTGTCAGAATATTCATAGAATATTCTGTGCTGTCTGGGAATGGTATACGTAGCAGACATACAGAGAAGTGAACAAAAAACGGCCAGGATTGTAACTTGAATTATTCTAGATAGGTATTTGAAAATTGGTGGGTAGCAAGAATACCAAATTGCTCATAAATTGATGAAACAATTCTTCTATCACTTCCAGTTTCACCAGAAACGACCCCAACTTTTGATTTTAAAATGGGACACCCTGTAATATAATAATAATAATAAATCGTCTTCATTCACCACAAAAAAAAACATAGCTAGGTACTATACATTAGAAAATATACATTAGAAAATATAAAGGTATGTGTGATGAAATGGTGAAGTGTCAGCTGAAGCTGTTTTTAAACTTCACCAGAGAGGAACCATTGAAAGGTATAATAAAATATCGAACAAATTTTTTTTCTCGACAAAAGAGTCTTAGAGCCTAATAAATTAAATAAATTTGTAATACACTAATAGCCCTTGATGAATCATACGCTCAATGATATGAGGTAGTAAGAGTAATTGATATTTAGTTGAAAGTATTGGTATGATTCCAGAAAGAATGAAAAAAACAGAAACAAAAAATGTTTTCAACGATTATCAGTCCAGTGATTCATGAACACATCTCTCAGTTTCTTTTTGAAGTTGAATAATATAATGTAATGGCGAAAAATCGGTTCCAGGTTGTTGTACAGTTTGCAAGCACGATACGAGAAGCTGCGAGTAAAAAATGCTGTGGAATGTTTGAGTATAATGAAGAAGTATTTTTTTCTTGTAGTGACACTATTACTTTCCAAAAGCACTAATTTGTATGGGGGATTTTTAGTTTTCAACAGTTTGTGTACGAAACAAAGAGTATTCCATTATCGGGATTATCATGACCTATTCAATGATACCAGGTTTGATAAGGTCATTTCAAGGAATTACAGAGATGTTTGCGTTCGAATGTTCCATATGCTCAATGGGTGTGAATTCGCGATATCAAAACTTCTTTCTCCATCACACTCATTGAGCATATGGAAACTTAGAACGCTAATATCTGCGTAATAGTTTGAAATAACCATATCAAACCTGGTATCGATGAATTCGTTATGACAATCCCTAACCGATCATGGAATACAATACAGGGTGCCCCATTTGAAAATCAAAAGTTGAGGTCGTTTCCAGAAAAACCGGGTGATCGAATGAAAATTCATTTCATCAATTAATGAGCAATTTGGTATACTAGCTGCCTACCAATTTTCAAAACCCTATCTCGAATAATTCAAAAGTTACAGTTCTGGCCGTTTTTTGTGCACTTCTCTGTATATTGGGACCATATCGGTACAATATTACGAAAATATCGGCAAAATATTGTGAACGTAATATTGGCTAGGAACAAAATGTGAACATTTGGCGATATTGGTATAATATTAGTTTCAAAATGTGGGTGAGATATTGAAAATCAGCATGTTGCAATGTCGTTTTGAAAATAAATCAATAGCAAGAAATGAAAAGTGAACATGCGCTTTTCAATCGTCTCGAATCAATATTCATTTATATTATCTCGTCTGATCGGCACTGGGAATCATTAACATAGGTTTGAGAATGATACTAAATAAATATCGAAATATCGATATATATCTGCAAAACAATATCTTACCGATATGCAAATGAACTTGGAATTACAATATTGTTTCACACTTCTATGACCGATATAAAGTAAAAAATTGAATGTCCGATATATTCATCTTTGAAACAATATGCATTCGATATCTTCCGCATGATATAGTTGGAATGATATCAATCAATATAGGTTAATATGATGTTTCGGATTCTGTTGAAACAATATTCAACCAATGTGCCGTCGAACTCGAATATACAATATTGCATAACCGCTTCTGAATCGACATGGGGAGATTGTTCAAAATTGCAATATTGATTATAATTGTTGGAAGCAATATGTATTCGATGTTGTTGTGGAAAAATATTATAAAATATGAAAAAATATTATAAAATATTTATATATGTGATTTTCCACATATTGTAAACGAAATTTCTAATCAATATATTGCTTCAATATTGTAGCTGACAATCTACATTTAGCTCAGGTTGAACCAATATTCCACTAATATTATTATTCCAATATTGTATTTTCAGTTTACTCTCATATTGGACCAATACATTTACATTTACAATATATTCATATCAGCCAAATATAAAATCAGGATTCAGCCAATTGGAATATATTCTTATACCTTGAAGACCCACGAGATGTGGTGGTTGCCATCTCGTTTTAGCAACATCCCTCCCGAAAATTGCTTCAACATTAGTTGGAGGATTAATAGGAGTGGGCCATGGCTGGAAACTTTGTAAATTTATGAACACTGTCTTGTAATTGCCATTCGTTAGCTGAGGTATGGTGTTGTGAAAATAACTCCTGCTCGCTTCGTGGTATTCCTCATTGAAAACGTCAGTCCCGTCAGTCCAGTAAAATTTTTTGTTCACCATGGCAAGAGACCTGACTTTGGTAAGTTTTGGAGTGGCAACGGATGTACGGATGTTCCTTACTTCTTTACTAAAACGATAGAAAACATTCAAAAGTTTGTTACGTATAAACGGTGAGTCATTGAAATGGGAAAGTGAGATAACGGTTTCGCTGTTTGAGATAGATGAATACACATTTTTTTGATGGTCTAGGCTCATGAGCAGCATATTTATAGATTACTTTGCGTATACAGGGTGGCTCAAATTTGCGTGGCGTATCAAAGTTATACTTTTTATTATAGTACACCCTGTATTTTATTACATTTTCGGATTCTCCTTTGTGAGCTGATTCCATCAATACATCACACTCAGGATTCAGCGGGAATGATTACAGAGATATTGCTTATTCGAAATCGAGATATTTCAACTTTAGGATTTTTTTGTGTCGAAACTATTAATTATTGGTCAGAACAGCTCACATGTCCCCATCTTAACTTTTGATTCACTATCTACTGATATTTAATTTAGACGAATACAGGGAAGTTCAAATTTCAGAATCATCGTTAAAATTAAATATCAGTAGATAGCAAATCAAAAGTTGAGATAGGGACATGTAAGCCGTTTTGACCAATAATGAATAGTTTCGAGACAAAAAAATCCTAAAGCTGAAAAATCTCGATTTTGAACACCCTATCCCTATACAAGAAACATTTCCGGAGTGACTGTGAATGATCCCAAATCCCTTAAATTGGATTCTATACAGTGTGTATCAGCCAAATGGAATACATTCGATGATGAATAACGGGGGTGTGCGCACATAATTTTCAACAAAAACTTTCTATACAGGGTGTGTCATGTAACAGCGGCCAATACCAACTTTCTTATTTCAAATGCAGCACCATGTATCTCACACAATTTTGTTGGTATTGGCCGCTTTTACATGACACACCCTTCATTGGACATTTTTGTTGGAAAGAATGCGCTTCTAAAAATATCAATCAACGTATCCGAGCGTTTCTTCGATCACGTTCCCGATTATTCATTATCGAATTCATTCCATTTGGCTGAAACATACTTCATATGGTTCAAGTTAGCAGGTATACTTTGAAAAACTAATGTAATACTCCACTCAAATTAATTCAGTTTGCTACATTCTTTCATGAGTAAGATACATTATAATTCAATGAAAAAATAAAGCGACATCAAAAACACTTAATTTTTGAAGGTTACGAAAAAAAAACAACTTAAATACCGACCAGTCTATAATGACGACTCGTTGGGCTTAAGATAATAATATATTCCTTGGGGATAAATACAGGAAAATTCAAGCTGAAACTAATTTTTATTTTATCGTCACAATTTAGTTCTTTCGTTAAATCATTATTAATCGAATTGAGATAGATTCTTCATCATTCATTGTTGTCCTATACAGGGTGTTTCAGATTTTAATTGAGAAAAAATTTATCGGTGATAGTAACACAGGTTTTTGTATGTAAGTCATAAAAGGTAACCTAACAAAATTGTAAAATACACTGTTTATTTCCACATGGTTGATGTACCTACCGAATGTCTGCAGGGAGTATCAAATAGTTACATACAGTATTTTACCTAGGAACTGTCAAAAAAGAGGACAACCTCATTCAACTTATGATGTGAATGATTAAATGATATTTCGCCATTATTATCAAGTACATTTACCCATTTCATGTCACTTCATTGAAAACACCTGGTTTCTAAGGATGAAATAACCAGAGCCACCTTCGGCTAATTTGAATCTTATCCTGCTCGCGTTCAGCGATGCTGATCAAATCATACATGAGATGCGAGCATATTATTATCTAATACGCGAGAGGATATCGTGGCACCTTCTTCACGCTCCCATCTCTATTTCACTGGCACTCCATACGGAAAGAGGAGTCAGCCGCCTTGATTTGTTCGCTTGCTGTCTCCCGAAAAGGAGTTCGTCGAACAAGTATGTTCGAATAAAAATGACGCAAAATCGAAGTGTGTGGTACATGGCTTGCGAAAACGACCATTTTGCAGCCACACACTTCGGTTTTGCGTCATTTTTGTTCTTGTTTGGCGAACCATATGTCGAACAAAACAGACTACCAACAACGCAGTGTATGGGCCCCTTTCAGGCAAGCACACATTCATTCCATCGCCTAGCAACAACCGTGAAAAAAGTGTACTTTTCTTCACACTTTTCCGTTAAAAATGATATTGTAGACTTCAAGCACACAAAACATATTGAAAAAGGTGCAGTTTTTTTGACAGTTGTAGGAAAAACATCTTTTCAGTATTTCAATCACTTTATTTTGGAGATTGTCCAAAACGAATTCTACTTTTTGTAAAACGGCGTACATTAATAAATCACGAACCCATGGTCTAGCTTTTTTCATCCAACTAACTAAACCAGAAACCCACACACCTCTAAGCAACCCTAAGAAAAATTCCTTTGCAACACTTGTTTGATGAACCTCATTTAATGTTAGGCAATATCAATTATTCTTGTTAAGAATCTAATAGTACAGTCAACTGCAGACTGCAAAACACTCATAATCCTAATTTTTGAATTTGATATACAGGGTGTCCCTAAAAGGTGCGGAAAAAAAGCTACCACAAGTTCCTGAGGCGTAAATATGACGATCTACTTCAACTTACCTCAGTCCAAAAGTGGATGATTTCAGAGATACAGAGTGTCAAAAGTTCAATTTGATTTTCATTTTTTATAAAAATTTTTTTAATAATTGGTGTATTGTTACAATATTTGGCTTAGGGAAGTTTTGCTGGTTGAGAAATTAGAATTTGCTATCATTTTTATTGTAAAGTTAAGAGGGCGCCACCTGCGGAACCTTGCACACATTTAAAACGAAATAACTTTTTTGAGTCACCCCATATTTGATTTTTAAATGAAAATTCGGATTGTCCGACGTCTTTTACATAAAATATGTATACGTGGTAAGAGTTGATTTGGGCAGCTGTTTTTGAGATATCTGGATTTTAAAAATTCACTTCGTAAATGGCCAGGTCTAAATTATTGTAATAATAAAATTGAAGCGTAGGCGGTGAATTCAATTTTCAATTTCAATTTCAATTTATTCATTGTTGTTAAAGTACATATTCCATATAAAGATCAATTTATTTTTATTACTCTGCCGAGTCAAGACGCTTCACCTAAGCACTCAAGTGCTTGTCTTGTATCAGACGTCTATAATTCAGCAGGGTATGTTAACAAATAACATCTTATATTATTGACCTACAACCAAGTAGCTGATCTATATATACATATACATTCATTGATGGCATAAAATATTTAAATTAACAGTGCTTTTCTTTATGTAATAAGAGTGGGGAAAAAGTTGTTGGGAGACATTTTGGAAGCTTAGAAGTTGAGTTAGTTGAATCAACTGCTGTTTCTTATTGGTTCAGAAAATGTTTTTTAACATTTCGTGATTATTTAAACTAACATCACTAAGAACTGACTTGGGTCAAATCGAATCTAAAAAACAAGTCAAGACAATTGTCAACAAATAATAAAGTTCTTTTTTTCATGGCCGCAATGTACACCAACGAAGAAATGACCGATATGTTATTGGTTCTTGGATATTGCCAGGGAAATGGTTCAGAATCTTGCATACGAGTATACAGTGAAAGATTTCCTAATCGTCGCTTACCAAACCATAAAACCTTTAATCCTTAACCCAGCATAATTTTTTTCAATTAAATTAAATTAAACTTTTGTTGTTAATACATCTCCTATTCCTAATGACTATTTTTACTAGAGAATAAAATTACCAACACATTTATGTACCTTCTTTTTTTTTTTTCTAAGTTTTTGGTGACGTTATTTTAATTCACCGCCTACGCTTCAAATGTGTTCAATTTTATTATTACAATAATTTAGACCTGGCCATTTACGAAGTGAATTTTTAAAATCCAGATATCTCAAAAACAGCTGCTCAAATCAACTCCTACCACGTATACATTTTTCATGTAAAAGACGTTGGACAATCCAACTTCTCATTTAAAAATTGAATATGGGGTGGCTCAAAGAAGTTATTTCGTTTTAAATGTGTGCAAGGTTCCGCAGGTGTCGCCCTCTTGACTTTACAATAAAAATGATAGCAAATTCTAATTTCTCAACCAGCAAAACCCCCCCAAGCCGAATATTGTGACAATACACCAATTATTAAAAAAAATATTTATAAAAAATGAAAATCAAATTGAACTTTCGACACTCTGTATCTCTGAAATCATCCACTTTTGGACTGAGGTAAGTTGTGTTAGATCGTCATATTCACGCCTCAGGAACTTGTGGTAGCTTTTTTTCCGCACCTTTTAGGGACACCCTGTATAGGGTACCGTTGAAGCTATGAGAGCCCCTGTAGCCCCAACATAGATCCGCTGCTGGTAGAAACCAGTGTGAGTAATAAACAATATTGTTATTTCCATTTATAATGAGATACTTAAAAGGTTTCTTGTTGTATAGGTAACTTACCCATCTAAAGTGACTGACATAATGGTGTTCAGCCTTTGATAAGATACCAATATATTGAAATTGTGATACTCGAAAGTAAATGCACCTAATTCTGTTTCGTTCAGAATTTTTTTAATTCTCACTTCGTGTCTGATACCGTTACTGATATCGTTGATGTCTAGACGAAAAAGCCCTCCAATATTGTAATCCTGTACAGTCCAAAACAAATACCTGAAACATTTTCAATGAGAGCTCACTAACTAGTATGAGTATTGAGTACTATACCGGGTGACACAGGCTATCGGGCCACCCCTTTAACTTCTGCATTCGTCAACAGATTTTCCTGAAATTCGGTACAGTTATATAAGCAACTATTTCGGATTTGATCACATTACAATCCAATATGGTGGACTTCCGGTATTTCTGGAAATGCCAGCAATTTTGTTTTTTCAAATGAAACACCCTGTATATTTTTACATATTCAAGTTCAACAGGTCAAAACAAGTGCAATCTTGATGTCAAATGTCATTTATTCCACAGCCTATCTAGTTGAAAAATTATTCTAACTGCAAGGAAATTCATAAACTAGTTGTTGATTTTTGAATGTATACAATTTGTTACTGCACCGAAAAACAAAAATGATATTTCATTTTGTTCCTTAATGTATGTTCTAGAAAAAAGGGTAGGTGGCCCATAGAGGTTCCATTTGAAAAAAAATAATTTTTGATCAAAAAGTGATGTGGCTGAATTGATTCCTGGATAAGTGACACAAAAAATATTTTTTCAGAAAGAATTATGTTCTTTTGTTATGTGTGACTCATTGTGAATAGTCTTAACCACATCTCATTCATCCACGAGGTAAAATGAAAAAACAATGTTTATTCAATTTTTCTAGAAAAAATGACATTTTGAATAAAGATTGCACTTGTTTCGACCTGTTGAACTTGAATATGTAACAATATACAGGGTGTTTCATTTGAAAAAACAAAGTTGCTGGCATTTCCAGAAATACCGGAAGTCCGCCATATTGGATTGTAATGTGATCAAATCCGAAATAATTGCTTATATAACTGTACCGAATTTCAGAAAAATCCGATGATGAAAGCAGAAGTTACAGGGGTGGCCCGATACCCTCTGTGTCACCCGGTATAGGTCTATAAGTTGTCAACTCATCTCCAGTTGAAGGCATTTTCAAAATATATTTTAATTGCAAAAAAGATAAAGATTAGATGGGATTCTCATTTCTTACCCGTTCAATGGATCTATTTGCATAGAAGCTGGTTTCTTGGTTAGCCCTGCATATGCAACGGTTAACCCACTACCATCAAAATTACACCTTTTGATAATATATTTAGAGATCTGAAACTTTACTTCCCCTAGAACATAAAGCTGATCATTCAACCAATCAACTGTAATATCCAAAGGATTGAAGTCCAGTTTCTGAGTTTCAAGTCTGTTTATCACTTCAGTTGTTGAATTTTCGAGTGATATTTTCGATACTACCCCCTCACTATCGATGATGAATAGTAGTTGTTTATTGTAATGAAAACCCAAGCCTACAAATGAAAAACAGTAAGAAATCATCAATGGTCACACATATTCCATGAGAAAATACCTTTGAGTTCATTTTTGCTTTTGTAAATACTCTTAGGCTCTTCCAACATGTTGTCTCGTTCGAAAATACTGGTATTTGTACCCAAAATCAAAGGAGGCTGCTCTACATTGTTTACTGAAAAATAGATGATATGTATGTGAAAATGTGAAAAAATCTACGAGTTGCTAAACTCTCCAGCCAAATGTGTCAAGCTCAAATCCAGGATTTTGTTGACGGAAGATTTTTTCTAGGATCTTATGATAGTTATATATGTACAGGGTGGCTGGAATTCGAGCCTCATCATTGGGATCTCGTGAACCGTATAAGAGATACAGGATACAGGGTCGGTTAAATTATGGAAAAAATTCGCGCAATTTTTGTAAAAAAACGAATATTCGCGATTTCATTATTATTTTTTTATGAGTCATTTGAATAGATGTAACGAAACAAATAACATACTCTCCTTGCTACTTTTTCTGTTCTACTAGATGGTATTATCAGATTTTCAAACCGACGTTTATTTGTCTTGGAGCTGCCATCATCAACTTTTTTTTCAAATATGGCCCTGGATTTGTTATGATGGATTTCAAGAAGTTTCAATCTCCTGAAATCAACAGCAGATCGTACTTATACGAAAAATTCATATAAATGGCACTTTCCATAAGATCTCGTGTGTTACAGAGAGGCGGAGAATAGATTTTCAATGAAAAAAAGAACACCTTTTCCGAACAAGTGCGATACACTGTTCGTCTTTGGAGAATGGAAGCTCTCGGAATCCATAATCCAGGGCCGTATTTGCAAAGTTGATGAAAGCAGCTCAAAGAAAAAGCGTCGGTTTGAGAATCTGGTAACACCATCTTGTAGAACGAAAAACGTAGCAACGAGAATGTGTAATTTGTTTTGTAACGCCTATTCAAATAGAGTCATAAAAAAATGAAAAGAAATATTCGCTGCTTTTCGATATTTTCGAAGGCGATCTGTTAAAAGGTATGTGAGAAGAGTTTTAAAAAAGCAAATGGATGCTTAAACGCAAGCGGAAATATTTTTGAGCATTTACTATGAAAGAAAATTGAATGTTCGGTATTTTTTGCATATTGATTAAATTGCGTTTTCATGATTCATTAATATTATACCACGAAATCCCCCCCTCATGGTTATCCCCGTAGAAAACAATTAACCATTTAACTTTTATGTATTTTAATTCTCTACGGTTATTAGATAAAAAATGTTTTCACCTTCATGACTATGTAATTTCTTATTAGGCTGATGATGGACATACGTATGTCCGAAAACATGTTCCCTTGATGTGATTATTCACAATGAACCCGTGAGTTTTCACAATAAATTGTCGTGGAGATGACTTTGTGTATTATTCAGTATTAACCACTGTACTCCACTTTGAGAAACGATGAACATCTATCAGAGATTATTTGAAGAAGTGTATCAAACCATCATATTAAGGAGATATCGGAACTATCGAAAAATAAAAAATCCAGGTCCGTATTAAAAAGAAAAAAAGTTGATGATGGCCGCTCGAAGGAGAAACGTCGGATTTCTAATTTGACAATATAATTTTGTAGAGGAGGAAAAGTGACAATGATTTCAAAATATCTCTTCAAATAAACTGAGTAATGAATAAAAACGATTTTGCATAATCTCCTTTTTTTTTCGGATATCTCCAGAACTAATTGAATTTCTTTGAATTTTGTTGAGCATGAAATGGTGCAACTTTACCTTAATTTAACCTACTATGTATCTCTTGAGGATTTACCTAGATCCCCATGCTTACCTACGAATTTCTAACACCCTGATGTACATTGCTATGATCACAAAAAAACAGATTCCGAAAAAAATATAAAAAGCAGGGTATTCCATTTAGGAAAAAAATATGGTTTGTCACGCTTTCAGGGATCACACTGTAAAACTTCTGATAAAGGCTGTGGAGCATATTGTTTTTTTTTCTTCGATAAAAATGAGGTATAGGGGTAAGCCTTTTAGATGGATAACCCTGTAATCAGATGCCTTCAAATTGAATGTTAGATTTTTCGCCGGGTCTGTGCAGCAGCTAATTTTGATGAATTCCAAAAATATCACCCTCTAACCTAATTATATCGATATACTCTTTCAGAGGATTAAAAACATTATAAATTTGGAGACAACCGATTCACGTATAAAAATAAAAAAAGGTGGTAAATGAAATTGATTAAAATTAATTGAAAGATTTACTTCGGTTGAAATCCAGAAAAATAAAGTAGTTTTGTCATGGCTCAGAATCTGTGGCTCATGCGACAGACATGTACCTATGTTGACAGTATTGAAATCATGAAGTTGCTTGTTTATCTTATGTACAGGGTGTCCCGAAATATGTGGGACGCACTTCGAGAGGTGATAGAGCGTCTCAAGAAAATAAAAAAGCCGTTGAACGCTTTGTTAGCGAGATACAGGGTGTTTTAGTTGAAAATAAATAATAATTTGCATAAAATTTCTAGATAACCGCTAAACAAAAATTCTTGATATTCTGGTGCATAACTCGATCAGTACCTGAGAGTGATTGATTGGGAAGCATTATTTATTCAATCTTACTCCCACTGGCACCGTTAATTGGTATTGATGTGTGATTTTTCAGAAAAAAAAACATGGGTGGCGATGGAACTTTTCGAAATTTTATTCAAAAATATGAAAGAGGATGCAATGAAAAAAAGCACCAAGTGTTGATAAGATACACTGTTTCCGAGAAAAACCGAATAACCAAATTTAATTTCAAAATTTGATGTTCGAGGATGTCATACAGTGTGTCCCAGCTAGAACTTGTCACCCCCCTAATCTCCGATGTCGTTAAAAAAATTGAAAATCGCTCGAACAGGTCGATTTCAATTTGGCGGAGGACACATTTTTCTGCAATTATCATATTCCAAAGTTGAAATCTTGAAGCGTAACTCTCGATTTTCAAATGGAGCATTATGTATTGAATTGCATTTTTAGATTCTCCCTGAAGAGCTGCTTTTATCAATGTATCACACTAGGCGCCTAGCGGGAATGATTACAGGGATATAGGGTGTTCAAGATCGAGATTTTTTAACATAAAAGCTGTTCTGACCGATAATGAATATATAGTTTCAACACAAAAAATCTTAATGTTGCAAAATCTCGAATTTGAAAACCCTATATCTCTGTAATCATTCCCGCTAGACGCCAAGTGTGATGCATTGATGAAAGCAGCTCTTCAGGGAGAATCTAGAAATGCAATGAAATACAGGGTGCTCCATTTGAAAATCGAGAGTTGATGCCCGTTACGCTTCAAGACTTCAACTTTGGAATATGGTAATTGCAGAAAAAGGTGTCCCCCGCCAAATTGAAATCGACCTGTCCGAGGAATTTTCAATTTTTTTAACGACATCGGAGATTAGGGGGTGACAAGTTTAAGCTGGGGCACGCTGTATAGTTCATTAAAGACGTTCAGATTACTCTATAACCATGATATATATCGTCTGTAGGTTAATCGAGGAGGTGGTACATTCATTTTACTTGTTTTCTCGTGATTTTCTCTCCTCGTTTCTATAAAATAAAAATATTCATATTATTATATATCATTATAATAATAATAATAAGCAGCACAACTTTCAAAGAAAAATATTTTTCATTTACAAGTTAAGAACGGGAGCTGATTCGGTCCCGAAACGTCCAAAGATAAGTAAAAATTCGATATTTTTTCAATATATCTATATTTCTTTCCTTCAAACATGTTTTCAAACAAATTGTCACTGACAACCTACTGGATTTTTCTTTTAGACTACCTGATAGAAATATTTGTTGAACGCAGTGACATTTTGGGGCAAATCATCTGATTTGTCCCACTACAAATATATTGAAATAATACGAATATTTTTATTTTATAGAAACGAGGAGAGAAAATCCCAAAGAATCAAGTAAAATGAATGATAGATTTCATTCTGTAATTGTGGCACTACGACAGTCACATAACAGACTAAATTTTGCCAACACGATAAGCCATACAGGGTGGACATGAAAAAATTCAATAAATATTTTCAACTTCAACACCCTGTAGCTCGCAACCGGAGCCTTCTAAGACATGTTTATGGGAAATTTTTCATTTTCTTGAGACGCCCTATCACCTCTCGCAGTGCGTCCCACATAATACGAAACACCCTGTAGATGATAGATATGAAGACACTGATAACTGATACGCATTACGTATAGGTATAGGTACTCACTTCTTCGTTCTTCTGGTGTTGAAACTGAAACTGTTGCTGGGGGACCAGCTCCTCTTGCATTCCTCATCCTGATTTCGATCGTGTAGTTCCTCAGAGGGCGTACATCTCTCACAATTATGAATGAGTTGTCAGGAGGAATGTCCTAAACATATAAGAATTTCCGGTGAATTTGAGGTTTTGTGCATTTGGACCCACAAGCTCTGTGAGAAGAAGCAAAGAGATAGACGTGCAGGATTGATCGTGCTGTTAGTACACAGTTTGAAATGTTAAAGTACATTTTTACAAGACATAAGGCATACATATATAGGACTACAAGTTGGGGATCATACATAATTGTTGACTGGGAAATACAAGAATTATAAAAATGTTTCTCTCTTTTTGAGGAAATATTATACTCATATTATCCAGAAAAAAACTGAATTGCGTTCGAAGATTTTCTGCCTCCAGTCCAATGAGTGAAAACTTAGAAAACCTATATAGAAATGGACATATATTTGAAGATGAAACGAACTAGTTTCAGTGAAATTATTTGAATACGTTGAAGGAAGTCCAGTTCAGTTGAAAAATGGTCAAAAGAATAAAATAACAATGACATTATTCAGATTTACTAATTCGAAAAAACTTCATTCACATCTCCCACATGGCGATGATGACTACAGAATATGTAATTTGGTATTGCTGATAGCATCTTGTTTGCATTCGAGGGACGGATAATATCAGAATACTCGTTATGGGGCACAAAAGCCACAACAAAACAATAAACAGGTCGCAGTTTCATGAATATTTGAAATGAGAAGGTGTAGCTAGAATACCTACTTCTATTATTTCCATAACAACGAAAATAACTATCTACACTCTACCAGCAAGAGATCAGTTCATAGAAAAACAAACTAGAGAGAGAATAGTTTGAGCAGATATTATAAAGGTTCGACGGCTGTATACAATTTTTTGCATATATTTCTTTTAATCTCGATAAGATTATTTGAAATTTCTTATTCCGAGTAATCATATAAGTAGGTATAATGATAATGTAAAAAATCTGTCAGATCTTGAAACCATTTAAAAATCATTTCATTTCAATTATTAGATAAGGAAGGCATAGGCTAATTTATAATCATTTATCTTTTTTGTAAAGCTGTTCTAAGAAATATTATTATCTCCTATGCAGGAAATTCAATTAATAATGATTTTTATGTGAAATAATACACCGAATGCTCATATATTTTGCTTATAATATACTGATCACGTTAGAACAAAGACAGACATTCCGACAAATCAAAGCTGAATATGAACTATCCTCAACATATGGCAGAGTGAAATAAAATCAAAATCAGAAAACGATAATAAAAGAGAAAAATCAAGGAATCCGCTTTTGCATTCTTCTGAACGGACACAATACCATTGCTTCCTGTTTCAGTTGTTATTGATAGAACATAGTATTCAATACTGAAATCTGAACAGGAAAATGGTGAATTCAAGATTAATTAATGAACCTGAGAAGTGTCTACACAAAAATCCGAATCTATATTTCTCTTCTTCAAACATTTTCCAAAACAAAGTGGCACTGACAATAATCGATAGACTTTTTTAGGCTCTCTAATAGGGACATTTTTAAACAAAGTGAAATTTTGGGGGAAATCATCAGATTTGTCCTTACACGTTTATTGGAATAATACCAAATTTTCATGTGTAGAAACGAGGAGAGAAAATAATCCCAAAAAAACTGGTCAGACAGTATTTGAGAGGAAGAACAAGAAAAGACAGAACAAGCAATCCGGTGAGAGCCTTATGGTGGATTTATGCACCAATTTCAAGTCTTAAGTTTTAAGTCGTAAGTATTGAGCATGAGCCGTGCGTTACCATTTGTGATCTTGGTTTTGTTTACATTTGTCTCAATCAAATCAAATCCTAACAAATATTTGTAACTGCTGAATAATGAAAAAAACCAATTTTGTGTTACCTCAAACATGTATGAAATTGATAAACAATAAGCAAAAAGAAGGGGTGTTTTTCTTATGATATGACAGTCTTTATGATTGCGGCCTGAATCACCCTAACGACTTAAAACTTATGACTTGAAACTTAATGCTTAAAACTACTATAAAAATCCACCATCAAAATTCGGAGTTGCGCGCCTTGGGATCGGTAATGTTGAGAGCGTACTGACTCTTCATCCGAAAGTATGAAAGGAGAATATCCCCCAGGAATGTGAAATATATATAACCCAGGAATATTTTCATCTTTGATATTGCCAGCGTAACTTCCTTTCCTGAAGCTTGATTGGCATTCCGGGAAAATGTTATGTTCCAATCACGACGCTCTCGGCGGATACGATCGGTGAGTTAATCTCAGAGCTGCATATTCTAACAAGTTATCATAACCATTTCTCAATACTGACGACGCCTATGTAACGCTCCTTAATGCGTATGCATGCAGAGACCTGGATGCAAACAAGACCGTCAATACTGGAGCGAGACCTGAGAGAACTCAGTAAGGAAAAAGCCTAGAACGCAACTGCATGAATTCCGATGTGGTTACGATCTTCATTCATGTTATTGTTATAGTTAAATGTTGCTTGAATGCTAATAAGTGTTTAATGTCGTGAATTAAAGTTGTTGAGCGTGTTCCCCGTACGACAGACGACCCAGAACCCCTCAAAAATCACAAATTGGCGCCCAACGTGGGATTCTAGAGGGTTTATTGTCGTAGATGGAACACATTCATATATTTTTACGACAAATATAAACTTATTAGCGTTTTAGTATGACTCCTTGCAAATTGCTATATATTCTTCGCTGTATTGATTTTCTATTTTTCCAATATTTATAATTCTGATGAATTTTTAGAGCTTTTCCATCGATCAATTAATTCAAACCACAACAAAACTGTTGATTGACCAAGTCAAAACTCTCTTGAAGTCAACAAAAGATGCCTCTTTCTTCCTCGTAATCGGAAATGAATTTTTAAAGTAGAAATAAGATAGTGACGATATAGTCAGCGCCACATCTTCCTTTTCTGAAGCCTGATTGACATTCCGACAAAATGTATGAAAAAAAAATACAAATGATTCAAGTGATAACGAGAGAACGAAAGAACGAAAGAGCGAAAGAACGAAAGAACGAAAGAACGAAAGAACGAAAGAACGAAAGAACGAAAGAACGAAAGAACGAAAGAACGAAAGAACGAAAGAACGAAAGAACGAAAGAACGAAAGAACGAAAGAACGAAAGAACGAAAGAACGAAAGAACGAAAGAACGAAAGAACGAAAGAACGAAAGAACGAAAGAACGAAAGAACGAAAGAACGAAAGAACGAAAGAACGAAAGAACGAAAGAACGAAAGAACGAAAGAACGAAAGAACGAAAGAACGAAAGAACGAAAGAACGAAAGAACGAAAGAACGAAAGAACGAAAGAACGAAAGAACGAAAGAACGAAAGAACGAAAGAACGAAAGAACGAAAGAACGAAAGAACGAAAGAACGAAAGAACGAAAGAACGAAAGAACGAAAGAACGAAAGAACGAAAGAACGAAAGAACGAAAGAACGAAAGAACGAAAGAACGAAAGAACGAAAGAACGAAAGAACGAAAGAACGAAAGAACGAAAGAACGAAAGAACGAAAGAACGAAAGAACGAAAGAACGAAAGAACGAAAGAACGAAAGAACGAAAGAACGAAAGAACGAAAGAACGAAAGAACGAAAGAACGAAAGAACGAAAGAACGAAAGAACGAAAGAACGAAAGAACGAAAGAACGAAAGAACGAAAGAACGAAAGAACGAAAGAACGAAAGAACGAAAGAACGAAAGAACGAAAGAACGAAAGAACGAAAGAACGAAAGAACGAAAGAACGAAAGAACGAAAGAACGAAAGAACGAAAGAACGAAAGAACGAAAGAGCGAAAGAGCGAAAGAACGAAAGAACGAAAGAACGAAAGAACGAAAGAACGAAAGAACGAAAGAACGAAAGAACGAAAGAACGAAAGAACGAAAGAACGAAAGAACGAAAGAACGAAAGGGAGATCGGAAGTAACGAAAGAAAGAAAGAACGACAGCAAGGTTGCCGGCGTTGAAAAAAAAAAGAGAAAATAGAAGAAGGAGCTATCCGGCGCCAACCTTGACTTCGGAGGTACGCGCGTCGCAATCGCTGATATTGAGCACGTAGGAGAGGAGCGGGCCGTGCGGGAACGGGCCGGGTTCCCAGCTGATGGTGACGCTGGTCGCGTCGACGGGGGTGGCGCGTACGTTTCGAGGCGGCGAGGCGGGCGGGCCGCTCGCTCGCGTGCTTATGACGACGCTTTCGGCAGACACGATGGGGGCGGCGGCGGCGCCGAGGTGGTGCGACAGGTGGCCGGCGGCGGGGGACGTCAGGGCGATGCGGAACTGGAAGAAATAAAATACATTTTTCTGCAACCGACACAAAAGTCGTCTATTTTGATTGATTGTGTTCATAAATATATCTGAGAATATTCCTTTTCAAGATGAATAATCATCACTAAACTAGCCGTCCTCAAAACTCACCCTGTACTTCGTATAGGGCTGCAGCCCCTCCACGTCGAACGTCCCGCTCTGCTCGTCCCACGTGGCGTTCGCGCAGTACTGCCACCCCTCCATCGCCGTCGAGTACTCCTCGTAGCGCCACTGCACGTGGCAGCCCAGCCCTGCGCGCGCCGCCTCCGGGCGCCGCCACTCGAGCCGCAGCCCGTCGGGGCGCAGCGAGTCGGCGAGCAGGGCGGGTGCGGGTGGTGTGCCGAGGCGCACGCGCAGGCGCAGCACGTGGCGCGCCACGGCGTCGTTGCAGCCCAAGGCGCAGTAGAGGTGCGAGGGGGTGAGGCGGTCGCTGGTGCCGTTCTGGAAATGGGACGAAACAAGTTGAATGATTGGTCTGGTCTCACATCCCAGGCAACCAGATGACGATTGATGATTATAATAATAATAATAATAATAATAATAATAGCGTCTTTATTCATTTAAAAATACATTTGAATTACAATGTTGGCGACAGTCGGTTGCAGCCGTTCTTCCATGTAACCAACAAAGGGAAAAACATAGTTATGAACAGAAAAAAGGAAAATGATACATCTAATGTTAACAGTAATAAGTTTCAGTTAGGAGTATGGTGAAGTTCTAGTATGATTTTGATTTTATTGAGATGAAATGATGAATAAATTCTCAATATCTCCACTACTTGCACATGAAGCGCAATGCAGTGATAGTGCAATTATTCTGAACATCTCCAGAAATATTTTATCACATATTTATTATAATTGAACTACTAATTGTCTATTTGAAAGAATCCAGGACTTGACATGTTTCCTGAAGTTATGCCTGTTTTGAAGCGAGTTAATGTGTGCCGGTAGAGTATAATTGTTCACTGCATTGTATGAAAAGCTTCGTTTAAATTGTGTGGAAGTGTGCCTAGGTATACAATAGAGATCTCTAGCTCTTGTCAAGCAGCTGTGATAATCCCCGAGTTTCGTGAGTTTGTCTAGTAGGTATGCCGGTGTTTTATAATGATTGATTTGATATATGAGTCCAGCTAGTCTGTAGAAAAACCTCTCTTCTAATTTCAGAATTTTCATATTTTCATATATTGGCCATATTTTCTCATTCCACATAAGTATCTCACAAAAGAGTTTTGTATCTTCTGTAGAGTGTATTTATCCTTTGCTAGAAGGGAGGGCTAATATATTTCGGAGCAATATGCCAAACATAAGCAGAGACTCGCATAGTATTAGCTTGATATTGTTTGTGAGATGAAATCTATTCATATATAACAACTGTGACGTCCCTAGTTGGTGATTTTTCGTCAGAGACGTCACACACCAATTTATGACGTCACTATGACGTACTTTCTATGACGTGATGATCACGTCATCATCTCGACGTCGAGTGAACGTCACTTAGAAGACTATAATGGTCAGTTTCTTGACGTTGCAGGGACGTCCTGTCGACGTCCATGTTTCCCAGACCATATCTGAACCATGTATACTTACATTTTCATGTAAAACCGTTAGGTTTGTGACGTACCTATATATATAGAATGGGCATTTTCAGTGTCCAAAAGTTTTCAGAAAAAATCATGTTTTCATTATTTTTGGTAATGTTATATACAGGGTGTTTCAAAAAACCTGACCCCCTTATTAGGGTGGGTAGAACACTGCAAAATAAGTTGCGCTTACTCATCAGTAAAAAAATTTCGTAACGGCACCTGTTATCAAGATACAAGGTATTGAAAACATTATTTTTTTACACATTTTTCAAGATTGTATATCTCGGAAACCAATCAAGCTATATATTTATGTAAATATACAAATAATGATAATATAGATGTACCTATATTGAGACCGTCAGTTTTATGACGTTGCAGTGACTACATATCTATGACGCCTAAAAATCACGTCGGTGTGACGTACCAATTTGGTGAGCTTCGTCATTCAGAAAAAATTTTCAATAGTTTGCTATTTAGATTTTTTTGGGTGACAAATAATGCAAGAATATACGTTACTCAACAAAGTGTAGCTATATACGCCAACATCATTTTCATTGCTATCAAACTATTCTTGGTTTGCTTACATCTCGCCGACACGAACTACATAATTTTTGATATAAATACGAGTAACTGATTTCATTCTGACGGAGATACGTGCTGAGGGATAGCGCTGCTGAATAGACGATTGAATGGACATGACACCGGAGGGATCACCAAGCAGACTCAACAATGAATGCATAATCAATATTATATGTCATCAGAGGTCATTGGTGATTATCACACCATGTTCGAGGAAACCTTTTTACGTGTCATCACCAAATTTGAACGTCATTTTGACGTCATTTCGACGTCAGTCTGACGTCACAGTTTGGTGAGTGAATGACGTCAATGAACGTGAGTAATATGACGTCATTAGACTGTGACTTATTCACGTCATTTATCACATCATACGACGTCAACTCCTGACGTCACCTTGGTCATTCAACTGACGTAAAAATACATCACTGAAACGTCATCTGGTTGCCTGGGATTTAGTTTGCGAGCAATGGGAACTTTTTTGGTCACAGTTTTCTTCTAAATACCCTCTAGCAACCTTCGACGATTCCCATCCACCAAGTTCTTGTCGGTCTAATGTATTTCCTCCAGCATTAACAAGAACATTTGATTTGCCGAAGATCTTCTAAAGCACTGACCATTAACTATACATATTCGAATTTTCAAGTGAGAGATACTCAACTATGTTTTGAGGTATTTTAGAGAAGAAATGAATGCCGCAGGGCAGTACCGTACATTGGACTTCTTTCGAAGTTTCGCGTTTATGTCAACGAGCCACAGATTTTGGCAGTCCAAATAAAGGAGAAGTGATCGAAAATGCTCTGAAACGCACCCAATCGTGCATTAATTTTGGCGGCAGCCACTTGGTTGATATCGTTTTCTCGAATCAATTTGAAACTATTCAAAGGTACAGATAAACATCCACATAAATAGAACCGATCTTTCTCATTTACAAAGACTTCATTACTTTAGCGCCACCTTGTGTCCTGGATGAGTTACCTATTTCAAATAATATACATACGTATATTTAATACTTACGCATGCTTCTTGACAGGTCACTGTTAAAGCTTGTCTCCATAATCTACATCCATTGATACACTGAAACAAAATAGAAATACACAATTAAAATTCAATTTTCAGTTTTCGACGTGCTGAGATGATATTTTCGTATATAATTGTATATCGCTGGTAAAAAATTATCATCCGATGTTTCTGTGGCTGATAGTATAATTCCAAAAATAAAGTTGCTTTCTTCTTTGAACCCATTCCCGGAAATATACAGAGTGGGCCTTTGAAAACGAAACAGAGGCTATATGTAACTGAAACAGGTCAACTACATTTTCGAGGGGGACATCTTTCTAAAATATTTTCAGCCCTGCGGCGTTGCCGCTTCTAAAGAAAAGAAGCAACAACTTTGTTATTTCAAATGGAACACCTTGTATTTTATTGCATTTTTAGATTCTCCCCGAAGAGCTGATTTCATCAATGCATCACACTTAGGGTCTAGCTGTAATGGTTTCAGGGATATAAAGTGTTCAAAATCGAGATTTTTCAACTTTAACATTTTTTTGTGTCGAAACTATTCATTATTGTTCAAAACGGCTCTCATGTCCCGATCTCAACTTGTGATTTACTATCTACTGACATTTATTTGAAACAAATACAGGGTGGTTCAAGATTCAGAATTCTGATCACCCTGTATCTGTTCAAGATTCAGAATTCTGATCACCCTGTATCTGTTCCAGTTAAATGTCAGTAGATAGTAAATCACAAGTTGAGATAGGGACATGAGAGCCGTTTCGACCAATAATGAATAGTTTCGACACAAAAAAATGTCAAAGTTGAAAAATCTCGATTTTGAACACTTTATATCCCTGAAACCATTACAGCTAGACCTCAAGTGTGATGCATTGATGAAATCAGCTCTTCGGGGAGAATCTAAAAATGCAATGAAATACAAGGTGTTCCATTTGAAATAACAAAGTTGTTGCTTCTTTTCGTTAGCAGCGGCAACGCCGCAGGGCTGAAAATATTGTAGGACGATGTCCCCCTCGAAAACGTAGTTGACGTGTTTCAGATTCTTTTCATAATCCGGTTTTGGCGACCTACAGAGCCTCTGTTTCGTTTTCAAAGGCCCACTCTGTATATTGAGGAGAGGTGAGGATGATGAATACATATAATATATATGTTTTTTATGTGACGGGAAAAAAGTTTGGCATTTCATCTCTGTTGGCAGGTTATAAAATGTCACTTTTAATAAATTACTTTTTCCCCGGGGAAAAAAGTGAGTACTTTTTTCCCGGATATATATCACATATATATACACTGTTGATGGCTTTTGTTGTGCTATAGTCAATAATACTGTCTCCAAGAAAGAACTGCAAGTCCTTTTATCTTCCATTCGGCTTCGCGGTTACGTATATTACTAAACAACCACTAATGTCTCGATTTCGCAAGTAGGAGCAGACCGTAGCAGAGTTGCCATATGTTGAAATACGAATGGGAAATTCTTAATAATGTATCAGTATTATATTTAATCAGCGATGAAATAATCCATTGTCCCAAAATTGTCCCTCTTATATGTTATGTCTTATAGCTTATGATAAAATTTGTGTCGATAAAATTATATTTTTTCTGTGACGGGAAAGAAGGTTGGCATTTCATCTCTGTTGGCAGGTTATAAAATGTCACTTTTCATAAATCACTTTTTTCCCGTGGGAAAAAAGTGAGTACTTTTTTCCCAGATATATATCACATATATATACACTGTTGCTTTTGCTGTGCTATAGTTCCGAAAAATGAGTCAATAATACCGTCCCTGAGAAAGAACTGCAAGTCCTTTTATCTTCCATTCGACTTCGCGGTTACGTATATTACTAAACAACCACTAAATTCGCAATTTTTTGTAATCAAATCACAGAATTAGACTGACAGAAGTGACTTCAGATATTTGATTACCTCAAAAGAATGATAAAGATGCCTACTGTTAAAAACTTAAAATTTCACGTCGATAATTATTCTCAGATTTCAAAATAATGTAATATCTTCTCAATATTGATTCGTCCTTTCTTCTGTCACAGAAAACAATAGTGTATTATACACGGGAAAAATATTAGATTTTAGCTCACGGTTTTTTGTCTCCCTCCGCTACTCGTCGGGAGACAACACAACCTGGAGCTAGAATCTACTACTTTTTTCCCTTGTATAATAAATAACTATTTACGAAGTGTAATTTTTATGTTTGAGTAAATGGTCAAATAATGATATGTTAAAACAAAATTATTTGAAAACAGCTTAATATCTTTTCCTTGTCTTTGTCTATGTCTGAATAAAAATGATTTTCTCGTGAGAACGTTTGAAAAATGTTCGCAAAATGAAAGAGTGAGGGGTGAAATACTCTGAAATAATAACAACTATATATCCCGTCATAGATCTTTTAGATCTATGATCCCGTAAAAACCCTTCAAGCGGAAAAGGTAGGTTTGGCTGATAGTATATGTAAACGGGTACTGAATAATCGTTTTCTACTCACATAACTAAAATGGCATTTAGCGTACAGATATGTACCACGCTAAATGATCGATTAATTAAACACATATTACCATGGTAACACAACTTCTTAAACACATTATCATGACAACAGAGTTTTTTAAACACATCTTATTCAGTCGTTCGAGTCCTCTCCGGCCTGTCATTTGTAGGAACTGTCAACTGTCATCTTCGAATTTTGTTGCAATTTGCAGATTCATAATTATTCGAACAACTTCTGTTCGTATCAGAATTCTTCATTAAAAATGTATGCGATATGTATATATTATTCTATGCTAAGCATGACAATATATAAACGTAAGAACATTCATGTAAGCAAAAATTATGCAACCAGAATATATAGATACCTCAGCGAATCGAAGAGTTCTCATCTTCTACGTCAGATGAAAACTTTTTATTCACAAAGGTTAGTAAAATTCATGAATCATATGGACTAGACACATCTTCAACCAATGCCTCATTGGTTGCATGCAGTTGCATATAGTATATTATGTTCTCAATTCCCATTCCCTTCAAATTAAATTGTATGTTATGTTAATCTAATTTTCGGAATTATGGGATCTTGTCGAAGAGAAGAATTATGAGTTCGTAGAAAAAGTATAGCATGTAACGCATCTATAAAGCTCCACTCTGCTGCGCTCGTGCTTAAAATACTCATTACCAAAAGGACGTTTATAACACTTGTTACATAATATACTATTATGCACGATCAGGCGTAAAGTAGCACTTTACCGTCCGCGGATTACTTTACCGCCTGGCGTATAAAAAACTCGTAATAGGTTTTCCTGTATAATTCAGGACATGACCAAAATGAGTTAGTTATCTGTGATGACATTAATTGATAGCACATACATATAATAGTCTACTCCTAATTTAAAAAAATGAATGAGTTTCCATGGTAACGTCGATTCCGCTAGTGGTATTCACAATGAAAAATCAAATATACCGGTCATGCTTAAAATGTTGAATGCATGTTGAATGTATTTCGGGCGTAATTTGCTTTTATGGCCTAGAACGTGTCCAACTTACATGCTGCGATCCTTAAAAGCCTACTTTACGCCCTTGATACATACATAAATATTACTACCAAGATGTAAGATATTGAATTTTTTTTCACTACTAGCAATATATTTCAATCATCATAGTGTTGTGAATCTGAAATATATATGGACCTATCGTCACTATGAAAGCACTTCTTTTCAATCCTGATAGAAAGAAAAGTTCATGTAAAATTTATAAGTCTACGATGTTTTTTGCATGTTCTAGTACTGAATTCTGTCCATGAAAAATATTTCATTTTTGCCCATTTGAACGTTTTTGTGGAGTAAAATATAAACAATCACCCTTTATATCATTAGGGCATGACGGGGATGACGGTAATGTATTTCAACGTGAATATATCATTGGTACTATACCTATCTCGGTATTATATTATTACAGAATATGAAGATGAAGGAGGTTGATGATCAATTGCCCTCCACCAAAAATTGGATGGGATGCAAACTTTGTATATAAACCACCAAAAATTGGATGGAATGCAAACTATGTATAAACTGAGATATTAAAATGCATCAGCTCAAGTTGTCAATCATCATTAGTGTTTGTTAGATATCTTTCAGTCTGTAAACTCCTTGATGTAGGTCGACGTGAAATATAAACCAGAAGCTCAGAAGCTCGAGAGGGTCTTACAAGAAAGATTACATAAAAGAGAATACCTACCTATTATGGGAGAAATAGACTCAACAAGTGGTTAACGTCATTCCGATGATCGATGAGCTATTATGGATGGCCCACGAATTTGGATATACCTTTGTCGAAAAATATATCTATTGTGAATTCTGAACCATCGTCCAACTAAGTCGAAATTTTGGGGATTCAACATTGCTAGGGTGAATAACATAACGAAAGTTATAAAACGCATAAAGTATAGATATTGACTTGTAGTCAGTGCCCAGTGGTATGAAGCATAGATTAATCTATGTATGAAGAAATTTAACATACGGAGTCTCGTTAGCGTTACCTATACAGTATACAGTGCTTTCAAGTAGGTACCTACATAATACATCTCAATTTGCCCCATTTATAATGAAAGATTGAATACACAGGGTGATTCACGTTTGAGAAGTGACGTCCGCGACAGTTTTTTCAAATATTTCAATATACAGGGTGTCCCTAAAAGGTATGTACAAAATCGTAGCACATATTCCTGAGGTCAAAATAAGCCGATTTAAAATAACTTACCTGAGTCCGAAATTGCTCCGTTTCCGAGATACAGGGTGGTCAAGTTGGAAAATGGAGAATCGACAAGTACATTCCAAGAAAGTATTTTGACAGAATTGAATCCACGAAGGTAACAGCAAACATTCTTTATTCAAAATAATTCAAATATTCCGTTGTAGCATCGAACACTAAAAACCGAAATATCTCTAAATCGGCTTACATAAGCGAATTTTCACAACAGTACCTTTTTTGCCTAAAAATGTTCGAAAAACCTTTTTCCTAACGAAAAGAGTAAGAAGCTACACTGAGAAAGTCATAGCCAATCTAAACTATAAGAAGTGCATTGGTAAGCGCCCTCTAATGGCCACAGTGAAAAAGTTATACATCCCGAAAAACTCC